TTTTTATTGCACTTGGTCCAGGGGATCTGCGACGCCTCCAGGACCTCGTGCCAGGATGCCCGAATGCCAGAGTGCCAGGATGCGCTGCGTACTGAAGAGCGTACGAAATACAAAGTTTTGTGCACGCGCTTTCGCGCCTGCAAATCGCTGCTGCGTTTTATTACGCCCACTTTGCTGGCAGGGGCGCAGCTAAAAAGGGGTTTCCAAGGGATTTAAGTTGAAATGGAGAAGATTTATTTCTGCTTCTAAAATTGTAAGCCCCTTCTTGGAACTTTCCTAAGCTGTGCTTTTAGGTATTTGGTTTTATTTCAAGGATAGGTACGTTCTCAGTTTAAGTTGCTTATATTCAGAGATGGCAGTTAGAAGATTTATTGATTATTTCTTTTGATTTAACGGTAAGTCTAAGCCTAAAAGCCCAATCTCAATAAAACATTTTTCCCATTTTACTGTATTTAAATTGTTTATACCTCACATGACTTTGGATTAAAATTATGGATTTTGAAGTGTTAGCTTGAGATGCTAAAGATACAGTACGCCCCTGGCTTTTCATCTTCTTCTTTTTAGGGGGTGGTGGGATCTGCCTAACGGTTATTAAGGGGGCTTGGGGCGGTTAAGCATTTGCTAACAGTCCAGTGAACCGGTAATCAAAGCAAAATCAGCGGAGCACTGAAACAACTTTTTTATGCTAATTTTTACCTTAGCCTTCTTGTTCGTATGAATGTGTGTGTGTGTGTGTGTGTGCGTTCGCTACATTAAACATTTAAATACGTTTTTAAGCAGCCTGATTCCTTTCTGGCCAGAGATGCCGACTGGGTTAAGTGGCAGCAGAAGGAACGGAAGAGATTTGCAGCACTTGAGCAATAAGCCAAATTGCAGCTATATGCAGCAGATACAGTTCGCAAAAGCCGGCTACTTATCCCGATTCCAGTCCCACTTCCACTTCCACTTCCGCCGACTTTCAGTCGCCCATTGACCTGAAGCACTCCTCAACTATTAACTTTGGCGAAGATTGCGACTTTTTGGTGCTTTACTCGAAATGCAAATAGCAGTCGAGCGTATGAAACTCTCAAGTTGCCCCGCTAAGTTGCCACTTTGCCGTCTCACAGATACTGGCTGTATCCTGTATTCCTCCTCCATAAGAGTCCCTTGTATGTGTGTGGGTGTGTCTGTGAGTGTTTGCGGTGCCGCCTACTTTGGGGGCGTGGCACAGCCCAAGCACTTGTCAAAGTCAACTTCACATTATGTCAAGCAGCGTATATTCATTTTTTCAGCGCGTGTCTCGCTTCCAAGCGAAAACGTCTTCTTTATTTTTTTTCGAGCGCTGCATATTACCACTTACAGGGTAGCAGAAGGCATATTCAATAAAAACTTAGGAGGTGCACGTTTTAAAAAGGCATTTATATTGAAAACAAAGTATAATATACATTTCTAAATATTTGGTTACTATTTATACTTTTATTTCAATAATAAAGTTAATCAGTTTGTTGAATTGCAATGAAATCAAGATTACTTTTGATTCTCCAATTCTCAAATATAGACAGCTAAAGTGGATCTTAAAAATATTCGTGGGGTTAGGAATTTATCTCATCTGTACAGAGCACTCTCCTTGCAGTTATATCTGTCTACTTTGTGTTCTATTTTTTAAGCATTATCATCGCCTGCCACCTCCTGGGCCGCTGCCTGCTGCGAGCCAAGAGACCCATTGCCACTTGGCAAGACAGGCAGTATTGGTGGGGGTGGCCACGCCCACCCGCACCTAAGTACGGGCTAAAAAGCACCCACCACTCCTAAGGCTCCTCTGACATTTACGATATTCCTGGGCATATTTTTTTCGGCGCCTCCCGCCGCTCGACGTGACTGTTTTATTTGATGTTAATGTGGATATGTTGATGCCGCTTCCGCTGAAGAGGTTTCACGGCTGAAGGAACGCGGGGTGCTTCGGGTTTCCTTGGTTGTCTTGGCTGGAAAGCCGCAGCAGGTTAGCACATTATTCACAAAGCCAGGCCTTTAAAACCGAACCACATTCTGGGGTTTCGCATGCTTAATTTGCGGTTGAGCTGATCCAGAAACGCCCCTTGAGACTCGCCCTTCATTTCTCATCATAAAGTGTGTCACACACTTTAACCATTATGAATGCCCGGCGATTTATGTTGATATCCAAATATGCCAAGTGAATGAGAAATGTGCTTAGGTTACTTTTGACGTTTTGTCATTTTAAGCTCTATTTTCTAGGCTCGGATTTGCCATTTTCCCTTCACTGGTTGTTTATGAAATTTTCCGAGAATAATTGATTGTTCTTGGCGATGAATCTTCACTTTTGAAGCCAACTCAAGTGGGCAGGATTAAGGTCGAGTAAATTGCCCAAAATAAAAACAAAGTGAAAAAGAACTCCAAATAGATTTTAGGTATTGTGTGTTTTATTGCTCTTCATTTTTTGTTGAAAAATGCAGTGTCAACTAAAAGGCGAAACTCTTGATTTATGCTATTATAATTATTGCATTTCAAAGATTATAAAATTACTCCCCCGGCAAACAATTTTAAATGCAATTATTTGCTGTTTTTGTTAATGGACTTTTGTGTGAAAAACAAAAATGTTTTTCATTTAAGGTGTGTAATTGCATATTGAGTCAACACTTTGAAAATGTAATTTACATAATTAAAATTAATTAATTACCTTACAATTATGTGGCGAAATAAAGGGCAACGCGATGATGTTTTTGTTGCAGTAATCAAAACTACTAAATTTCACTACAAATATGCTCGGGATTAGGTTAGCATTTAGGAATAAAATTGGTTTTATTCAAAACTTGTGGCTTAATTTGAAACTGTATTTTCCAAGTTTCTTTTGGCCGTGCGATGATTTTACCTTTTATTTTGCGCACCCACAAAACGCCACATGACACGGCCATAAAAATTGCGTTTATTTGCCCGCTTTTAAATCATTTAAGCTGCATTATATGCAGCCAAAGGCAAACACACAAATGCGGGCCAACGGGAAAATGCGGAAAAGCGGGGCAAGAGGGCTTGGAAAAGCGAAAAGTTGTGCCGCGTTGTTTGCACAAACAGCAAGTGCAACTGCAGTGGCAGCACGCTTCACTCATATTTTCGTGTATATTTATTTATTCAGCTCTGCATTTTATTTCATTTCAGTTTATTTTCGCCCCGGCGAAACTGGTTTTTTTTTTGTTGTTGCTTTTTCTTTGATGAATGCATACAAATATATTTTTTGTGCCTCTTACTTCCATTTTCCGGGCGGAGAAAAGCGGAAAGCAAAAACGGATACACACACAGGAAGAGCGTAAAAAATAAAACAGAAGTTGGGCGGGTTATAACAATAAAAGGAATCGTATGCAGAGAACCGACCCCGCGGATCCACCTTCGAGCCTTTCACTTTTGCTATTTGTTCTGTCACTTCCGGTGGCAACAAAAAATGGCCGCCCGCATGCCAGCAACGCTTTTCCCCCGCGATTTACCCGCCGTCCGCCACTTTTCAGTGCGTTTCGCATATTTGTGCACATTGCGGAGTCCGCTGTCCCTTTAGTTTAAAGCCCGCTTCCTTTCAGTGAGCCGTTGCAGGCGTTTATTAAATGTCACACTGCGAATTTTCCGATGGACCTCAACCCACTTTCTCCTCTGCGGCATTCTGCCCCCGCAAAAAAAAAGACAATCGCACTTGTCGCGCTTGGAGATTTCACTTTGTTGTCCGGTAGCCGGATATTTTTCTCAATCCCGCACTTCTTGTTGACTTTAAGTTACACGTTTTTAGCTGTCTTCCTCACTCATCCTGGCATCGCTTTTCCGGCTTTTCCCCCTGGGCCTTTGCAGCGACAATTCCATTTATTTTGCCATTTTCCGTTTTACGTTTGTAAGCGTTTTTTTCGCTCATGAAACTCAATTACTTGACCTGCTACTGTATCTGCTGGCTTAGCCGCCCTCATGGCCGAATCCTTTTGGCCAGGACCACGTTGCGTATACGGCATAATTACTGACTGCGACCTCGGTCGCATATTTTGCATTGTGCCGTAATAACGAAATTATTGTGATGTCTCCCCGGCGAGCAATGCATTAAACGAAATGCAATCACAATAAATACATTATGGAATAAAAATACATATTTCCAGTTAATAAATTTACAATTGCGCCACAATTAATACCCTGGCTTAAAAAACGTTCTGGCACGGCAGTAATTATTATTGCAAAATGCAAACGAAATGAAAATCTTTTGTTGTAAGGTAAAGAGTACAAAAAATCTCTTTAGTAACAAAAATTTAATTATGGTTTTTTGAGCTTACCTTATTGAATGGTAATTTTTTTAACAAGGAAACCCTGAGAGTTTTGTACTCATTTGTGGAGTAGCATTTTATTTTATTTGCTTTAAAACTTACTTTTGGTTACACAAAAAAGAGCAAAGCCAAATAAGTACAAACGGAACTTGTTATTTATTTTTAATTATTTTACAACAGCTGGGTGCAAAAACAACAAAAGTAAGAGTACAACTTCAGGCAAATTAAGCTGCACTTCAGAATAGAACGAAATTCTCCAATTAAATTAAATACCAGTATTTCCAAAGGCAAAATCCAGGACCCTGGACCAAATATTCAATTACAGCCAAAATTTCTGCTGCGAAAGCAGTTGCAAAGTGTGAAAGAGATAGCCCTCAAAAAGTATGAAAAAGCCGGGGGAGCAATGAGAATGTTGTACTAAATAAAACGTAGCCTCAAGTATTTTGCGGAAAGCTGTTGAAAGTAACCAAAAAAAAATGTGGCAAGGCAACAAACTTTCTGCTACCCAGAGAGATGAAGAGATTGTGGGTGGGAAAATTGCGGGTGGCTTGGTGGCTGGCTGGCTGGCTGCAGAAAGTTTGCTCAGGTGGCCTGCCACTTGTGGCACGTCCTCCTCAGTGTTTATCTCTGGTTCATCGCTGCCGAGTTTCAATTAGCCAAATGAAATTGCTCTTACCTTTGGACTTCGATGTTTCCGTTTTTCTCTCTCGTTTCCAGAGCACCGCCGAACCCGTCTACTCGCCCACAATGGCCGGCGGACTCTTCTCCATCGACAGAGAGTTCTTCGAGCGACTGGGCACCTACGATTCCGGCTTTGATATTTGGGGCGGCGAAAATCTGGAGCTGTCCTTTAAAACGTGGATGTGCGGCGGCACCCTGGAGATCGTCCCCTGCTCCCACGTGGGCCACATCTTCCGGAAGCGCTCCCCGTACAAGGTAGGTTCCATCCATCAATTATTGAAAGGAACGAGAGAAAAGAAATGCGAACGGAAAATGGCAAATCATTGTGGTCAGACCGAAAACCAATTCCGATGAACTGGCCAGGTCCCATTGCTCATTAAGGAATGTCGGTCTCTCGGAATTTAAAACTCTTAGCCAACATGTGTGTGGGCAGCCTCAGTTTCGGCCTCGGGACCAGTTACCAGTTACCAGTCCGGTCCAGAGACTCGTGTTTGGTCAACAGTGGCACAATCCTGGTGGCCAGATACCCCTCCCCCTCCCCACTCCTCTTTCCTTGATGTTGTAACATGGCACACATGGCACAGACAAGGACTCGCATAGAGCCACTGACATGGACATGCATTGCGGCTGTCCTTGCAACATGGTATTCAGTGCTGGTGTTTGTGTGCGTTTGTCCAGACCTCTCCCCTCTTCCCTCCCCCCACTAGCCCCCTCATTCCCCCCTCATTTGCCCATATCCTCCCCCTTGCTGGCCAGCTTCAATTATCAACGGTTTACGCTTGACAAAAGTTTGGCAACTGTTTTGATGTCAATGGCGCAACACACACAAGACGAGCCTGAATTCTCCTAAAGTGGAACTTACCAATTGGACACCTGGCAAATCCCAGGGGAGTTTATTGTCCCCCCGATAATCACCAGTGGAGAACTAAAATAAAAATAGTAATCTAACTAGTACAAAAATAAAAGGTTGATTGGAGAGCAACTCTCGAGATCAACGCTAAAGAACATAGAAATCCTTAAAAGATACATTTTACTTACAGTCCATCAATATGTCTAATATTCACACAGCTGGCAAATATATTTTCTGGAACAATGTAAATAATTTAATAGTGCTTCATTAAATGCAAGCTGCAATTTCTATTCCATGCATAAACACAACCAAATATTATCACTTAATTAAAAGCTGAAACAAAAGACACTAATTTGAATGAAAACCCAAACCAAATCAAACGGACTGTTATAGCTAAATTTGACCGGGAAAATTTTATAGGTTGCAATCAGTGCTGCCAGCCGAAAAGTTAAAGCAGTACAAACCAGAAAATGAGGAAAAAAAATATTTATTAAACTGATTTAAAAATTACCAAAGTGTTTTAAATGTGAACTGAATTTGGCATACAACAAAACATTCAAAAATTGTAACGTGATAACGTTCTTCATTTAACTTGGAACCGCAAAAAGGGAAAACCTATCCATAAAAGGACAAAGTGGCAGCACTGAAGACAATAATCTAATTGCTTTAATTAAATTTGCTCAAAGTATAACAATTAACAATGCAGAACAATTCAGTGTGATTATTTGAAGACAAACAGAATCCCACAATAGTTTACCAAAGAAATGACTACAGATCGCTGGATAAATCGCCTTACCATCGATTTCGGAGACCTTTACAATTTACGGCTGTATCTGGCGTTATCAATAAATGTCTGGACAAACACAGGGCCCAGTGTTTCTCTCTTGGCAAAGTATTTTACTGCTGGCAGGGAATGCAGTAAGGCACATAGACACCTGAACGGTGAACGCATAAGCACAAAACAGGACACACAACAGAAGGACATTGTTTGGGTTTGTGGGAGCCTGGGCAACGGGGGGGCCAAGACAGATGGCCAGTTGGCCAGGTAAAACCGCAAAAGGGCTGAGAGCTGGCTGCCAGAGCCACCTAATGCCACTAAGCAAAAGCTACTCATTCAGGTAATTAGGCTTTGTTGTCCACTCCACTCGGTCCTCATCCTCGTGCTCGTCCTGCGGCTTCCTCGCTCCTTCGGCTCTGTTTGCTGACCAAATATTTCCATTGACTCCGGCACCGGCAGCCGTCCATTGATTGCGCTCTCCCACTCTCCCACTCTCCCACCCACTTCGCCCACTCCACCCACCAATATTCGACCCCCACTCATGGCCACTTCGACTCCCTTCAATTGCAGTGGCGCTCGGGCGTGAATGTGCTCAAGAAGAACTCCGTGCGGTTGGCCGAAGTTTGGATGGACGAGTACTCGCAGTATTACTATCACCGCATTGGAAACGATAAGGGCGACTGGGGCGATGTCAGCGATCGCAGGAAGCTGCGGTAAGTCTACTATAATAAGATAAAAATAAACATAATAAATGCCATATTATATTTAAAATATTCTGCTTTGAGTTTGGGTTTAGAAAAGAATGTTAAAATAAAATATCATGAAATATTATCAATAGGGAACAAAGAACCATGTTTGTGTTTAAATTGTAATTGATAAAGACTGCCATAAAAATGAACTCGATGGCGCTGAGAACCCAGTTTTCCTTTTACCAATTTTAAATATGTTACCCTGCTATAAACACAAAATTAAACACATTTGCCCTCTTCCCAGTGACGATCTGAAGTGCAAGAGCTTCAAGTGGTACTTGGACAACATTTACCCCGAGCTCTTCATTCCCGGCGATTCGGTGGCCCACGGAGAGGTAAGTTCCCCCCGGCTGCATTCCATTGCTAACCCCTTTTCCCAACCCGGTCCAAACTAAGCACCCCCAATCTAATGGCTAACAAAAACAAACGACAACCCATAAACACAATCCCGTTCACAGATAAGAAACCTAGGTTATGGCGGTCGCACCTGCTTGGACGCTCCCGCTGGCAAGAAGCACCAGAAGAAGGCCGTTGGAACCTATCCTTGCCACCGGCAGGGTGGAAACCAGGTTTGTTTCTTGCATCCTCCAGTGAAGCACTGCGACCGCCACAAACTCCGTCCAGCCGCAAGAAAACCAAGAAAGCCGTGCCAGGAACAACGTTTCCGGACAGCGAACTCTTTTCCACTCTCCACTCTCTCTTTGCCACTACTAAAACCGTGTCCCCAAACTAAACTTACTCGGGCGATTGGGTGTTTAACTCCCCCCAAAAGACTCCTCCTAGATGGATCCGCTTTACAGTGAACTTAATTTACAGATCGCCAACGCAAATGGCATGTGCCTGGATGCGAAAGAGAAATCCGAGGAGGATACGCCGGTTTCCATTTACGAATGCCACGGCCAAGGAGGAAATCAGGTATCCACCTCCATTTCCACATCCTCAGAACTCTGAAATTAGGAGGAGGTGGTTCGGAGTCCCCACACCCAATTTCTCGGTCTCATTGCTTGGGGAAATACATAATTCTGCTTCGGTTGATAGCTTTCCTGTTTTCGATTTGACGCTTCTTGCTAATTGTTTTTTACTGGTATCCTTTGTTAATTTTCTGCTTGCTTGTCAACTAATCCAAGGATAAAACAAGATTTACACTAGACAGTATACTTCAACAAGTCATAAAACATAACATAATCATCGCTTAACCAACTTACCAAAAGGTTCAGGAACTCGAATAACTCAGCTTTGTCGAATGAAATTCATAAATCTTAAGATAATAATTTTTTACTTACTACTCTAAAATCCTTTTTGAAGTAACTAACTTTGTAAAATCTTTTTGCTTAGCCACTTTGGCCACTTAGTTCTGAGAATATATATTTTTTTATATCTGAAGTTTGCAATCTGTTTAAGCACTCTAAACTTGGTGTTCATAAAAAATTCGTTAACCACAAATAATCTTCAAATTTAAACTTTAAACAAGCTAACCGCAATTGATTCTTAAGTACTGACTTGTTTCTTTACTGATAAGCTGTTCTTTTTGAAATTTTTCTTTAAATGCTCTCTAATCAAACATATTAAACCAAATTCTTCAACTAATTCCTTGAGTTTTTTTGTTTTAAACGTTGTTCCCCGTATTTTGATTTTTGGTGCCTGTTGGGAAGTGCTCTTCTAAAAAAGTGTTTTCCAAAGTGGAAACCGACAACAATAATATTTTTGTCGTTGTTAATTGCTACCCTTATAAAAGTCCCACGGTTTTAAGCACTAATTTTGACGGAGTTTGTGGCTACTGTAACAAATATCTGTAGAGTACATAAATAATTTGGATTTATTGCTCTTCGGCAAACAATTCATATTCAATTTATTTGCCTAGAATAAGTGAAAGTATTTATCAATAAAAGTTGCCAACTGAAATTGCATCGACAATTTAACAGTTTTACAGGATACATACAAGCGCGCAAACACAACGCACACACACACAAGCGCAACAATACTTACACACACAACCAAACAAAAGAATTGCATATTTTTGGGGATTTTGGTCGATTTATGCCATGTCACAAAAATTAATTAAAACACAATCATAAATAAAATTCCAAATGATAAATCATTTACATGGCTTTGGCTTTGGCTACAGCTTTACTGTTTTTTTTTTGTACATCTAGTTGGCTAAAAAACAACCACATTTACACTTTAGATACCTCAAATATTCCCACAATAAAGCTTTAGTTGCAAGTATGTTGAACTACAATAAAGGAACAAACAACAGAAATGCAAGTAAATGAACTGTAACAATAGAACCCTAAACAGACACACACGAACTGACACCAAAATGAAGAGAACTGCTAGAACGACTACGAAATACCCTATTGCCAAACACATATTAAATTCTGCATAGCCTTGGGAAACTTTAGATTATTAATTATTGTGATACGTGACTTTTTAAATATTTTTAGGCATGCAAGTTAGGGGATCCTATAGGAAAGTTTATATACCTTTGCCTTTACAAATAAAGGGTATTAAAAGCAAGCTGAGATGCTTTTATTCTCACACAGACACACTGCTGGAGTGTGTGAGAATATTGTAATATTCAACATATAAAGTGGGGGGAAAAGTGTTGACCTCGTTCCGCTTGCTCTAAAATCGCCCCAGACAGACAACTGCCACGCCCACTGCCCCCCACACACGGACACACACAATGCAACAAAGTGCAATGGAAGCCACATTTAAAGGGGGTAAAGTGCGAAAAAGATTCCACCAAATGTTGTTTGCACTCGGAAATGCGGCTAAAATAATCAACATTTGCAGGGCAGACAACATGGGCGTGGAAGTGGGTGGCTCTTTGCTTTTTTGCACGCAAATTTTAATTTCGCACATAGTAAAATTTAGCCAGCGAATCCAGCCAAATGGGAAAAGGGGGAATAAAACGCTTTTGACTGAAACGTCAAAGGAGAGCTCTATATACCATATAAAGTGGGTGGAATAAGAGGGCTGCCCGTAGTACTGTCCACATAATGAAAGTACTCCTCTCATGTGGAAAAAAATACGCGTCTAGGCTAGCAAAAATATTTTCGCCCAGCCCACAAACAAATTGGTTCAGTGGGAGTATAAAAACTAACGCTACCCAAAAAAAGACTAGATAAAAAGTGGGGAGAGGTAAAAAAAAAACGTAATTAAAAACGCATCTCGCGCACACAGAGAAAACGCAATGGCTGCGCAGGGAAAAGGGAAAACGTTGATAAAAAGAAATGCAAATTGAGACCGCCAAGGACGACAGTCAGGAGGGGGTGTTTTGGGCTGTAAGCCTAAACAATGGATGTGGATGAACAAGGAGTGTAATCGGTGCAAAGGGAGACGTCCTTGGGCGGCCGGTGAATGTGTGCATTAGGCAGGATACACCATTTGTACGGGACATTACTACAAGTCGGAGATTAAAAGCAAGTTTATGGAGCTGGGGGGGATGTGCATTTCAATATATGCCAGTTGGCATCTAAACAGAAAGCTACCTTAATTAATTGTGACTAGATAACTTCATTAAACATTACGTAATTGGTATACAAGAATCAATGTCATTTAAGCATTTCTTTTAAAAAAGGTTTTAAAGGGAAGTTTTAATCCTATCAGAGGGAGCATTTTTTTCCGCTGGCTCTAACAACCAGAACGTAACGAGTCCTTGGATCTGCCTTAATTGAACCGGTCATACAATAACAGTAATTATTCATGGTACAAAACCTCATTCGCCCGCCGGCGCTGACCAATCTCATCATTATTCCAGTCCTGGCATCATTATAAACAAAATAAAGAAGGGGGCCCATCCGGCTGGCGGTGCGGAAACGGAAATGGTAACACAAAATGGCGGCTGGTCACGACCTGGCAGCGAAAAGTGGGCGAGGGCAGTGGGGGAAGGGGGTCAGGGGGCGTGGCAGGAGCAGGACAAACAAAGGCAATTTCAGTCACCAGCAGAATCTGAACCGAGCTCAGGCCATCTGGCATTGGCAACGTGTTTTAAATTATAAATAATCATGGCCAGCGAGTTTCAGACAAAACACAGACTCGCACACACACACACATACACACTTATACACACAGTCGCAAAACGAACTGCTTGCTGGCATTTAATTGAATAAAACATTAGTGTGCAATAAGTTGTGCGATTGTAGCCCTGGAAAAACTTTTGGCAACTGGCAAACGCATTCGCCGCCATTACAATTCATATTAATGTGTTTCCCCCGATTTTCACAGTACTGGATGCTCAGCAAAGCTGGCGAAATCCGACGCGACGACTCCTGTCTCGATTACGCCGGAAAGGATGTGACGCTCTTCTCCTGCCACGGCGGCAAAGGAAATCAGGTGAGTGTTGAAAGTTAAAGAAGCAACTGCTAAAGTTCGGGTAAAATCAACTGCAAAGCAAGAAACATTTTCATGAAGTGTCTACATATTGTTAAATAGTTCTTTCCTCTCAAAATTACTGTTTTATATTTTATTTTTGCTTCGACAAGAAGCCAATAAATATGTGTTTTTTCATGTTAACTAGTAATTTGCTATTAAAGGAATTTCTTATATGTTTAAATAAACGAAACAGTTTATCATAAATGTGTTTTTTTCACTGACAATAGTTTTTCCTGCAAATCTCACTCAGTTTTATCATAAATTGTTATATTTATTTCCAAATCATTTGTTTTAGAGTGTAAGCCCAAAAAACAGCGTTTAGCTATTTAAATGATATAATGTATTCAATGCTTTACAACTTTTATTGGTTGTTTTTTTTTCAAATCATTTGTTTAAGCCTACGACCAAAAAACAGCGCTTAGCTATTTAAATGAGATAATGTATTCAATGCTTCGGTTTTTTTTTTTTTTTTTTGGGTTTAATTTACCTAGAATGGAAAGCACTTAAGCTAAATGCACCTCTCCTTTCAGTTCTGGACGTACCGCGAGAACACGAAGCAGCTGCACCACGGCACCTCCGGCAAGTGCCTGGCCATCAGCGAGAGCAAGGACAAGCTGCTGATGGAGGAGTGCAACACGAGTCTGAGCCGGCAGCAGTGGACCCTCGAGAACTACGACAGCTCCAAGTTGTGAGGCTACTTCTACGCGAGGGGCAACCTGCTGTTGCCCACTTCGCGGCGACACCAAGAACCACATGCATAGCGGCTGGAGCAGGACGGGATTGGGGGGCAGGACATGAGGTGGCACCAGGAGCTGGAGTAGTTCGATGCCCCGAGGCTTGTGCAATAGGGAGTGGGAGTGGGAACGGAATTGGATGCGGGAGCTTGAGGAACGGATTGTAGCAGCAGCATTACTTGCCATGCTATATAAATATTATTAAAACTTATTTGTTTCCAAACAAGAGAGTAGACGTTACCTAGCTTTAAGAACCACACATCCGCAGACTACACAAACAGACACTGAGAAAAAAGAGAACGACTGCTGTACAGTAGCTATAAGTTGATAGGTTTTCTAGGCCTAAGTGAGAGCACTTGGGATTAGGTTAATGGAGCCAAGGAACTTGCTGGCCAACAAAATGAAGTCGTAGCGCAATTTTTGCATTTAAATTTGTAAACATTTAGCACAATTTACGGAAAGTGTAAACCTTGTCTCTGTCTACTAGACTTATTCCCATGGCCAATGACTGGCGAACGATGTCCGGATTATTTATGAATTTTACAAATGTCATTAAATGGCTCTGCGAAAGCCTCATTCCAAATATATGTTTTAGTGAGTAAGCCCTAGGCTAAGTCTGAGTTGGAAAGCGTTTGGTGATAGTCTTAGTTTCGCCTGTGAGCCCGAGCATTCAGATTTATTACGTCTTATACCTGTATATCAATTTAAATGGCGAAAAGCATGTTTTGTTTTATTTATTCTCAAACGATTTATGGGCAAGCTCGTGTTGCCTGATTTTTAGCCGACGAGCGTTAAAAACTTTATGCCAAATTATGTTTAGATCTTTAGTTTTCGGTTTACTTTGTGTTCTCTTTGAAAGTCCTTTACAATTCCTTTCGTTGGATTCTCAAAACGACAACATATCCTATTTGTCAGCTTGTAGTACTTACAAATATCAGTTTCCAAACTACCGATATCACACAAGAAGTATAGCATTAGTCCCTAGAGGTTAGTTCTTAATGCAAATGTGCATAGTGCCTTCTATTTATAACGGACGCATTCTTACACATTCGTTATCGAAACCGTTCATCGAACTTTTGTAGGTCTAGACTAGGTCACAATCACAGCGACTGTGTATATACTGTACTGTACAATTTCATATCGCATCCTGCAGAATGTGTACATAACTATTATTAAATACTGTTTTATTCAAGACTAATACCTACATATTATATCAAGAGTGTAGCCAAGATTTGCGCATTGTTTTTCATTTGCTATGTTTTATTCCAGCCAGCGAGCTTCACTGTAGGCGGCATTTACAATTTACGTACGAAACCAAAAGCCATAGGAAGTGGTCGATATCCTTTTTTTAAAATAAACTTACAATAGTTAACTAAGCGCGTAGTAAATGTGTAATGCAAAAAGTGTGCAACAACCAGATACAATTATAAATAAAAATATGTGAATTGAAAAATGGTTTCTAGAATTTTTATTGGATTATTGCGCTGCAATGCATAATATTTCGGTTTAAGGCCATCTATGGGATGGCAGCAGATCACCCTGGCGCCACCTATCGCCGGGTTCACAACCTTACATTTGCTATTCTACGTCAAAATCATGTAGAGCTGCCAAATACAGCGCTTCTGTAAACTAACAGAAATCAAGCGTTTGTTTTTAAAATTGTTGAGACAAGTTATGAGACTATTTATTGGTTACAACCGATCGCAAATCTAACAAATTGTTTGTTTAATGTATTAAACGTACAAGAGCTATTTTATTAAATTAATTTATTTGAATTTAATTATAACTCAAAATATATATTTTGTATTATTTCATTCCAGATCGGATGGCAATTTCACATATATGTATGTATAATTATTTTTATTACCTTACAAAAGAAAGCACAAAAAAATTTGTGTTTTTTTTTCAAATGATTCACAAGATTGTTACGGTTTAAAAAAATGTTGAGTCTTATTTATATTGCTTAACGCGTTCTTTTCCCGTTCTTTTTATGATCTTATTGTATTTAATATATATCTTTTGCATTTAATTTATATGTATCTAAACAAATGCAGTATTATTCGAGGGACTTTTCGCGAGGAGTGACCACCTGGACCTCGTAGTCACTGAGACCAACCTCCACGCCGCGGTGGGTGATGAACATCTTCTTGTAGGAGGGGTGCACCTTGCCCAGCCGCAGGCTTCCCTCGTACATTTCGCGACCAGTGTAGGTGACCTCGCCGAGATGCGAGTACCCGGTGGGCAGGGCGTCCGTCGGGTAGCCTCCCTTGCGACAGGGCACCCACTCGTGGGAGGCGTCCCTCAGCACCAGCACCTCCACTCCGTCGGCCAAGGCGTGTGCCTCCCCATTCCACCCTGCGTAGGCGACCTTCTTCCTGGGGACGTATGAGGCGGGCAGGCGATCGTTGTAGAAGTAGGCCCGAGCCACGTACGAGGAGTATCCCTTCTTGCTGGTCCCGCACAGCACGGCTCCCTCGGGCGGCTCGTGGGACTCCTCGGTGCGGGAATCCTCGTCCAAATTCATGGGCACCCACTCGAAGTAGGCACCCACTCGGTAGTACTTAGTTTCGCTGGACTCCTTATCCTTTGTTTCACTGGGTTCCTTATCCTTAACTTCAGTGGTCTCCTTGTCTTCTGTGACCTCGGCAATGTTTGGGTAAAGTCTGGGAACGGGATGCCGAGGACTGGAGGACCGGCACGAAGAGGCGTCATTCGTAGCAATTGCGTCACCTGCGCCGTCGCTTTCATCTTTTTGACTCTCCATGGCGCTATTCTCAACCGCACTGAGCTCCAAAAAGCACCGGCATTTCGCATATACTTTTGGGAGAAATTTGAGAGAGGCATTTATGTTATAGAAATTTAAGAGAAGTAAACAAAGAACGAGAGACGTCAAGAGCTCTATTCAGATGTCAGCGGCAGTAGCATTTTGGGCTCTCTCAATTTGTGCAATTCATACAAACACTACTAATTTGAAGATAATCTATTAAGCTCGGGCACTTTAAATTATAATATTGTAATTACCTTTCTTTTTTTGTTTGTTTGTATACACGAAATTCGATATCGACACAAAATGTATTCTAAAAAATTTAGGTAAAAAAATGTACACAAAGTTAATAACTCTAAAATTTATTTTTTACGATAATAACATTTTTATCTATAAATTGGCGTTCTGCTTGATCCTCAGCGGATGGCCGGCATTTCGTGTATACTCTCTAGAGAAATTTAAGAGAGGCAACGCACATAACATTGTTAAAACAAGTTAACATAGAAAGGCAGATTAACAGCACTGCTCAGATGTTAGCGGCAGATACATTTTGGGCTTTTCCGATTTGAGCAAATCTTATAAATACTTTTTATTGTTAGATTATTAAGCTTAGCTCCTTTTTTAAAATTATATTATTGTACTTTGTTTTTTGGTTTCATGGAGTTGCGCCTCCACCATATGCCATTTGTTTTCATCTCTTTTATATAATTGTGCTACTTCCCTTTTACTCAAAATTTTTTTCTTATCGTACTATGCGTTATATTAAATTGGAACTTTACTTGTTAATGTGTATTTACAATAAAAAAAATTTTTCTGAGAATCTACACAAAATTCGATTTCAACACATAAACAAATTTTTCCCATAAAATTCAATATTTTAAAAAGTTAAAAACTTTTAAATTTACAAAGAGCGTTTTATTTCTGCAATGCTAAGACAACAGGAGGAGTTACCACCAAGACCTCGTAGCGATTAACACCGAGCTCCATCTGCATGTATGGTATGTATGGTATGAACATCTTCCCGTAGGAAGGGTGCACCGTGCCGAGCCTGGTTTCTCCAAATCTAGAGCGCCCCGTATAGGTTACCTCTCCCAAATGCGAGTAGCCGGTGGGCAGGGCATCGGGCGGGTAGCCTCCGTTCCGAGAGGCCACCCATTTGGGGACGCAATCCCTGAGCACCAGCACCTCCACGCCTTCGGTGAACTCCATGGTGTCACCATCCCACGCCGCAAAGGCTCTTTTCTTTCTAAGAACATATTGCGCCGGCAGGAGATTGTCATTGAAATAGGCGCGAGCCACATGCGTGAGAAATCCACTCATCCACCTCCCACATTTTACGGCTCCTTTGGGAGGCCGATGGGAGTCCTTAGTGCGGGTATCCTTACTCAGGTTCATGGGAACCCACTCAAAATGGGGATTGGGCTGATCCACTTCCGGTTCCGGATTCCGGTTGATCCTTACTTCGGAAAAGTTGAGGCGCAGTCGGTGGATAATATGCACGTTGCAGAATGACGCGCACAGTGGGCAGGTGTTAGATGATTTCAGCCATCTCATCAGACACCTCTTGTGGAAAACATGGCCACAATTTCTAGTCCAAAAAACAACGTCGACCGCGCGGAAGATGTCGAAACATATTGAGCACTGGACCTTCAGCGCATTCAATGAGTCACTAGCACGGGTCGTGTTTTTCGGGTCGGTATTATCAGCTTTTTGACTCGCCATGCCGGAGATTTGATTCTTACTGAGCTGCCCATACTTCTATGGTGCTATTTATTTATTTTTGCGGCTCTTAACTGAGACAGAGAAGTTTAAGAAAAACCTATACATAATGTTTCACATAAATATATATAATTAATATTGACTTTTAAGTTTTAGAGAGCAAAGTAACTTTGTGCCATTCCGAACCGAGAATCCTTATCAAGCCCTTAAAGAGGGTATTATAATTTTAGTAAGAAGTTTGGAACGTGACTGTGACACCTTAGACTCCTTAAAGTATATATATTCTTGATCTTGGCATTACCATAGAAATCAATCTAGACGTGAAAAATAACGGGAATAAAATTATAACGCCGTTATAGGGCATTATTTTTTGCAGACTAAGTTTTTTTAAGACTCTGTAATTTCAAATCAATTTTTTGAAATTTTTGTTTTTGATGAGTCTAACCCTTTTTTACATTTCACTCCCAACGGAAAGAGTATATCAGCTTCGACTCGACGAAGCTAGATTATTTTTTGGTTATCAGCATACATATCACGTATTGAAGTGATGAGGTATGAAATCTAAGAAACATTCCTCATTCTCGTTTGCATTTGCAAAAACAAAATTTTGCTCCGAGATGAGGCGTCAAGCACCCCTGCTAGATTCTATATTTTATGGTATAGGAAATAAATATATTTAAATTCCTCATATTTTATGATGCAGTAGATTTTTATTTAAGCTCGAGAGATAGATTTCCTTAGGACAATGACATTTTCATTTACACGTTGGCGTTCTGCTTGATCCAGGACCTCAGGGCACCCACATAGGTGTACATGGCCGGACGACCCTTGGCCCCGCAGCCGAATCCCCAGGAGACGACGCCGAAGAGCTTGCCATCGACGGTCAGCGGACCGCCGGAGTCGCCTTGGCAGGAGCTCACTTGGCCACTGGGGTGTCCTGCGCAGACCATGCGATCGGTGAGCCCGGGAATGTTCTGCGAGTTGCAGTAGTCCCGGCTCCACAGCTGCACCTGGGCGAACTTGAGGCGGTTGGGCAGCTGCAGGTTCGGGTTGATGGCGCCGAAGCCGCTGATCACGGCCATCGTGTCCGCCGCGTAGTTGGAGTCCGAGTCGGCCAGCTGGATGGTGGCCACCGGTCCGCCCAAGGGCACCGGGCTGCTCAGCCGAATCAGCGACATGTCGAAGTCCTGGCTCTGCGGATTGTACTGCGGGTGGATCAGGAACTGGGCGATGCCGAAGGTCTGGCCATTCCCAGCTGCCAAGTCGTTGGTGCCCACGATGGCCTTCATCTGGCCCGGATTCTGACCCACCGTGCAGTGGGCGGCGGTCACGATCATGGTCTCCGAAATCAGCGAGCCACCGCAGTGGTGGCGTCCGTTCAACTGGAGGGACACCTGGTGGGGAAACTGCCCAGGAGCAGCGAACTGGCCTCCAATAATCCTCGACTCCTCCGACGCATCCATGTCGCCGAGGACCGAGGTGGCGACGAGCAGGAGGACCAGAGGACTGGCTAGATTGTTAACCGAAGACATGGCAAGGGTTGAGTGTGTCCAATGTGGTTCAGTTGTTCTCTATTTATAGGCCTTGTTTGGTGTTGCGTTCGAGTGGTTTTATCGCCAGAATGGCACACTTTTGTTCAGAAACCCCTGATAAGTGGGGAATAAAATGGGGGGTTGTTTTGTTAGGTATTTAGCTCTACTTTATTAATTTGGCAAAAATATATGATATCAGTAATGCAAACTTATACTATTTAATTCAGTTTTAGGATTCAATCTTGTTAGTTTCCACTTTTAGATTTTAATGGTGAATAATTATATTCAAGTCACTCTTAAGCTTATAACCTTTTTTACCAACTCAATCTTAATTACCGCCCCAGTTAGAGGTAATTTCTCCTCAAATTTAGCCGCCAAATGCCAATTTCTATTTAGGCCAAACAGCAGGGGCTCGGCTCGACCAAGTTTATGTGCGAAATTTAAATTTTCGCCACATAAAAATCAAGTTCACACAATACCTAATTGTTGTGGCCTGTTTTTAGGAAACGCAATGCTTTTAATGCATTTGAAGCATTAAAAACTCAGTGAGACGATGAATTTGCTGGCTTTGCTCCAGTTTGATGTCCATTGCTGATCATCCACACGTTTTTCCAGATCTCGTGCTTATAGATGTTGCGATAATTCTGTACGGACACCAGGAATTCCGGACCAAAAAGAGTTTGTATTAGCACATTTTCAGCAGCCAGATTTCGATTCGTGGTTGCGTGTACAATCACCAAAGGGGAGTTGCTCTGTGGTAAAAGATTATAAATAATCAAATTTTTATATATATATTTTACTTACAGGTATGTCTTCTCCTTCGCTTTCAAAGCGTTGTTTTGGATCCACGTGTCTGCAAAACCAATTTGTGTACGCCATGGGTATATCGTTTTCGGGACTGGTTATTTTCTGGAAAAAATGGCATTTCAGCATGCAATTGAAGTATATGTCACCATAGTAAATTCAATAAAATTTAAATTTCTATGAATGGATCTAATTGTTTTAGAGGGACAAACTTACAAATTATAAAAAGGAAAAAAATGAGAAAAAAAAAAAAAATAAAGCTTTAAAATAACTAAAAAATTCATTCTGTTTCGAGTGAAATTTTTAAATATAACGTATTAGTATTTATACTTCTAATTAAAAATGTAATCAAACGATCGAAGTTGAAGTTCTAATAATTTCTCACTCCAATTAAGGAAACATAATTTTTGTGGGTTTCGTAAAATCTCGAATTTGAACGCACTCGCACCCATTAAACTTAAGCATGAATGAGTTGGACAGCCACTTACACTGCGAAGCATGAGTCCCAAGTTGAGATTGAGCTCCCCGTTTTTGTGAGACAAGTAGGTGGCACTGACGCCCTGCTGCAGATTGCACCGCTTGGGCCCACTGTACAGTACAATGGGGTCGTCCTCCGAGGAGCCCACGCACTGCAGCTGGAATCGTTGTCCGTACTTGATGTTCTCCCCGGTCCGGTCCCGCCCATCGCCACTGACTATCTTGAAGGAGTTGCGTACACAAGGACGCTTCGAAGGAGCCACAGTCAGTTCGCAGTCCTCGTTGATCGACTGGCTGCTTCGCACCACCTTTTCATTGATCACCACCGACAGAGCTGCGTTCAAATCGGAGGTGTCCATCTCGCTGATGTTCATGTAGATGGGCATTAGCTGCACAGTGGCACCGAAAATAATCGTCTGCTTGGGGGCAGCCAAAACGATCTCCTTGTGGAAATTATCGTACAAAGTGCGAGCCTTTTCCACCAGCAATTCTCCTCGATCGCGTTGCTTTTTGAAAACCACTATTTTGTCCTGCAAAATGAGTACATAATTATGAGTTACTTCTTAAAGAAATATACCAATCAATATCACCTCCTCTAGACAGTTTTCCTCCACCCAGTTTCCAATTCTTACACTGGGCTGAAAACGGGCGGAAATCGAATCCGTGTCTGTAATTCTGCAGGGCATTTTGTTATTTTAAAGAACGAAAATTAATGACTTTTCAATGAAGATAAATAAGTTGTTTAAAGTGCAATAGCGAGTTTATATTTTTATGAAATGTAAATAAGTGTGTAATTGACAGATAACTAAACGTTTACTAGATTTAAAACGTTAAAAGGTGAAAATACTTCTAAGCGATAAATAAGATTGTACTTTGTAATAATTTGTAATTACATTATACTTAGTTTTTATTTCATTTGTCTGTTTTATTGAGGGGTGTTTGAACCTTTTTTTTTTTGTGGAAATTCCCAGAGCATTGCTTCCTCACGGTCTCAAACACTCCGTCGCTAATCTAATTGGTTTTGTTTTTTTTTTTTTCGAAAATTTGAACTGGACCTCGTTTAGTTAAATGTACCATATAATTAATAAGTAGTAAAACAAACACATCGGGTAAAATTTTGATAATAGCATTACTGAGAGATTTGATTAAATGGTTTCCCGTTAACATTGTTTTGAACCTTTATTTGCGATAAAAACTTTTTTCTTTCTCTGAGTGCATTTAGAGTAGGCTTAACGCAAGTAAACCCTATTTATATTCCCGCCCAAATAATAAATTCACCACATTGCGAAACAGTAGTCTACTTTTGGGCCTCTACAACAAATACAATCAGCTTGTGCTGGTGCGATCAGGGCACACACGGCGTATGAGTAATGGAAGACCCAATATTTTGCACTGGCACACATTTGCGAGCAGCAAGTTATCTATTTGCCGCTCTCGGACAACTCAAACAGCGGTGATTTGGCCTGTTTGCTGTAACTCACGTCTGCCAAGACCATTTGTGTCTCATTCTTTGAGTTGGCGGGTCGGGCATCTTGGAGAAGGCATCATTAGCAAATCTCCCGGCTGCCCAGGCCAAATATCGGTGACAAGATAAGCCGCTTGTATCAACACTTGGCACATTGCCCGCCGCTAATTGTGCTTGTTAACCATTATCATCGATGTCGGTTGGTTATTGTGGCTTAAACCCCTCGCTGATTTACCTGCCGGTGGGTAAATGTAGCTGTAGATGTACCCGCTCTATTGGATCGGCGTGCAAATCACGTGAACGTGAGCGAGCTGCTCGGCCGATTTGCGGCACGTTCCTTATCTAGCCACTCGATTGCAATGGGGGCTATATGCGATATTGTCGCCGGGGCTCGAAGTTTTACGACTGTGTTTACCTCTGCTTTTTGAAAGGCACGCCTTTTAATCGAGACATCCGACGTTCAGCTCGACACTGATTTATTTATTTTTCTGCACAATTTTTTGATATTTATTAGATCACATTTATGAGCTAGAAAAAGAGTCATTCAAGCATTGCTTTCAACTTTATAGAATGAGGCTAAAATATTCCATAGTTTGATCCGAAGTTCTACACACTTCTTACTTCGTAGAAAGTCACTCTTAACTGTTTTTCCCGGCAATCTTCCTCAAAACGCAACCGGAACCCACATAGAGTTGGGGTTGCGGGTAATGTATATCCCATAATCACTCCAGAATATTATATTAGTAGTGACAAATGTATAAGAAACTTTATCATCTGGTCTCTGAAGTCCGTTAAATGGTACTAATTGGCAAACCAATGAAAAGTGGAACAGATTTAGTTACTAATCTAGTTTATTTATTTACAACCAGTTTAAGCTACAACGTTCCGCCTGACGCATTCAGATTAAAACTATTTGCACTTTAGTGCTATAAAACTAGTTATTATAATCAGTAAAGTATGTTTATAGAGTTGCAATAGTCAAAATCTAGACACCCATTACGAAGGGTAAGTGTATTTCCATTTTTATTTTAATTGTAAATTAGGAAGGCCATAAAAATTTGACAAAGCCCATACTTTAAAAGCTTAAGTTCTTAGCACTTAACATCAGATTAAACCACTTTATAAATAAAATAATAAATAACTCTCCTTATCAGCTATAATAATTCGTGGCTAAAATTTATACAAGTTTGTTAACTTTATTTATAGAATAACTCAAATTGTTACCACCTAAAATATAAGGAAGTTTTTGCAACTCTAGGCACTTCCCCCTTTCAAAATGAATATAGAGAGTCTAGACTTATATTAGTGATAAGGTTGACTTCTAGTTAATCGTTGTTATTTTCAAATAGATGCAATGATTTTTCTTATTTCCCTCAATGACTCAGACTACATTCAGTGGAAAATCACTTCATACTTCACCAGCGATAATTTCATTTAATCAAAAATAAAAATAAATTTTTTTCGTTTTGTTGGAGATATAATGCAATATACTCCCTTATTGTTTGCAGGCCACAAACAACGTTTCGTTATCTTGGCTAAAAGATGGAAATCCAAACACACATTAAGTGCGTCAAACGACCGGCCCCGAAAAATAATGCGGATCAATTGTGGCGCTGAAATATCTCTTTCGATTATTCAATTTCGTCACAAAAACACACTGTGTCCTATCTAGATTTTTAAAATATAATTAATAACGAGATAATACAAGCAATAGCAACTGAAATGTATTGTTAAAATATTATTTGGCACGGGCAATCGATTGCCACTCGAAGCTGTCATACTTATAGCCGCTTTGATAAGGGATCGCCAAAAAGGTTATATCGCTTCGGCTGTTGGGCTAATCCGAAGACCACAATCCGAAATCATGTGACCAACTTTTCCCCGTTGATCTCATTCATAAGGCGGTACTTTATACATAGTATAAACCCAAGCCGACTACTGCTGGTCAAGATTGTGTTTTACGACTCTTTATAGACCCAAAATCAGTTGATATTAGCTACCGCAAGAATAAAACTGCCCGTTCCCTTATCGCTGACCACAGTTGGCTTATAGAGCTATTGAGTACTAAGGTAAAAATTATTTGAATTAAAAAGAGTATAATAATAGACCACTATTAAAATAAGGATATATTTTGTAAATAAGATAATACCCTTTGAATTCTGTGTCACAAGGAGGAGAGCAAACATATGTTTTATCTAAAAATTATGAACTTATAATCTATTTTTATTGAAATATCATCAGACAGTTTTATATATAGTACAGGAATTAGTGTTTTTAGTGTTGACGGAAAAGAGAGCTTTAATCCAGTGAGAAGTTATTCCCTATGCGAACAACCTTCGCTTGACGTCAATTCTAGATCTTTAAAATAGCAGCGATCGTAATTCTCCTTATGGGGCTTGTCAATCTGTCAATATCGTAAAAGTCTCTTTCGCCCATCGCCATGTGTCTCTCATGCGGGCGAGAGATTAATTTAGTAATTTGCCAGAAAGTGCGAGTGTGCTCACGTGAGCGGCACACGATTGACGGGAGTGTGAGTGCACCCGTACCCCCCTTAATATGTGTGGGCTTGTATTCTCCACAGAGAGGGCAAAGTAACTGCACACACACTCTCCGCAACCGGTTAATCGAAACCGATTCGACGGGGTCAGCCGAAAGTGGGAGTGAGATCCTCGAAAGGCAGCTCCATTATACACCACATACCGGTGGTTTATAACGCTGTTTTATTAACACAATGGGCCATTATCACCTGGCTGGCAGGTAGTTATCAGTTGGACGAAGCTCGCCCGGTGAATCAAGTTGAGCGCTTCGTGTTTCCTAACGCCAACGCCGACGTCGACTTCGCTGCCGCGGCCGGCTTCGCTGCTTAGTGAGCAAAAACAGAAACAGAATTATAAAAACGTTCAATTAGCCGCGGTAGTAAGTCATTACAGTGCCAACGCTCGTAGCGAAAGGAGCGAGTGAAAAGCTGCGAAAGAAAGTTTTCCATCGGCTGTGCGTGGAAAATTGGCCTGCGACAAAATCCATTAATGTGAGTGGTAAACCTAGACTCTAAGTTAGCAGAATTCCGCTGTGCCGTCTGTTCTGTGTTACTTCCCGCCTTTGTTTTTGTCCGCAAATTCGCTGAGTTGCAGTTAATTGGCCCCACTGCGAAAAAGAGTGTAAAAACCTTATTAAGAACGGGGATGTCAAAACAGCTGATTCGTATTTTTAAAAAGTTGTTTTTCTGTGAGTTTGCGCGTGTGTATTTGCGTTCGGCGTGAGGTGAGTGAGTTTCTGATTAAATCCACCAGCCAATTAAATCCACGAAATTAAAATATGTTTTAAAACCTCTGCCAGGCTAAAACGTTAACAAAGGCTAAAAAAACGAGTTAAGTAAGGCGAACAAAGGGTTCAGCTGTTAATTGTCAAGGAACTCGATTAAAGTGAATGATTTACGATCGCTAATGATGCGCTTTTTTGTGTAACCACACCGTTCACTCCCACTTAGATGTTTGTGAAGATTACAGAACCCTATTTACTTTTATTTCGAATCCCAATTCGATAGCCGACTCAAGTGCGAAAATGCGCGCCGATAAGCAGATAAGACCCCTTGAAACTCCCAGGTCCGCTGATCCAAACAGTTTCCCACTGCTGGAGAACGGCAAAAACAATGTTAAGAATCTGATAATGAGTGTTGCACTGCGGAAAAAATGTATGATATATAAAAAACACACTGCATTTGATTCAAAGTAAAAAGCCAACACAAGCACTTTGTTATTTACATATACTCGTATTTTATTTTAGACATTTTTAATGTTTAAAAAACAGTCGTACTGAACCCAAGTTTCCAAGTATACATGAAATTTAAAGCATACAAGTTCTGTATTTAGTTAGCCAAATGAAAGTTAAGCATTAGATGCCTGGGTTTTCCCGAGTGTGCAGCCACTCGGCCGAATCGAATGTGAATGTGAATGTGAGTTGAGGTTGAGTCTCGGGCCTGAACTTGAACTTGAAAAGCTGAATGCAAACACCACAAGCCAGTGAAAATGAAAATTGAAGTGGAACTGGAAATGTTGGCGGCAATTGGAACAAATAACGAATGGCATTAAAATAAATTAAGAGTAACCCATCCCCATTAAAATGCCAATCTACGGTTGTTTAAACCGCAGCACGGGTGGAAAATTTGCCATTGCCTTGTCACGGATCCGTCGTATAAGCGACGAAGGCTGGTTTATGGACCAGCGATAAGGCCCAATTATAGCATAATTAGGCAATCTGATACCAGATGCCTTGAATGCCGTTATGGCCGCATCTCAGTCAGCCGAAAAAGGGGTGAATGAAGTGTAATTAGCACGTGTTTTGGGCCCAGAGGAAGTATCTCGTTTCGAGTCCGTAGTTCGCATTGCCGTGCAATCTATGAGAGGTTCCACACTCAATGCTGGCTCTTAGATAAGCCTGTTTGATTTACGGCCATAGTCACCTCTCATGGCAACCTATTCGATGATTACCAACTCATTTCGGAAGAACTCGAACGACAGTCCGTCAATAAATCTGTCTAACGCGGTATTTATGAGCATGCGGTTTTTTCTACAAGTGGCCAGAAGTATTCTATTGGTCAATTCGAACTTTGGCAGCTTCTCCCTTTGCCCACTTATCTTGCCGAAATTTCCGACACTTCAGCAAATTTTTAGCGCCTCGGCGTACTTTTCAATCCGATTAAGAGGCGTTAGCGATAGCGATTAGATTCATAAATTTTTGTTGCCCCCATCCACTGCATTAAATATGACTTTGTGGCCACCCATAAATTTAGGGTTTTTACTATTATTTACTAATGCACTTTTAATGCCGGCCAAATGTAGCTATAAACTACAGACAACGAACAGTTGCGACACAATAAACAATTAGCAATAAAAGATTGCAATTTAAATTTATTACATTATTTATAGAGTTTTAGAAGCATGTGCTGGAGATCCCTAGAACCCCGGGGATTTTTCGCTTTTCATACAAAGTTGTTAGTTACCTATTATCGGACTTAAATTATTTTAATTTGCCGCGATTTATAGTATTTATAGCAATGAAAAGCTATATTTAGTGAGATCCGTGCCAGGAGTATGGCAACCATCGCTTTCGACTGCCTTCAGCGATCTGCGGTTGTTTAGCAGTCTTGAAATGCAAAATCATTCCGTCTAAGTTTGACAGTCCCAATGTTTACCCAAATGTCAGATTGCTAATTGTTTAAATTGATCAATATTTGTGACAGAAATGCGGCAAAGGAAACTCGAGATTTGCGCTACTATATTGAACGATCTTATTAAATAACCATAGAGATCACGTTTCTATTTTTGATCATTGGCTTATAAAAAGATAAGAAAAATTCTTGCTTTGTAATGGGCTAAATTATATAATAATTGCATTTACAAGGAAATATAATCTGATAAGGGCAAAAGGTAATACAGTAACAAAGGGAACGAGGCATACATTTTTCATGCCATTGTATTTAAATTAAATGGTGCAAGTGTTAGAATTTGTTCAACTTTCAACGTATAAATCTACAGCATTGAACCAAGCTTGTCTTTCTTACGAAATCAAGCTTAGATTATGGAGATATTTAATCATTTCTTCTCTAATTAATTGCTTACTTGACTTGTTTATAGTGCTATTTTTGTTTGCTACACTTTGACATTCATAACAGCCAAATTAAGCCATTGTGTGGGCTCAATTTCTAAGAAATCTGCGCAAACAAAACACGGGGAGAGCAGGTTGCTCAGACGGCTTATGAAACTTTCCAAAAACGTTTTTTGGGGCTGCTCTGACGTTCGAACAGTTTGAACAACAATTAAAATGCGGCTCACACAAAAACTCGAGTGCGCAACTGAGGTTTTGTTATATTGACTTGAGTTTTTTTTTAATTTAATTAAATGTAGAATCAAAGCGCTGTTATAATCAGTTTACTCGGAATTTGCCTCGCGAAACCCCGTAACCAGTTTCGTAAAAAGGGAAACATTGTCTTGATTTTCGGTAGTTTGCCGCAGAGGGAAACAAGCGTAAAGTTAATAAACACATTACATCATCAGGGAGCCGAAATTGTCAATATGTGAGTGGATAAGCTCCGAACGAGATAAGTAGAGCTGTAAGGTTAATTACGTTGCGAGTGTGCGATATAAATGCAAATATTAAACTAGCCTTGCCATGCGGCACATGAAAAAAGCAGACAAGGCCTCCTCGCAGAACTGGCTAAAAAATCAGCTGGCAAACTGTACCCCAGACCGATCGGGGCTAACGATAAATTATATACATATAATATTCGCCAAATCACGGTATCAAATATTTAATCGCCGGTCGCTGTTAACTGGGAAAACGTGCGTAGGGAGACTGACTCGTGAGATCTCGAAATCAAATGTCAAACTCGACAAACTCGGGATGACGGTGGACTTTTTCGCATTCGGCGACACTTAGCGTTTGCCTAACCAATTGAAGCCGATAGCCTGCTAAATTTATCAAACTAATTTGTTTACCGCTCTCTGCTTTCAGATTAACAACTTGATCTGCCGATCTGTGATCTGCTATCTGCTATCTGCGATCCGCCAGCCAGCCAGAAAAGCGGGGAAGCTGCTGGAGAAGTGAAGGGACATCGGCATCCGTATCCCCGAAGAGCAAAAGCGAGTGTCAACAAGCCCGGCGAAACGGCGAATAAATCGTGCAAACAGCAGACAGCAGACAACAGACGTCTGACTGGGACCCAGTCCGAACCTGAATCGGGGCTTATTTAAAGGCCCGCTGCCCGCTGTCTGTCAATCAGAACAAATCAAGCTGCCGGCGGCAGCAGATCGCGAGTGAAGAAACCCGAAGAAAGCGGCCGTAGATCCAGAAGAATCTCCAGCTGAAGATAATTGTGCAAATATCGTATCGGTGGGGCAAATACCCCGACGTCTTCTTGCTTACAAAAGTTCGACTGCAAATACTCCCGTGCAATTACACCCCCGCAGAAAGTTTGCTTTCTGCATTGTTGCAGTATTGTGATATTTAAACGCGCCACCTGCAGCGTCGTAATCAATTTGTTTTAACACTCTGTGTTTAACCTGAACAAAGCCCTTAAAGCCATAAAACCCGCACAACACAATAATCAAGATGTCTGCGTCAAAGGAGGCCATTTGTGCGAGCACCGAGAAGGATCTGCAGAAGCCAGCTCTTGGTGAGTTTTCTTTAGATATAATATACTCTATATGTCCTAGAAAGGCGAGTGTGGGAGCGTGCCAAATGTCACAAACAAGCGGTGTTACATTTACTAATTGTAGTCGAGATAAATCACAACTGTCACTTACAGCTAAGATAATTCCCAATTGTTATTGCCCTCTTTGTTTGGCAATTATCAAGGGACTGTTAGGGATGTGACAAAAACATCATAAATACAAAGACCAATAAAAACTAAACCATAAAATTAGAGTAGTATTTTATATAGAAATTATTTTATACCTCAATAATAGATCTAGTCTATCAGAATAGAATTTCTTATTTTAATTAATAAACCTTTTAAAATCTTCGATAAGTACATTCATTCAAAAGTAGAAAATCTTCACTTACCCTAGGAAATAGAACAACCCAGTTATTAACTTCTTGAACCTTATTCGACTAAACATGAATATCAGGAAGTAATTTGTATACCATAATTGATTCAAAGTTAATCTCAGTAATATGCATATACCTACGCCTCAGCTTTCTTTTCTTTCGAACAATTATCCGCTCGGTTTGTAATCCATATGATGCACACCCCAAGTCTATGATTTCAGTCGCCTGGTAATTGCCCCATTTATTGCAAATGACAATTCACTCGGCTGTGTGTCTCAAGCGCTGAGCCATATAATTCATATTTATCAGTTGCTCGAGCTGCTAAGCAAATTAACAATACAAAACCTGAACAGAAAACGTGAGCTATTTCGCAATCGTTAAACTCAAAAATTACACTTGAAGTCGATTGAATGGGCTTCTCATTGCTTCTCCGGGAATCCACTTGATTTAAATAAACGAAATCCGCCCGAAAATGGACGAGAAGGTTGCCGCTAAACGGAAGTTATTTGTTATGCAACGAAAATGAGGACAAAAATAAAATCCATTAATAACAAGAGTCGCCAATGCGTGAGCCAAATTCTCAATTAACGTGTGATTCCCGAATCACTTTCGTGTTTAGCACAGGAAAACTTTATGAATATCTGATACTTTATTTTAAAAAATTAGCAAAATTTCCAACAACAAAGTAATTCAATATGAACAGAAAGCAGGTTGTAGGTGTATAATTATGTGTAATTTTATTCGCATTTTTAATTCAGTAAACATTTTAATAAAGCGGAATATTTTATACATTTTTTACACAGTTGAGTCAACAATGCCCAACTGTTTTTGTCTAATTTGCCTATTATTTTGCCATTTGTGGACCGGCCAAGTGGTTTGTTTACGTTGTCTTTGCCTTCCTGAAATATTTTACTCAGAAGTCATCTGCTCGACTCTTGACACAGTTTGTTTGAGTTCCCGTTTTACCTTTTTCATAGCTAAGTAGCGTGGTTTCAACCAACCAAAACCGGTTACCGGTAAAGGCCCGAAAGTGCAAAAAACAAACTAGCCAAAAAAAAACAGAGCTATAAATCGCACAAATCGCAGCAAATGCCAAATACAGTACGTGTTTATAACTGAGCAAATGAACTCTGCAAGGCGGGGTGTTAAAACTTGTTTTCTCCCGATATTCGCGATATTCGCGGCTAAGGTCATCGGGGGAAATGCATTCGCCTTGAGATTCCGGCGAGCACTTTTCCCTTTTTACTTTCATTAGCGATTGCAGAGTCATTTTAGCTTGTCGTGTCGGGAATGGCGAAATGAGAGCGATTTTCGGTCTGGCAGCTTGCCGAGTTTTTCAGCAAGTCGCTGGCTTTTGGCCCTGATATTGACTTTTGAATGGGTGACCCTCTGGTTTTGTCATCTAGCGACATTCCACTGGTTAATTGGACGCTACCGTGAATACATTATCTATTCAATTTCCCAGGCGACGCCTCCGCAGTTTGTGGCTCGCAAAAACACCCAGTAATTTAACAATAGGGCGGCAGAGTATGAAATCAGCGACCTGTTCAGCGATCCGCTCGACTGGAGCCCCATATCCGTTCTATATTTCCAGGGGACATATCTAGTATATAGACGAGTATAGCATCGTTGCCGTTGACGTCTCGGGGCATTGTCGTAATCCGATTTGCGGCCCATCTCACTGCAACTTGCTAAATTGAAAAATTGCTCTTACAAAGTAGGTTTAAATGTTAATGGGAGCAAGGGAGATGGCAAACACTATAAACTTTTCAATTTGGACAGTTGAAATTCTTTTTTTTTTTAAGATCGTGACTTTGCGACGTTTCGCAGAATAGTATTTAATTTTTTTGTGCACTTTTTTATTTGCGACAGTGAGTGGCATGCGAATTACTCATCTCATCTCTTGAGTGTGCTTGCTACTATTTTTATGTAGATTACAATTACCACGAAAATAGACGAGACATTCATTCACAGAGTGATATCTACCGCTTTACCTGCAAAAAGGGAAGCCGAAATAGAAATTACGGAGCAATTAACCCAATGCCACAGTGGCGACTAGCTGAATTGGAACCATCTGATAAAGGTGGGCAAATAATCTCGGATTGTCATCGGTCTGACCTTCTGGGAAAACAAAGCCCTCCATTTTTATAGCCGACAAATATTTGCGGTACTCTTTTGCACCTTTCAAGATACCCGATACTAGGAACCCGCAAACGGCGACAAGTATTCGCTGTTTATGTTTAAATTGAGCTGAAAGCCAAATAAACGTCAATTGTGCTTTATTATTGTGGCTGTCTGTGCAAAACAGAGGCTTTTGTATGGCCAGAATTCCCCAGAATGCTCTCACGCAATTATTCATTTACAACTCAATCGGAGAAGAAAGCAGAGTTCCAAAGAAATCCCTGAAAAGTAGTTAATTTTAATACTTACGTAAATTCACGTTACGTTACGCTGAAGCTCACCCCAAAAGCAGGCAACGAAAACGTAACGAAAGCTTGTAGACTCCATGTAGAGTATATGTAAAATAGTTAACTCATTAGTTACCCATAAACAATTATCAATAAAAATATATTCTATCTTGTTGCTGAACAAAAATAGATCGTAATAGTTGGCAGATGAAAATGAAAAATCACTTAATTGCTCGGGGCGCGCACAACTGTACCGCGGCATGACCATAAAGTATTCCATTAGAGGATTTGCCAAAAATACACCTACATACACTTAAATAATTAGAATATGGTATGCATCAAACATGACACTGTGAATGGCTTCTCTTTTTTGTCACGAGAGCCCCGTAGACACGCTCAGGCCAGCTGACCATAATTAACACAAAGGGGAACCATAAAAAAGAGGAATGGAAGTGAAAGGGGCTTTAACTATGTTGTTTGCGAATATCTCCAGCATTTCGACTTGTTGATCAGATATCGCCAGGAAAGTTTGTAAAATATATTTATAAAAAAGCATTAAAAACAAGTGTATTTTTAATGCCTTCAGACCATTAATTTTTATGGTATATTAACCAGTTTTAACCTCTGAAAAAATATTCCTCATCTTAGCTTTAGATAGAAAAATAAAAGAACATTCCCACGTCGCTGCGATCGTATCGCATTGGCAAATTGAACTTGTGAGCGGAGACAGGCGACAAACACGTGTCGGTTTCAGCCGGCGGCAAATTTCTGAGCGGGCTTCGCCATCAACGCACACACACACACACTATTAAACGAATATAAGTTAAACACTTGTGCGATTCAAGCGTGACTGTAGCTATTTTTACAGTTTCAACTTTGGTCTCGCTCTGCGGTTTGTTGAAAAAATAAATAATGACAAAACCAAAACAATAGGGGAAATGGTGAGCGGTATTGCTCAGTCTTGTGGGCTATGTAAAAATTAGCAACAACTTGTCAAAGCGATTAAATAGAGTATATATTTTGGCGTGACCAGTAATTACTCAGAAAATATATTGTGCACCTCATGGGGGCGCCTCCATTTGGTTGCGTCGCACTTCTATGACTTCATCCCGAGTCCATAGGCGTATTTGCATGCGTCTCTGCCATTTGTTTTTACTAGGGATGGTTGGATTTAAATTATAGCTTGAGTATTACATTTAGGATTTATATTGCTTATAAAATACAAGAGATGATCCTTAAATGTATAAAGTGTACTAGTTTATGAACCAAATTAAATGAAACAAATATTCGATTTCAAAACACTTAAAGGCACCGCTTTAAGTGTACTAGGGATATATATTTTTAGCAATTTTTCCGATTTCCCAACAAGCATTCCCGGTGTTACCGTAATCACTTAGCTCTGAATATTTTAGGCAGCGCGTGTACTTCGTCTTCCATGTGCCGAAAGTCACGAGATGTGAATGTGTGCCGTGCTTACGTCCGCCCGATATAATTAGACATATATACTATAGGAGGTGATTCGACCGATGTCTTTGACTTTGGTACCCGGCTGAAAAGTTGACTCTATCAATTGACATCAATCGGCGGGTTCGAAATGATGCATTATGCAGGGGAGACTTTTCCACCGCCTCGCTTAATTAGTCGAAATCTGAACACTAAAACTGATGTAATCACCCAGCGGCGGAGAGAGCGACGCCGGCGCAGAACCAAACCACACATTCGTACAGTCCTACATCGTTCTATATCCGAACCCAACAGCCGCAGATATACTCGCATATTGCGAACCCACGGCAGTTTATAAATGAAGGCGGCGCAACAGTTGGCGCTCAGTAGAAAAAGCTGAAAGCAACAAGCGGGAGCAGAATTACCCACTCAGTTGACCGTTCAACGTCGGAGGCAGAGCACATTTGTCCATCGAATTATCGCTAGTTTTCCTCGTTCCTACCTCTGAGTTTCCCAGCCCGCGATATGTTTCGGTCTTCAGCCGGCCAAGTCGAGAGATAGACAATGAAATGGTTTAAGCGTGTGCGCAAAAAGTCTTGAAATCGAGGAAAACCGAACTAGAAAATATCAAATTTATTTAAGTTAAGTGTGGCTTCGAGCAAAATGCCTTTCCGTCGCAGCAGTCTGAACCATCGGCATCGCGATGGCCATGTTTTGGTGTGGAATCAGAGGAATCTCCATGAATCACTGGAGCAACAGCCGCAGAGTAAGATAAAGTTAACCAGAACAAGAGTCTAGAAATGAATATAATTTAAAATAAGAAGTGAAATAATACATTTTTGAAATGTTTTTATAGTGAGTCGATAGATTCTTTTAATCTTTCATATTTGTTCTTACCATTCCCTCGCTTTCTTCTCCTTATTTATTTTATGACCACTCTGCGTATGCGTAATATTAAGGGTAGCAGTTTGTTGTTAGGCGGCGTTCGCCCTCTAAACACACACTTTTCCACTGGCAGACCGGTTTTTTCCCCTTGGACTGTTTCGCGCGATATACACGTGCTTCTCCCCGTCGCCAGATTGCTGGCAACGAAAGCAAACGCGGCGATTGTGCAACACGAGATGTTGCTGAGGAATGGGGGGAAAACAGGGAAAAAAGCGAGCAAATCGCGCGATTAAACGCTGCGTGAGCAAAAATAAACGGCTAGCGAACGGCAATATTTTTAAAATTAATTTGAAATCAGCAATATTGCGGTTTCAGGCTATTGTTTATGTCGTAGCCTTTTTTTTGTGAATTATGGCCAACTAAATTCCAGGGAATCTGTCGGGTTATTGAACAGAAAATGCTTGTGGAGCATATTTTGATTTTCCACAAGGTGGTGGGCAAAGTTCATTAGTTTTGAAAGTAAATTGGCTCAATTATTTCTGCTAGCTGGCAGCCTTGAACTTTCTATGCGTCACCGACTAATTAAACCACAAAAACCCCAATCCCAAAAACACAACTGTACTGGCAGCTGGAATTCTGAGTAACCTCACGTGTTGCACGGCCGTGAAAATTGCTAGAAATGCCGGCGTTCACGTTTGACAAATGACACAAATGGCACTTAAAAACTACAAACACACCCAACCAAACGTAAACAATTGCTTCATCGTAATAATAAAACGCGATCGCGGAATATGAGTCGCAGGCAATAAAATCGAATAAACAGAGGGGTGGAAATTACGAATGGCAAATTGGAGATTGCTGGATAAATCAGTTATGGCATATTGTAATACAATAAATTGTTGTTTTTGGATTGATAATGAATGAAACTAATAGAATTAGGTTTACAAAATCTGACACATATTTTCTCTTCGTAGAATCTTCAGAATGTTCTCCGATAATCTTTGCGTCATCTAGCAGAGAATCTTATCTCGTGCGAGCAACGAACCTTGAGCTAAGCAAACCCAGTCAAGATTATATCTTCATATCTCGCTTTTGGCCCCGATACATTCGGGTTATTTCTGCATTTCCGAAGCAAATAATTGGCCGGCTAGCATTTATAGTTGTTGACACGATTTCCGTCTGTCTTAGATTAATTATTCTGTGTTTGCTTTTTGCTCGCTGACGCATGCACTAAATGCAAAAAATAAATCAGTTTGTAAATTCTCTAAGAGGTTTATTTTGCCTCGGGGGCTCTATTTTTAATGAGTAATTTTACTGATTTATATTTTCTCTGTTCTTTCATTTTGTAGGATTCTTTGCAACCCGGTACTTTGTGACGTTTATGCTTTTCCTGGGCATGGCCAATGCCTATGTGATGCGCACCAACATGTCGGTGGCCATTGTGGCCATGGTCAACCACACGGCCATTAAGACCGGTGACGAGGAGTACGATGACGAGTGCGGCGATCGGGATATACCAATTGTAAGTTGGCCTTAAAAGCATAGAATTCTCAGTGCCATTTACTAATGAGTTTCTCTTTGTTTCCTTGTTGTAGGACGATTCCCAGGATGGCGAGTTCCCCTGGAGCTCCGCTCTGCAGGGCTACATTCTGTCCTCGTTCTTCTACGGCTATGTGATCACCCAGATTCCCTTCGGCATTCTGGCCAAGAAGTACGGCTCTATGCGTTTCCTGGGCTATGGAATGCTGATCAACTCGGTGTTCGCCTTTTTGGTTCCCGTGGCTGCCCGCGAAGGAGGAGTTTGGGGTCTGTGTGTGGTGCGTTTCATCCAGGGCTTGGGTGAGGGTCCCATTGTGCCCTGCACCCACGCCATGTTGGCCAAGTGGATTCCCCCCAACGAGAGATCTCGAATGGGTGCTGCCGTCTATGCGGGTGCTCAGTTTGGAACCATCATCTCGATGCCACTCTCCGGTTTGCTGGCTGAATACGGTTTCGATGGCGGCTGGCCATCGATCTTCTATGTGTTCGGCATCGTGGGAACCGTGTGGTCCGTCGCCTTCCTGATCTTTGTCTACGAGGACCCCTCTTCGCATCCCAAGATCGATGAGCGCGAGAAGAAATACATCAACGATGCGCTCTGGGGCACTGATGTGGTCAAGGTGGGTTTGCTGGTACTCTTTTTGTTTATTAGCAGATTAACTAATGTTTTTCCCTTCTTTTTGTAGAGCCCTCCCATTCCCTTCAAGGCCATCATCAAGTCGCTGCCCTTCTACGCCATTCTGTTTGCCCACATGGGTCACAACTACGGCTACGAGACTCTGATGACCGAGTTGCCCACTTACATGAAACAGGTGCTCCGCTTCTCCCTGAAGTCCAACGGTCTCCTCAGCTCCCTGCCCTACTTGGCCATGTGGCTGTTCTCGATGTTCATCTCGGTGATCGCCGATTGGATGATCACTTCCAAGAGATTCACGCACACGGCCACCAGGAAGCTGATCAACAGCATTGGCCAGTACGGTCCTGGAATCGCCTTGATTGCCGCTTCCTACACGGGCTGCGATCGAGCTCTGACCTTGGCCATCCTCACCATCGGAGTGGGTCTGAATGGAGGCATTTACTCCGGTTTCAAGATCAACCACTTGGACCTTACCCCGCGCTTCGCTGGCTTCCTGATGTCGATCACGAATTGCTCGGCCAACTTGGCTGGTCTGCTGGCACCCATTGTTGCAGGAAACCTCATCTCGGATCCAAGCAAGGTGAGTTTTGAACTTATTCAAAACCTTTCCTCAACTTACTTATGTAACTTTTGTGTTTTACAGCCCTTGATGGGTCAGTGGCAGATCGTGTTCTTCATCGCCGCCTTTGTGTACATCATCTGCGGTACCTTCTATAACATCTTTGGCTCTGGAGAGCGCCAGTACTGGGACAACCCAGAGGATGATGAGCAGAAGCCGGCGCTCCAAACCACCAGCACCACCACTCCGCAGAGGCTGAGCAACGGCAGCTCGGCGCCACCGGCAATATCCAGCTCCTAGAAACCCAGAAGACCGTAGTATTAGCCGTAGTTGTCCGTATACTATATACTATTAAAAAACGTAGTTTAGTCCTTGTTTTAGTTACCTAATTGCTAAGCCAAAACTTGTTAATATCGATAGTTAGCCTTTGATGTATTCCTATACCTCTGCATTAACGCCGCTAAAAAAGACAGCATTCTTCCAATTGTAAATAAATTGGGAACTCAAAAGCGAACCCACACCAAATCGAGCACAAATCGTCAACTATAGTTAGGGAAATCGAGGTCTACCATTGCAAATGCGTAGCTTTCTTATCTTATTGTGATAGCGACAGAGTTTAGTTCTCTCACTGATTCGTTCTGAAATTAAATGATCCGCTCAAGCGAACATTGTTAAGCAAGCAACCAAATGTATGAAAACCATTAAAAACTATTAGTTTAAGGAACAACAAAAACATGAAAATTTATTTGGGTTGGATAGGGGGAAATTTCTTATGAATCAGAAATTGAAAAATAATAATTATAGATTTTATAAACAACATAATCTTATAACCCTATGTTTATGTAAGAACTTAAATCATATTAAACATACTAAATATTTTAAACAATACAACATAATACAATGCACATACATACAAATCTACATTTCTCTACTTCCATTTTTTTTGCATTTATTTTTTTGAGCACAGTTGTAATTCATTGAAACAAGAAAGTCGCCACTTATGTAGGCCATATTTTCTTTAACAAAGATAGCTTTAAAAAAGAGTTCTCTTAGACCCAACTTAAAGCAACCCTGAAATTTATTGTGGGTGTTACTTTACCCTTGAATACTAATTCGTAAATAATAAGCACTTGTCAGGATATCAAGTGCAGCCATCTCTTGTGTCCCGTATTTAAATGCCCTCTACGAAGCAGAAGTCTTCAGTTGGCGGGTCAAATGGGTCACGAAGAGGAGCTGAAACCGGAGCAAGTGGATCTGAAAGTATCTCCCTTTGTGGGATCCCTTCGGCGGACTTGGAACGACTTTTGTGTCACCAGCAGTATCCATGGATTGAGATACACCCGCGATGAAGACACCAACAGAATAGTGCATCTCGTGTGGCTGCTGATCTCGCTGGTTATGTTCACCTGCGCTGTTGTTATGGCGCACACCTTCTACTTGGACTATCGCAGCAGTCCAACGCGAATGAATGTGGAAAGTGACAGCACTCCAGTCAGCATTCTTCACTTTCCACCGGTCACCATTTGCCCAGATGCCCTTTTCAACATGCAAAAGTCTGAGGCTTTCCTTACAACTGTGTAGGTTTACATGATTTATCAAAAAAAATATACAATATTTGAACTCAATATTTTAATTATGGCAGCCAACTCCCTCAAGGATCTGATTTACGAACCATTCTTAGGAAACTTCACATTTTCTACGGTTTTATGCTGGATGATGAACGTTACACTGGCGATGAAATCGATCTAATGGAGTCCTTACTCTCCCTCAACAACCTCACAATTCAACAGCTGGTGGAACATCTGCGTTGGAACTGTGATGAAATCCTGTATCGCTGTAGATTCAATGGTGATATAGTGGATTGTTCAACGATTTTTCAGCTGTCCAAGACTTTTTTCGGACACTGTTGTTCATTTAATTTGCGACAAAAGGGGTTGGTATTAATTTGAATTTGTATTAATTTGTACAGTTTCTAAATCCGCGTCTTAAAGTCTCAACTTCACTGCACGGAAAGCTATTGGAAGCCAAAAATATGGCCTTTCCATGGTCCTAAGGCTAAAAGACGACAAGTATGATCCAGTACAGTCGTTGTCTTATGGCGTAAAGGTGCTCATCCAAGAAGCAGACGCTTTTCCCAGTGCCCATTCTGTTTCTAAATTTGCGGCCTTCAACACCGAAACTTTTGCTGCCCTTAGACCCCAGGAAACATTTTGTTCGGCAGCTGTGAAAGCACTGAATATTGAGGAGAGGAACTGCGTTTTCCAGAAGGAGTTTCCCCTGAAATATTTTCCAGATTATGTCTACCCAAATTGCGAACTGAATTGTAGGGTCACAAACATGGTCAAGTTCTGTGGCTGTCACACTTACTTTTTTGACTTTAATCGCACAAGAGATCGGATTTGTACTTTCAGAGATATTCCCTGTCTGGTGGATAACTTTTGTGAGTCATTAATATACCATACCATATAATAGAATTAAACTTTTCCCATTCAGCGGACATAATTACAAGGAAGAGAAGTACCCAATGTTATTGTCCACTTACCTGTGAACACTTTGATTATGATGTGCAGATATCAAAATTTCCCCTTCAACTTAACATGCCAGTGGCGGATAAGTTTTAGTGAATATACCAGGAGTTTCCCAATGCCATTGCCTTTTAAATAATCTTTTATTTCAGCTCTGGTTTGGCTGAAAACGATGGCATATTGCATGTTTTTATTAACTCCTTCAGCTATCGTCGCCTTCGGCGTGACTTGCTTTCCAATATGGTGACTCTAGTTTGTAAGTTAATAGCCCTCCTCAAATTTATTTTTCTCACCTAATTTACTCATCTCACCTTGCAGCTAACTTGGGAAGTGCTTTTAGTCTTTTTGTAGGCATGAGCATGCTCTCAGTTGTCGAGATCATCTATTATTTCTCAGTTATTCTTCGCAAAAACTACATTATGGAATGTGAAACTCGGAGTAAAATGCTTGGTAAGAAGCCAAAGTTCGCCTGGCCCAAAGCAAATGAGACTCACAGTCAACACCAGAAATCAGTTTTCATAATTCACAAGTCGTAATCAGTGGCAGAATGCAAAAAATATTGTCATAAATTAGAGCAATAAAATCGGCTTTAGTCAGAATATTTCGCGCGAATGAACTTGGTTTTACTCTATCAAAAGGGTTTATTAGGTTTTTAAAGGCTTGCAAAACTAAAAATAAAGGAAGTGTATTTGTATTTGAAACTTACCATTAAATAAACAATTACCTTTATTAAAATATAATCTATTAAGTTTGAACGCTAAAATCGTAAGACAAATTTAATACAACCAATAAAAACAATTTTATAAGGGTACTATTTAAATTTATTTGAAACAAATTTAAGGCCAGCGGGGGTATCTCAAGTGTTTTCCCATCTCATTGTTGTGTCTCCTGATCTTCTGGGAAAGCCACTGTGCGCGCGACTGGTAAATATCTGCCGCACTATCGCATATTGCCATAGGTCAGCCGATGGCCATTGTAAATCTGCCCCCAATCGTGGGGCGACCATCTGCTAGTCGTAAATTGGACCCAAGCGGAGCAAATCCGCGATAAGATTGTCCGTGGGGTATAAAAGGGGAAATTGCTTTGAAGCACACTTACAGTTTACGGTCATGTTCAAGTTCGCTTTGGCATTAACACTTTGCGTGGCGGGCCTTTCCAGCCTTTCGCTGGCCCAGCACAATCCGCAATGGTGGGGCAATCGCAACACCATCGTCCACTTGTTCGAATGGAAGTGGACGGACATCGCCGAGGAGTGCGAGAGGTTCCTGGGACCCCGTGGATTCGCCGGAGTGCAAGTCAGTCCCGTGAACGAGAATATAATTTCTGCGGGACGTCCTTGGTGGGAAAGGTATCAGCCCATCTCCTACAAACTCACAACTCGATCGGGAAATGAGCAGGAGTTCGCTGACATGGTGCGTCGCTGCAATGAAGTGGGTATTCGCATTTACGTGGATGTGCTGCTGAACCACATGTCCGGAGATTTCGATGGCGTTGCCATTGGCACCGCCGGCACAGAGGCGGAACCCAGCAAGAAGTCCTTCCCAGGAGTTCCCTACACCGCCCAGGACTTCCATCCCACCTGCGAGATCACCGACTGGAATGATCGCTTCCAAGTGCAACAGTGTGAATTGGTTGGCCTCAAGGATCTCGACCAGAGCAGTGACTGGGTGAGGAGCAAGCTGATCGAGTTCCTGGACCATCTCATCGAACTGGGTGTTGCTGGATTCCGGGTGGATGCCGCCAAGCACATGGCTTCGGAGGATCTGGAGGTGAGTTGTTGTGGCGCCCAGTGTCGGGCATTAACGCATTGGTAACTTACTAACCTAATTCTTTTTTCCCATCAGTATATTTACGGAAGTTTGAGCAACCTGAACATCGAGCACGGCTTCCCCACAACTCCCGTCCCTTCATCTTCCAGGAGGTCATCGATCATGGCCACGAAACCGTTTCCCGTGACGAATACAAAGATCTGGGTGCCGTGACCGAGTTCCGATTCTCCCAGGAGATCGGCAACGCCTTCCGTGGCAACAACGCCCTGAAGTGGCTGCAGAGTTGGGGCACCGGTTGGGGATTCCTGCCCTCAGGACAGGCATTGACCTTCGTGGACAACCACGACAACCAGAGGGATGGTGGATCCGTGCTGAACTACAAGTCCCCCAAACAGTACAAGATGGCAACCGCCTTCCACTTGGCTTACCCCTATGGCATCAGTCGAGTGATGAGCTCCTTCGCCTTCGATGACCATGACTCTCCGCCACCACAGGATGCGCAGGAGAGGATTATCTCGCCTGAGTTCGATGAGGAGGGAGCCTGTGTGAATGGATGGATTTGCGAGCACCGCTGGCGGCAAATCTACGCCATGGTGGGATTCAAGAACGCCGTTCGTGACACCGAGATTTCCAATTGGTGGGACAATGGCGACAACCAGATCTCCTTTTGCCGCGGCAACAAGGGATTCCTGGCCATCAACAACAACCTGTACGACCTCTCGCAGGAGTTGAACACCTGCCTGCCCGCCGGAGTTTACTGCGATGTGATTTCGGGCAGCCTGATCAACGGATCCTGCACCGGAAAATCGGTGACAGTTAATGAGCAGGGATACGGATATATCCACATCGGATCCGAGGACTTCGACGGCGTGCTGGCTCTGCATGTGGATGCCAAAGTCTAGGTTAAGGTAACACAGAAATCTGGGCTTTATTTTTGTCTCAAATTACAATAAAAACGAACGCACATAATGTATGGAGGTATTTAGCTCTAGCTTCTCGAGTATGTATGTGAGCGGTAACAATAACAATACAAATGCAAAGTAGGACATATAACGCGATTCGATTCGATTCGATTTGATTTGAACTGGAACTGGACTTAGACTAACAAATGCCACGACAACGACATCCTCTGAATAAAAACCCGGACAAAGGGGGAGTACATAATAAGGTATATGTCGGGGTAAACTGGGCTAAATCCACATCCGATCCAGCTGGCACACTGTAAACCCGCTCTGCAAATAGAAGAAGTTGGCATTGTGAAATTGTAGTTGGGTGCTCTGTCCGTAATTCGGATTCAAATCGCTACAGTCTCCATTGGCGACCACCTCTCACAAGCATTCAGAGGCGCAACGGAAAATCGATCGAAAATACGTAACTGGTCAAGCGATTTGGTCAGCGACTGTTTGTTGGTTGATTGGTTTTTTGGTTGGTTAGTTTCAAAACAAGCAACTACAAATCAAAATAGCAACGTTTCTACTGGCATTCCGATAAGTTACGAGTGTAGTTCTGGATCGATGGGCAAGGTAAGCCCGGTCCAGATCCGAGCTGTCGGCTGGTGGCAATTGATGTGTGGTTATCGTTACGATTAGCTACCGTTTAGTTGGAATTAAATGCTCATGATGCGTAATTACCTGTAAAATGCTGATATCTTTCTTCTTACGAGTTATTTGCTAAAAAGCCAACTATTTTTAGAATATGTACGTAATACAATGTGTATACTTTGTAAATTATGATTCTTCCATAGATTCTCCGCTTAAAGTAAGGGGTTACTCAAGGGGTTTTCTTTTAACCAACAAACACAGAGTCCAAAAATGTTGCTCAAAGTTTAACATTAAATATTAATTTGGTAATACAATTTTTTCCACGTCTCACTTTTTTGCGCGGCACAAAAGTTGATGCTTTCCTATAATTTTAAGATTTAAGTACGGCCCCAAATCCAGCTTTAATTTACAAACACACGCACACACTTGTGCGCATAATTTTGCTCTGATCTTAGTCTTAGGAGTTATCTAGAAAAACGGTTTTCTGACCTTTGCAATAGCAGCGCAGTTCGGTTACATTTAGAATATAATATTACTTAGGTTCTTTAGAATCGTATAATGTATATTGATTATTTGATGCCATCAAAAATTTGTAATACTCGCGTCCGATCACGCATATACTATAGCTATGTAACAGGAACCACGTAAAAATGCACAAATACTTAGAATATTATCTCCTTCTGATTTTCAAGTTACTTCACATTAATTACAACATCGAAGTGTGAACTCTTATGCACATGTATACATATAAACTTTTGATCTATTGTTGTTTTTTAATAGTAGTCAGGTAAATCGTGGGAGGAATTATTGTTGCGCATAAGTTTGTTAATTATTTAGAATGTACACTTAATATAATATACGGTTAGCTGCCCAGGCAATCGCTCGGTTTGAAGCCAAGGATATAATGAGGTTGCCTGACAAATCAGCAGAGATCATAAGTGCCAGACCCTCGATAAGTCAGGGGGCCTGGCTCGACTGACTTCGGTGGGCCGAAGTTCGCGCTTTTGTAGAGCTTTTGAAACGGCCTAAAAACCAGAACCATTTTATAAAGTTTGATCACCGAACGCCAGTGAGTTGTTCGGTGTGTTCTTAACCCTATGAGATAACGTTTACGGGAGGTCCTATATAGATTCAACACTGAGATTGTCAAAAATATATGCGTATCGTGGAGATATCAAGAGATGGTTTCCTATGTTCTGTGAGGTTCGCCTTAATTGGTACCAGCAATGGGAAGTAAACACTTGTGTTCTAGCTATAACAAATATGATTTTGATTTTCCAAGTTAACGCTTTTGAAGTAATTACAAAAATGTTTTATTACAGGTACTTGAAATGGAAATAGTTAAATTCATTGGCAATAATTTATGCATTTCAGTTTTTTTTTTACTGATTAATGTGTACTATAAGTTGAGTGTCGAATTGTTTCTTAAGAGGTGAAAAGGCTTTTTTATTTCAGTTAAGAATCTCGAATATTTGCAAGCTTATTATTTTATACATTTTGCTCTTGGATAATTATTTAATATATAGTATTTCTTTTTTCCTGAAAAATGTGATATCCCAAGTAGAGACACAAAAGGCAGTTATTGCTAAATTAAGGTTTGCAAAGTCTGCCATTAATTCGATTCACTTTTTGTGATCGATGTGTAAGAACTATTTTGATTCAAGAGCAGTTCACTTGTAAGCTATCCTGCTTAATAGTTTAATGGGTTATGGTTTCCTATCTAGTTTCCTATCTTCCCATCACTGGTTGCCCCGTTTGAATCGCCCTAGAAGCTCTTGCCCGCATCATGGATGCGCTTCCGGCGACTGTCGCGCCTCCTGTACCGATCGATGATCCTCGAGCGGTGCCTCTCGGGGCACAAGGCCTCCGGCGAGCTGTCCACCTTCTTCATCACGATGCGGAACGTGAAGGTGTGCTTCGGCGAGGCACTGGCCGCCCGTCGCGGCGACGGTGGCTCGAACTCGCTGCCGCTGGAGAATCCGCAGGAGGAGAGCGCTCCACCGGGGTGGCTCAGCGGAGCGGCGCAAGGACCTCCAGCAGCATGGGCACCCGGCACCCTGGGCGTACCGTTCGTGTAGCCCGACGGCGTGGACATGGAACCGGTGGACAGCTGCTGGGTGAGCACGGAGCTGGGACGCGGCTCGAAGATGGAGGCGCATCGCTGGTCGGTGCACAGGAAGGTTCTAACCTCGCGCTCCTCCTCGCCCTTTTGGCGCACCGTCAGCGGGAAGTGCTTCCGACTGGGATCGCCATACGGACTGCGCTGCGGTTCCGGCGGATAGCCATAGCCATGGGGGTAGGAACCACTCGAGTCGTAGCTGTCGCGGGAGCTGTAGTTGGAGGAGGTCTGCTGGGAGAGCGGACTGCGTGCCCGGGAGAAGGCACTGAACTGGGAGACGTGCAGCTGGCGGAAGTTCTCCGTGCGCTGCTTCTTGCTCATCGCCGGAAACGGCAGACTGGGCGATCGCCCGCCCGTTTCGGTGGGCGTGTAATCGAAGTGGGTCTCCAGCGAGGACTTGCGTCCGCCGCAGGAGGAACCCGACCGCTGGAATGTCTCCGCGTCCACCAGCTCGATGGAGCTCTTGCGCAGATCGACAGTGCGGCGATTCTGACCCTGACCCTTCTCATCTGTGTCCACGATCTCGAAGCTGGAGGTCTGATCCTCGTAGCTGGTGGACTGGTACCGCGAAATGGACACATCGAAGCTGGTGTCCCTGGAGGAGTAGGGACAGTCGAAGCTCGACTCGCCGCGACTCGACTTGCTCCACTTGCTCTCCACCAGCTCGAAGCTGTCGCCGCCGGAGTCCAACCGCTGCAGGTTGATCAGGTCCGTCTCCGTGTCCACCCCGGGACTGCGCAGCTGCTCGAGGAACGGCGACCGCGGCGGATCAAAGGAGGAGCGTCGCGACGGCGGCTCAAACTCGATGGTAGGACACTGCAGCGGCTTCTTCGCGGGCTCAACCGCCGCCAAAGCCGCCAAACCGGATGAGGATCCACCTTCACCTTCGGCTTGAGCTTGAGCTTCAGCTTGGGCGGTGGCCAGGTCCGCGTCTTCAACCTCGCGCCGCAGTGCCTGCAGATTCACATAAACTGGTTCTGGGGCGTAGGCCTTCAAAATCTCTACCAGCTCGGCGCGCATCTCGTCGGGAATCATCAGATCGTTGGAGTCCGACTCGCGCTCCTCGCTGATCCGCGGTTCGATGGGTTCCCTGCTCTCCGATCGCCGCGTGAAGTGGTGAACTGCCGCAGAGCCACCGCCCTCTCCATTGAGGGCAACCACCTTCAGGGAGTTGGTGACCTCCTCCACGAACTGCGCCATGGCTGCATCGGTTTGCTCCACCTCCTGTTCGGTTTCCTTTCCGGCATCCGCATCCTCATCCTCGTCCTTGTCGGCGTCGGCGTCGGGTTCTTGCAACTCGCGGAGCCGCTCATGCTTGATATAGGACTCACCTACCTTCTCGAAGTGCACGTTGGCCAGCTCGAAGGGCAGCTCATCGGATCCACCTACCTGTTGCTCCGTGTTGCCGTGGCTGAGATCGGCACTTGGCCTCTTGGAACCCGCCGCTGATCCGTGCTTCTGCTTCTCCTTCTCCTTTTCCTCCTCATCGCGCTTCGTTGATCTCCTCAAGCGCAGGGACATCTTGGCGTAGTGGGTGAACTTCTGGGATATCTTCGGCTCGAATCCCACCTCGGACATCTGCTTCTGGACGGCACTCTTCGCTGCCGTGGAAGAGGCCGCCGGGCTGGCCGAGAAGGTGCTCTGCCGAATGAGCGGACCGCCGGAGGAGCCCGACTCCGCTCGGGTGAAGGCGTTCGCGAAGCGGTTCGTCCGGCTGCTCAGGTGCTTGGAGGGCTTCCTCACGAACGCCAGGATCTCGCGCATCACGCTCTTCTTCTCCTGCGGCTGCGCGGCCTCCTTTTCCTTCTCCTTCTCCCGCTCCCGGGCAGCCGCCTCCGCCGCCTCCCTTTCCCGCTCCGCACTCTTGTAGGTCTCGGCGGGATTGGAGACGGTGATCGGGGGAATCGGACCCATCGGCGAACGCTTCTCGCTGGCGAAGTAAATCGGGGTGAAGAGACTGATCGAAGGACGCTTCATGCCAACGAATCCCGCTTCTTCCGGCTCGGTGGCCATGTCCTGGACGTGGACCGTGGTGGTGGGACTCCTGCGATGGGTGCCCGGCACTCCGAACTGGCAGCCAAAGTCCGTGGGAGCCACTGCACCCAGCGGGGATCTCCGCTCCTGCGTGTGCACACTGAAGGTGGGACTACTCCTTCGGGGTTCCCCAGTGGGACTTCTCACGGTGGGACTAGTCATCGGATCGTTGGGTGACCTCAGTCCGCTGCTCGGGAAGAGCGGACTCCTTCTTCCCTGCGGACTGCGATCGCTGAGACCCACGGGAGATCGCCTTCCCTGGTTGCCCAGCGAAATGGATAGCTGTCCGCTGTTCTTGCGGCGATTCGAGGCACGCAGAGTTCCCTGGCGGGACAAAGAGGTGGTGCTACCGGGACTCTTGGACTCCGGCACCGGCATCACCGGACTCTTCGGCGTCAGCGGACTGCGCTTCTTCTCGCCATTTCCGGAGGTCAAAGCGGTATTCAGCGAGAGGTTAGGAGCATTGTTGGGACTCCTTCGCTCCGAGGGACTCCTCCGTGTGCGGAAGGACTGCGACTTGGCCTTGCGGATCTTGGGGAGCGACTGGTGGTGGTGGCGGTGGCGGTGGTGCGGCTGCTGGGACGACGAGGAGGAGGAGGGGCCGTTCAACTTATGTTAGTTGCTGTGGTGCGGACCGCTCGTCGGATCGCTGCTGCCGCTCGAACTGAGTGTGGTGTTCGATCCATAGGGATCCAGCGAGCTCTGCACCGACATCGAGCGACCCTGGTTCTGGCGGGCCCGCCTCACTCGGCTAGAGTTGGGAGACAGCTTTCCGGGGTCGATGCTTTCTGGGTCTGCCTGCAATTTGTAGAATCAGACATAAAGGGGACAACAGGGATGGATGGACGGAATGGCGGTGGTGGTGGCGGTGGTGGCAGTGGTCGTAGTGGTGGATGGATCGTTTGAGAGAGAAAGAGAGAGAGAGAGAGAGATAGGCGGACAGATAGATGGACAGATGAAGGCGTGAGTGACTGAGTTAAAACACCAAGGAAGCAGCGCAAAGCAATCGAGAAGCACAGTGCAACCCACCTGGTAAGCCAACGCATTCATGATGATCGCATACGGGACGAGGTTGAGTGGATGGATCTCCCGCATCAGCACGTTGGCCGGAATCTTGTGGAACTGGATGTACTCGCAGAAGGTGCCCAGGATCTCCTTGATGTCGATGTTCTGTGGGGTCAGAAATAAGGTTACTATAAATGTGATTCTTAATTAGGTAATTAGGTAACACGCGGATCATTTAATTAAAAACCGAATGGACTTATATGAATATTTCTTTTCAACGTTATGCTGCATTTGTTACGTGTGAAAACTTATAAAATTTGGCGAAAGATATCTTACCGGGTTGTTGTCGTAATACTTTTTGCTCCACATCAGTGCCGCCTGAAACTTGGTGAACTCATCGGCGCGCAGCTCCTCCCTGGCCAAAATCAAGCGGACCACGTGCTGTGGCAGCAGGGTAAAGCTGCCCAGGTTCAGGACCTCAGTTCCATGCTCGTCCACGAACTCCAGGACCTTTTGCACCAAGGTCTTGGTGCACTTGTACTGAATATAACGCTCGGCAGAGGCCAACAAGGCGCACACAGTATCCACATTGATGCAGCACTGCACAAATCCTGCACAGGCTCGGCGCAGTTCCTCGAGGCCATAATAATCAGCGGCATTCATGACACCTTAAATAAAAATACCTTATCACTATATATCTATAATTTTTGTATTAAACATATACCTAGAAGAGTTCGAGGCTGCAAAGTCACACAACCCGTGTGAATATATTCAATCAATTGGCGGAACACATCCGGCTCAAACTCCTCAATAATCAGGGTCTGATGCTGCTGACCTGAGGGCTAAATTCACAAAAGTCAGTATTGATAAAGAATGAAGAATGCTATAATATCAACTAAAATCAGCTAACTAAACATTAACAACAGAAGCAGGTGCATAAGGTATAATTTTTGATAGGCATTCCAATTGTGGGGTTCAGGCAACCCGAAATCAGTTCATTCAAGTTGTTTACTTTTCTAGGGAAATTTAAAGATGGTTAGTAACGTAGTAACATGTAGGAAGATGACTTCCAGAAAGTTTGAAGGCAACTAGTTTTAGTTCCCAGTTAGAGAACAAAGCAAACAGAAGGGTTAGTTTTCAATGGAAAGTATTTTTAAGAGGGGCTAGGCATTCGAATTAAGTTAAGTAGTCGGGACTCATTCAGATTAACAAGTAACTTAACCACACCAACCATTCTTGACTAACTCATTTTAACGTTAAAGGTAAAACACTGGGTATGTGCACACTAATCTTACACATCTACATTTAGCCAATTACTAAGGAAGAATTTTGGAATAGTTTCAGCTTCGAAGAACCGAAGTGCTACATATCCTTGCAGATGTTTGAATAAAATAATTCATCAAAGATAATTTGCTCTAAAATGCAAATAAAAATAAAGCATAAGATAATACAATATACAATAAATAATATTATATATTATATAACTTGCATAAAGCTAAAACAATAATTTAATAAATAATAAGAAAATAAATAACTAGCAGAAACTAAATATAGAGTAGGTACTCCACATGTTCAACAATGTTCCTTGTAATATTTTTCACAAACGCGTTGGTGTTAATACCCTGCTGTCTGCAAGGACATCAAAGGACTTCCATCAATTACGACACCCACACAAACACAGTTACAGCTACACAGCTACAGTTACACACATACATACACGCACAGAGGCATTATTTGATGCTTGGTTACCTCGGGTATCGGAGCTAATTGTTGGGTGAAACCGGTTCTCTATGATTACGGATATGGGTTGCGGGATAACGAGTACGAGTACGAGTACGAGTACGATGAGGAATGGAAGTTGTCACAACAGAGAAGGCACGAGAACATTGATATCAGTTAAATGGCTTTTGCTGGCTCTCGACGTATTTACACACACAGAAAAGGAGGAAAAACAATGCGGAAGGGTGGAAACCGAACTGAACTGAACTGAACTGAAAAGGTGGATACGAAAATAGCCCCAATGATGCAGACCCACATGGCAAAATGCAAAATCACACCGGCACTCACACACATCGCATACGTACATACGTAATCCCCCCGCTGGGTAATCGATTATGGATGAATATAGAACGGAACACTATATATGCGAATACGAACCTGTTGTGCCGCATTCTGCAGATTGAGCAGGGGCTCCGAGGAGCGCTTTAGGAACAGGCGCAGCTTGTTCTCCTTCGTCGACGTTTCCCTCTTCCTCTGTGGCGAGGGGGCAGCGTAGAGCATCTTGGCAAACACCCGCGAGCGGGATGCCAGCACAGCCTGTACAGCAAAAAACATCCATTCAAATATCACCAAATAAGATTTTAGTAGGTATACGATACTGCTTTAAGAGAAAGTCACAATTTGAATATAAATTAAATTAATTTTCATTGTTTGTATGAAATATTTACTTTATTTCAATGCAAAAAAAGCTAAAAATGTAAAAAAAATTTATGTCGCTATTCGCCAAGAACATTTTTTAAAGAACTTGGTTTTTATTTTATCAAATTTAGCTATAGATATCTCTGCCAAATATGAAAAAATAAGAAATATGTAAACACGATTCCCAAGGAGCAACCAAAGCACTTAGTTAATGTTCATGAAAAAATTCAAATTTAAAAACAACTTGACTTCAATACGTAAAATTGCTTTAAGCAGCTAGCTATACAATTTCGGAACCATTACTTTGATATGCTTTTAAGCTCTACTGTGCCCCCCTTTTTTATTACCAGTGTAAAGGCTAAAGTGCAAAGCAAGCGCCGGGATTATTCAAAGGGAGACGCGTCCTACGTAATTCAACGGGGTCAATTATTTAGAGGACCAGAGTGGCGATTACGCAGTGACCTGATTTCAAAGCCCGCAGGTCCGCAGAGGACCAGTCGCAGACCGGAAGGTACACAATAAAAAAAGGGCGGTTACAAAGCACAAAAGGACAAACCTTGACGGCGCAGACGGGTTCGCGGGTGTCGCCCACCAGGAAGGTTACGTCACAGAGCTCGGGCATGGAGGCCAGGAACTTCATGTCCTCCGCCAATCCCGTCTTGTTCTCGAACGTCGAGAGGTCCGGCTCTGCGTCAGCCATGCCGGGTAGAATCAATGCCTCGGGCATCTGGGTTTACTGCAATCATTCCAAGTCATTAATAACAATAATCTGATCGAAATTGTCTACCAATGGTTTATAAACCGACCTTTTCAACTTTTTATAAATTAATCAAAAAATAGGAGAAAGATTTTGATGTCATGCTTAAATATTTCTTATTCTATAAATTATTTTTAACTTCACTTTTCTACAGGTTCAATGTTTCTTAGGAACATTAATTCTAAAATTGTTAATCCTTCCTTATTTGTCTCATGTGAGACCAATTATGTATTTCTCTTTAGAAGCCAAAGATTCTGGTTTAAATTTAAAGGTACTCGTATAATAAAATGTTAAACAAAAAATAAAATTTTAAATTCTCTGATTTTTAAATTCAACCACTTAATTCCTCAAAAGAGTTTAAGTCCTTTAACCATGCTGAGCCACCGTGTCCTTACAAAATTTTGTCCTGCAACAAGAGACCAATCCAAGGCAACTTTTTAATTGAAATTTCTAAAAATAATTTCTTTATTATCTTGGGCGCTGGCATAAAATCCGGCATTGATCCGTTGAGACCTGCTGGTAATTAAATTGTAATTCACTTCAACTTTCAGCCTCACCCAACAGACAGCCCCTTTGGCGAGGCGTCTGCGCCTGCTCGACCCCCAGCTCCATGTCAATATTTTTCCCCTCCGCCTCCCACTCCTCACCCTCTCCCTCCCCGTGAAGCCAAAGCAAAGCCTGTGAAAGCCCCTCAAAGACCACAAAAACCCCTTGAAAACCGCACAGCCTCCGCTCCCGTCCTTGAACCTCGCTAAAAGACAACTAAATTACAATTACCATAAAAGCGGGGAAATGGCAAAAGGTAAAACGCCAACCTCAAATGGCGGCAGACAAGGTCCTGTCACAATCAGCTACGCACAAAATAACAACAACAACAAAGATCAGCAAGTGGGCGTGGCTGCAGCCTTGCCAGTGGGCGGTAAAAGTGGGCGGGCGGGGGGCGATGGGTGGGTGGGAATGGTTCTGGACAATGCGGAAAATTGCTGCATACTTTGGGACAAGTTTACGTTACACGGCGAAGAGCATGCATTGGAAATTGGAAAAGTTTTCCCGGGGAAAAGTTTAATTTACCTGTGTATGCTCATTATCAAATATCGATCAAATAAAATGGCTAGAAGAGTTCTACTCGCATCACTCACCCATTTTGCACTTACCTGTTGCAGTGTGAATTCGGTTTCTGGACCCTCTCCCTCAGATTTTTCTTTTACATATTTTTTATTTTACACATCAAGCTTTCGTTTTTTTTTATTTTACTTTTTTGTACGGATGGTTGAGATCCGTTTGCTAGCTTAATATTAAATCATTGCGACTGCAGTTCCAAAAAGTGAGCAAAGTAGGAAAAACGGTATACGAAAAATCGCTTGCCAAGACAATTAAAAAATATTTACAAGGAGTGTAGACAAAATTGAAGGAAAATTCAGGTGTTTTCAGACAAATTTACAGCATGCCAGAAATTGAAGGTTAAAAAGGGGTTGGGCGCGGGTCTGTTGGATACCAAAATTGTGCTGTGTATAAGTGTGTGCCAAAAAAAAAAAAAAAGGAACAAAAGGAAGACGAAAATGTTGTATGTGCCACGCATAAATCAGAGAGAGAAAAAGAGAAAGTCGAGGTAGGGGGACTGACTGGATAAAATTTGATTGGATTTCGGTTAACGTGTGGAAAATTGTTAAAATTCTTGCATCTTGGGGTTTTTCACTAACTTTTTCGAAGCAAGTTGTGCGCCAAATGCGAAAAATACCGAGCTGTCCGATTTCCGGGTCGCTGGGGCGTCTCACTTTCACTTTTCTCCAAGGATGGCCGTGTGTGTGTGTGTGTGCTGCTGCTGTGTATGTGTGTGCTTGTGTGTGGTATGCGCTTATGTATTCGTGAGGCAACCAAGGCAACAGAAGCGACACTGAACACAATCACTCGTCCTTCCACTCAACAAACGCGCGTTAAAAGGCGAAAATTGGCTGTCTGGAAATTCCAAAATTTCTATTCGCAAAAAACAGAGCGTTGTGCTGCAGCTAATGGCCGATAATTTGATTTTTTCTCTACTCAGGCATTGGGCCAACACGCACACTCACATCCACACAAGAAGCAGAAGCGTTAGCTGGACGAGCAAATGAACCGTTTCGCACGAGGCACAGGAGCGTTCTGGCCGAGATATTGGTGTCTACATCTGAGGAGGAGTCCTCGGCCACTTCGCGGTTCCTGCGCATGTCCCCCGCCAATCGATCCGCTGCTGTCCCTGTCCTCAGTCGCCACCCAAGCCACCTCATCCTGGCCAGCACAACCAGCACAACGTGGCCCACAGCCACTTGTTTGCATCATCGCGTGTTTATCTCGCGGATGCGCAGGCGCCGGCAAACATAAACAAAGCCCGAGTCTAAGGAACTGACAGTTACCCACTGACAGTTGACAGTTGGGCAATCGGTCCACTTGACATGCGCTCCGCAGGCGCCCTTCGCCACCGGACCGCCGACCAGGGTTTCGGTTTTCGGCTAGCGGTGGCAACCCTCGAGACACTCGAAAAAACCACCGACCACCAGGCAATCACGAGGAATGTGGGATTCTCAAGTGGACTCCTGTTGTTTAGTTGGCATATTTAACTGTTTTGTAAATATTTGAAAACGCCTAATTACTTTTAAATGTAGTTACGTAAATAAATACTTTTAAAGCTAATGTCTGGTCAAGAAAATTATTTCTAATCTTGCTTTTGAGGGACAAGATTTTATTTTATATTCTTTTATATATTATCTTGCAAAGTTTTAGGTATGGAGTCCTATTATTTATGTGCTCTAATTTAACATTTTACAAAAATGTAAGACTACTTTAAAACTGTAAAGAGAGAACAACGATGTAATATCTTTAGAACGTATTTTAAATATTATTTTTTAATAATAATTTAAATAATAGATATTTAAAACGGAAGATTTTTAATTATTGTATTATGATAAAAAACAATAAAGTAAGCTAGCTTCGGCAAGCCGAAGATTATATACCCTTGAAGTCTTCAATTAGGTCGATCAAAATAAATAAGGGCTAAACAACATCGAAACTATGATCAAAAACAACGGCGTAAGAATTTTTAATTTCATTCTCTTGTATGGGAGCTATATGTTAGAGTTATTCGATTTTGATAAAATTTAATCCGAAATTGAATAGTAGTTAGAAAACCATCTGAAAGAAATAAAGTCGATCTGATCAAAAACAACGGCGTAAGAATTTATAATTTTTTTCTCTTGTATGGGAGCTATCCGATATAGTCGCCAGATCCGTCCCGTTCCGACTTATATACTGCGTGCAATAACTAACTAACTTTAAAACTGAGAGACTAGTTTACATAGAAACAGACAGACGGACAGACTGACCGACGGACCGACGGACAGACTGCTTAAAGGGCAATTGAAGGAAACAATTTTAAACTTACCAACAGTTTTAGGTTTTTATTTTATTCTTAATGCATTTTCAAATTACATAATTGATTGTATTAAATTGATTGTTTTCGTTTAAGTGACTTTTGTATAGCGCATACTTAAAATCTAGTTAGAAATAAGTTAAACTGTTTTTTTAAATGATTAAACTAGTTTTAATAAATATCGATGTATAAATATTATTAAAATATCATCTTTCCAATAATTAGGATACAAGAGGTGTAGCAACAATTATCATCCTTTTTGTCCCACTGTGATCCGCGGAGCTTCCCAACTTCCGTTCTGCTCCAGCGAGGGCAGCTTCAGCCGCGGAATCATTAATTACTTTCGCAGCTCCCCCAAGCGAAGGAGAAACAGTCGCATTGCCGGCTAAAAATATCTCCCCTCGCAACGCAGCGGACATAAATCTTCCGGCTGATCGGACTGCCCAACTCGATAGGCGGTGGCAGGTAGCCCATGCGCCGGAGGTCAGGGGTCAGGACACAGGCACAGACTGCAGAGTGTCCAGGTCCAGGTCCTGACGCCACCTCCCCGCGGCGATTGGTGAAACGCACAAGTCAATTTCAATTGCATTACCACTTGACACGTCGCGACGAAAACAAATAAACAAACACGAACCCAAGGATGCGGCAGCCGTGAGAAAAAGAAAACGAACCGGCGGATATATCTTCTTGTGCAAAAGAGATGAGACGCCAGATGAGATGAGATGGACTGAGTTCGGGTCGTCTTCCTCGGACGACGTCTCCGCCTCGGTCTTTAGCTTCTGGCCGATCTCAGCTGCCTGCTGTTCTTATAGTTCTGTTCAGTAGTTGTCGAACAGTCGCATCTCTCAGTCGCTCAGCGGATGTCACACCAGAAGAACAAGACACATATCCACGAGATATACTCTCACGTAGTCGCAGAATAGAAAGTATCCGCGAGATACACGCGGCTCTAAGTGAATATAATTGAAGACCAAGTGATATAAATAGTGGAATAAACTCTTTTCTCAGACGCGACACGTGCCGGGCACACTTTCCCTCGGAACTGCGTGAGTTTTCCCCTCCATATAATCTGAAATCTATTTATAAATATATATAGACTTTCTGGCGAAGTGCATCTGCTAGATGCGAACTGCGTATTCGGAATATTTTATGTGCCATTTTGGGAACACTTCGCGCAATTTGCGCGTCTCTAAACACTTTACGGCACCATTTGGCTTTTTAAAATAGGGAACCCAACGAAAAAAGAATATATATTTTTATAAATTTAAAAAGCAAACAAAGACTTTTGAAAAAATTAGTTCGTTGAGGTAAAAGGTTAATAGTGTGATTACTCATTACTTTTTGTATTGAAATCTTTCAGTTGATATCAGGATTTTGACTTTAAATTGTGCTTTTGAGATGCAATTCGTCACCTTTGTGGTTGTCCGTCCTTAGTGACAAAAGTGAATACTGAGGTTTTTTCTTGTGATCATCCCAGTATTTCTCCTCGACTTCGTCTCGTTCTCTATTTTTTCCGCTGTCTGCGATTTTCTTCAGCTGCCGCCGACACTTATAAATATATTTGCATATATTGGCGTCTTCCACAGATATATTATCGTACACATATCTGTACATGTACTTTTATCTGCGCGATTCTATATTAATTTTAGTTGTCGCTATGTCTGTGTCGCCCATTTCCGTTTGTTGTCGTCATTAGTTGACGTTGTTTATGCAGAACTAAAAAATATTAGCCTATTTTTAATTGGAAAACTGAAGATGTATTCAGAGCTATTGATTTGTACCCAAACGTAAAAGGCTATTTTAATTTAAATTTTTTCGAAATTCTACATTTAATAAAAAACAAATTAAATTATTTTTTCTAGGGAATTACATTGAAACCTTGTTCGGTTTTATTACCTTTTTTCAAATTGATTTTCTCCCAATGTAATACCATTTTAATAATTGTGTAGTAAGTTCAGATTTCGCAACAAAATAAATCAGCTATAATTATAAATTCATTGTGTATATTAAATGTATTATGTATTATGTGTTATTGAATGCCCAGAATAACCAAGTGATTTTGTTTTTACTTTTTTCTCTTAGTTAACTAGAATATACTTATATTATCATCTTATTAATTCATATATATTCCTAAGATGGCAAGACTTCTTCATTCTCGCGCAGATAAGCCCATGCACATTTCTATATTTGGCGTATAGCCGTTTGCCCTTTTATCATGAGCTAATTGACAAATTGCACTTTCAAAGCAGCCAAGGAAATGCAGAGAATTGAATTATTTCCTGTGCACTTAGTATCCAGCTTTTTAAGCCTGGCCTACGGCACCTGTTGGCATCGAGACAGAAAGTCCTTTTGTTCAGAGGAGGCTTATTTAAATTACAAGTGTGTGTCCGGTTTACATGTCGGCACGTCACAATCTCCGGGGCGTAAGATAGGAGCAAGATAAATGCATTTGTGTCGCATCCGTGGCGCTGATTAGGTGATATTACATCGCAGGACGAAAGGACGCAGGATGGGGGTCCTAATGCACTGCAAATTGAAAGCGGAAACGCAGTTCTGACTGAAACTGACGCACAAGCAGGCCCATCGGATCCCCCCTCCTGCAATCCTACTTCGGATGAGGGGTTTTGCCACTGCAGCGGCTGATGTAGCTAAATTCAATTTCCAGCAGTTTGCATTAATTTCCCAGCTTATGCCGACCGCCAGAGTGCGCCACTGTAACCGCCCCCTAGCCCCTCCCTTTCCCTTACTTTTCCCACTTTCACATTTGGTCGAAAACAGCAACAGCTTTCGCCGCCTGAAAAATGAGAGAACGAGCGAATTCTGTGGAAAATCCAGCGAGTTGGGGGGGAAATTTCCTCAACTCAAACGCATCTGTAACTGCGAGCTCGGGTATCCTGTGGCTCGATTTCAGCGCAGGATATTCGTTTAGCCCCCGACGCGAGATGCCGATGCCGATTCCGATGCCAAGGATGCTGGCCGGGCACTTTCGAATTTCCCCACATTTCAGTCTTCGTTTGCCGAGCGTCGTGCGCGCAAGTATCCCTCAGATACGCGGATAGACGGCCTGCAAAAAAAAAAACAAGAAATACCACAAAAAAAAGTCCTGAAGAAAAAACAATACAGTACTATAACAACAGTGCTAAAGAAATTTATACTACAACACCAGTGGGCAAATATTATCAATAGCAAATGAAAAAGAAAAGGAAACGTGAAAAGTGAAACTGAAAACTCCATCATTTTCTTCGGAAAAAAAACATATTTTCCTCTACACTATACATAATTCACAGGCAGCAGGATCAAATTTTCGATACCACAAAAATGAGTGCGTTATGGTAAAAGCGATTACATATTCTATAATACTTAAGAAATCAGTTGCTTAAGAAACCAAAAAGTATCCATAATGATGTGAAAAATAGAGTTAAATCTAATGAAAAATTTGTTGAGCTGCAGGAAAAATTTCGTTACTTCCAAGTGTGTGTATGTGTGTGTGCGTGTGTATGTGTGGTGTGTTTTTTTCTGTAGTATCTTTTGTGCGCCTCGGCTCCTCTGTATCTGTGAGATACGCAAAACAATTTGTCTGCGCCATTAGTAGCGAAGTGTGCCCTATGTGTGTGTGTATCCTGCGCAGTCAACGAAACCGAAGCTGCGTCTCGCATCCTGGCAAATCCTTGCCACCATCCACCATCCGCAGGAGTTTGGGGCAGCAGGCAGCGCAATATTTGCGACGTTGACGCAGCCTCCACTCGCTCCTTCTAATGCTGTTGTTCTCGTTGTTGTTGTTGTTGTTGCTGTTGTCCTGCGGCGGCACTGTGTGTGTATCTGCAAAATACCGACCAAGGATACTGTCCATGTGCTTGGGCCCTTTTGTTGCTTCTCTTCGGAATTAGGAAAATATTACTGCGGTTTCTCTTGATTAAAAGTGTCTAATGGTATAGCTATTATTGCCAAGGTTAGTTTTAAAGGAAATAACTTTTTAAATACTTGAGAGTCAGTTAAACATTCAATAATGGTAAAACCTTTTCAAAAAATTAGCATTAGGGTTTTGGGAACGTAACTATTTATAGGTCCCTAAAATTCTGTGTAATGATAAGCAATACAATATTTTCTAATTTAAGTTTATTTGGTTGATTACATATTTGATACACTAGTTATTAGAAAATCATTAAGAATAAGAGTATGACTGGAAAAAATAAATTCTTTTTTTAATTCGTTAAAAATATTATTAACCAACATATGATAGTCCTATACTGCTAATTTCTTTTAAACAAATATTATCAATTGATGAAATACAAGCAATATATTTTTACATAGGAGAACAATTAAATAATGCTTTTATTTTGGGAATCATTGATTTCAAAGATAATTATATCAAAAGAGCATCATAGTAAATTTAAAAGGCGCGTACAGTAAAGCAAAATTTCTTTTCTTTTTTTCAACTTTTTTTTCTGCTAAATGATAATTGTTGATCAATTTTACAAATTATTTACATTTTTGTTTGGAGTACAAAATGGGGTATAAAACTGTTTATTTTAGTTAATCTATTCTTTTTTTTAATATATAAAAACGAAGTAATGAACAACGGAGCTAGACAATTGCGTTTTGAACAAAACCTTTATGGATTCATCTTTTTAATGAATTAGCTTTTTTTCTTAATGCCAATAAACTAAATAAGCTTGAGTGCCGATAAAAGCATCAGTGGTGTTGGTTCGACTAGATTAAATCTCTATAGAAAATTATCACTTGCAAAGATTCCTAATTGATCTACCTGATGTATATTCATCTTGCGCCTCTCTAATTGCGCTCCCCAGCGAAACCCTCGTTACTTCTGGCACTTGTCCGAGTCTTGAACTTTTGCCTCAACTCGAGTTCGCTTCCTGCTCCTCGAATTCACAGATTTTGCGAGGGATAAAAGTTGGGGGAGGTGGGCGTTTTGCATGCATGTGTAGTTTCAGCTAGTTGGCTTACCGCTTTCCCGCTTTCCCGCTTCACCGTTACTCGCAGGACTTTCAGCTTCAGTTGCGTTTCCGTTTTCTGCACTCGCTGCAATTCCCCGTAGAGAGAAGGAAAACTCTCGAGTTCTCGCTGCTTTTTTCATTTTCGCTTTTCTTTTTCCTTTTTTTACGAGGCGTGTTTTGGAGCTCTTAGTGTGTGTGCGTATTTACAATTCCGCTTTGTTGTTGTTTTCGCGACAGCCATTTTGTATGCTATACTTTGCGTACTATGAAGTTACACACACACATACTAGGAAACTTTTTCTTATTTTTTTTTTTTTTTTTTGCTGAGGAAAATTTCCCTACTTTTTCGCTTTCCCAACCTGAAATATATATTTTTTTTTTTGGGTCCTCGCTTGGCCAAAATAATAGAAAATGCGAAAAAGCGAAAGGCTAGCAACAACTACAAAGTTTTCCAACTTTTCTTTTTCACTCTTTCTTTTAAACTCCTTTTCTGTTCGTTTTAGTCGTCTTTTTCTGTCTAGTATCCACAAGAAAAAATAAAAGAAATGATGTCTGCAAAATCAAATAAAATAAATGCAGTTCTCATTTGGCAGGCAAAAAAATCCCGAAAGTAAAATGCGAGAAAATACCAGTATCCGAATGTAAGTGTGTGATTGCGAAAGTGTGTGTTTGTGGAACAGCGTCAGAGAAAATGCCTGTGCCTATACAAGAAAAATAGATTGATTCGCCTAAAAGCTAAATAATTATAAGAAAGATATTTCGACATGTGCGGCTAAACTATTCAAAAGAACTATGATTGTATTTTTAGAATTGTGGAATCAGGCCAGTTGCTGTTTTCCCATCACAAAATCAATCAAATAAGCTATATTTTGGATAAGTAAAATTCAATTTTTATTTATGATGGGCAATGCTTTGTAGTGATATCCAAAGGGGAATTTATAAAAAAAAATATAGTTCCAATATAAACAATATAACCGAAATTTATTTGAAAGTGAAAAGCATGGTACTATTATAAATATAAGTATCTGGGAATATAGCTGGTAATGAAGTATCGCACAACATTTCACAGTTTTCAAATGCGATTTTCTTCACTATGTTTTAAAGTGGTCATGTTTATAATATATTCATACGTTTATTCCCCTTGAAACAATCATCAAAGTAATTAAAGTAATGAAGGGATATGTGGAATGTATAGTAATCAAAAGAATATTTTTTAGCCACAATTGAATATAAAAAGTCGTAAGCCCATCAGGATATTTTGCATTCTACCTGTAAGGCAAACATTTTCATATAAAAATAGGACGCCTCCACATGAATTCAAAAAAGAACGGCAGTCCCAAATTTCACCAATTCCAAATTAAGAAAAGTAAATTGAAGGGCACAATCAGCATCTGCATCTCAGGCAACAATGTGCATCTTCATCAGGCTTTGCCAGGTAATCGGAAGCCCTGCCATCGACTGGCTTTCTTTGCCCGAAAGGAAAATTCGGTTTGCCACGAAAAACACGTTTTCCAATAAAGGCTGCCTTATTGCAATTTTGGGCCTTGGGCTGCTAAATTGTTTGCCTTGGGGCAAACACAGCACTCTCATTGATTCGTTGGCAGGACGAGGGGAGCGAGGGAAAGGAGGTCCTTTGAAACAGGACGCATGTGGCCGTGTGGGCCGCCCAATTTCTAATACTCGTGCATTATGAAATGTCATTACGTGGGCTGCATTATCTCCTCTCAAAAGTCAAACGTCCATGGAGCTGATTAATTAGAGCTTTTTGAGTAACAAATTTCCCGCTTTTCCACTTTTTTCCTCTACAGAATCAAACGGCGGTGGCAATTAATTAGGAAACAGAACACACTCACCTGTGGGTGAGAGCTTTAGCGATGAGCTGCCTGCACTTGAAGAACTTCAAAAGCGCCAAGTGGTCGCAATCCTTACAAAGGAGTTAAGCAGCTGAATATCACAACACCATAAAGACACAATACACTTAAATCCATTTCTTGGAAAGAATTGTGCAACTTTAGTCTATCGAAGAGTGGTTTAAAGCAGGCATGCCAAGAATGCCACCATTTAGGCATTTGGTGGTAGTGCTGCTGCCAGTGGTGCTGGTGGTGCTCTTCCTGGCAGATCCCTCGCTCGCCCAGCGACCGCTGATCATGAACCACACCTTCAGCTCGCTGCCGATGTCCCAGCATCCGAGCTTCAACAGTTGGCCAGGTGCAACGGGTGGCAAGCAGTTGCGGAACGGCAGACTCCACGAGCAACCGCTTCCATTGCCACAGCCCACTTCGCCGTTGGCCACGCAGTACGAGGATTACGAGAGCTTGGCGCCAGGTTCGCGGAAGGACAATAAACGGCGCCTGGCGCAGTTGGCTCAACGTCCCGGGAGTTTGGGAGGCGGTCGAGGTGGCATGGAATCGTTGCGAAAGGAGCTAAGGAATCCTTCCATCGGCGGTCCTGGTGGAGGAATCTCCGGCGGCAGTGCGGGTTATCCTTCCTACTCGGCAACCTCTTCCATTGGAAGGATCGATGGCTTGGGTCAGGGAATAGGATCTGCGGATCGTTATGGCGAACAGCTACGACAACCGAGTGGAATGGCCGCCATGACGGCAGGTCCTTCGGGTGGACCCTACTCCACCAGGTTTCCCCCCTCTACGCGGGAGTAGATGACCAGCCGAAGAGATCCAACTGGAAGAACTCCATCAGCGAACTGTACAAACTGAAGAAGGCTTTAAACCAGGCCGACGAACCTGCTGGCGGGGTGACACACGGCAACTTCGAGGGAGATCCACAACCCTCATCGGCGGATCCGCTGCAGGAGATCAAGGACCGCATCCGAGATACCTCTCCAAATGCGGTAAGTAAATATTTCAGGTCATTGCCCAAAAAAACACTATTAACATAATACCCATCAAAGTTTCTTGAAAAACAAAAGATTTTTAAAAGTTATCCAAATGCAAATAAGTTTTAGGCAACAAAATTTAAGACTGCATTCAATTTAATTCAATAGAAATTTTATTACTAATTTAATTTCAAATAATATCTTTCGTAAATTTGATTTTTTATTTTTTAATAAAGTTTTTACAAAACTTAATCTTATAAATTTGTCCAAAAAATTGCTTCGTAAAATTTTTAAAATTGTCTTCTGCAGCTTTACAATAGTGGTTAGTTTAAATAAACTGGCTCAAACAAAAATTTGTCATACTTCTTAAAAAAAAAAAAATCCTTTTTGTTAAAACAAAAGATATGTCTAAAAAAAACACAACAAACATAAAGGAATCAAAAATTGACACTATCCCTCCATCCTTTTAGAACACCTACGCCCCTCACACGGATGCCACGCCCTCGTCGGAGTACGAGTACGAACTGGGCGTGAAGTGCAACTTCGAGACGCAGTGCAGCTGGTCGTGGGTGGACTATCCGGATGGCTTTCAGATCATGACGGGCACGGAGTTGGCCAAGCGGAATCTCACAGGACTTCTGCCAGGACCTGCAGCAGATAGCATCGACGATGCCAACGGGCACTTCCTGTACGCCCGGGTGAACCCATCTTCCAGACCTCTGAATCTCACCTCCCCGGAATTCAGCACCACGATGGAGAAGTGCTTCCTGGAGGTGTACATGCACCAGAGCGACATGAGCCACGGACTCTCGAGGGTTGTGGTGGAGCCGCTCCACACGGCGGAGAGCAGTTGGGTTCCCGCCGAGATCCTCGGAGACAATGTGCGCCAGTGGACCAGAAAGGTATACCGACTGGGTCGAGTTTCCCGCGACTTTCGCATCGTTTTCGAGGTGGTTCCCGATCTGCGAGCTGGCCAGAAAGGTCATGTGGCACTGGACAATCTGCGCATGGTTAACTGCTTCCCCGAAGGCACAAAATCCGAGAAGTGCAGCACTTCGCAGGTCAAGTGCACAGCCAATAAGGTTCCAGTTTGCATTCACCTGCCAAGGATTTGCGACATTACCAGGGACTGCGATGAGGCGGAGGATGAACAGCAGTCATGTGGTGGGTATACAAAATCCTAGTTACTAAGTAATATTTCCAGAAATCCCTTAAATCCTTATTAACCTTGTAATAACTTCTTTACTCCAGATAAAATCCCCTATGGCGGTCGCTGTGACTTCGAGGAGGACTGGTGTGGCTGGCGTGATTCCGGAAAGACGACGCTCACCTGGTCACGGCACACGGGATCCTCTCCAACCCACGACACTGGACCGGATGGCGATCACACCATGCAGCACCTGCAGAGCAACACCAGCGGTTACTACATGCTGGTGAACATGAACCAGCACCAGAACAACACGGAGAAGAACTCGATCATTGGATTCGCTAGCAATGCCATCATGGTCAGCAAGACCTTCAATCCGCCACCCTCGGTGCATGGAAATCCGGACTCTCCCTATCGCAACTCCTGTGTTGTGAGGTTTTTCATCCATCAGTTTGGTAAAAATCCCGGTAGCATCAATCTCTCCGTGGTTGAGATGAAGGAGAAGGAGAACATCACCACGACTCTTTGGTGGAGCACTAAAAATCAGGGTAGCGATTGGCTCAGGGCGGAGTATGTACTACCTAATATAACGTCCAAGTGAGTTTACTTTTTAGAATCAATGTTTGTTAAATACTTATCCATTGTATTTCTAATATTCCCTAGATACTATCTGCAATTTGAAGCTCGCATGGGCATGAGAATCTACTCGGATGTGGCTGTAGATGACTTCTCGCTAAGTCCTGAATGCTTTGGGCTAAATATACCAGAAGATCACCTTGGAGGATACAACTACTGGGATGTTCGACAGAATCTAAAGAGTCCCACTTACAAAGACTTTGAATATACTAACTGTAAGTTGAAAATTAAAAATATAAGGATTTATATTAAATTTCTAAATTATTCCGTAATCCTTTCTTTATTTAGATCTTGAGCTAACTAGTTGCGACACTCGTGGCATGATAGGACCTTCCCAAGCTCAATGCGAAGCTGCCTACAAGGAGCAGAATAAAACGCATGTCCTTCGGGAAGTCCATGTGGTAGAGGACCAAAGCAGCTACAAGGGCATGCAAAAGTGGAAGGTTCCTCACGAGGGTCACTACACGTGAGTTAATTCTTTTATTCCTTTAAGATTTTCAAAACTAATGTGTTTAATTCTAACCAGAATCATTGCCAAGGGAGCTAGTGGAGGATTGGGTTCCGGTGGCGTTGGCAGTTCTCGAGGATCGGTGGCTGTGGCTGTTCTGGAGCTCCACAAACACGAAGAACTTTATTTCCTGGTTGGCCAGCAAGGCGAGAATGCCTGCATAAAATCAATGGGAGTCCTGAAAGAACCTGGTTGCGGAACCGATCACGACTTGGATTTGGGTCAATACAGCTTCCGTTCCAAGCAGGATATGGTGAAGAATATCTACATCGAGAATGGAGCAGGTGGTGGCGGTGGTGGATCCTACGTGTTCCTCTTGAACCAGGCCAAAAACGAAGCAGTGCCTCTTTTGGTAGCAGGAGGTGGAGGAGGCCTTGGAATCGGTCAGTACATTGATGAGGACTTCCAACATGGCCAGAAGGCGAAACCCAATCAACCGCCGGAAAGCGGACAGATCAATGGTGAACCTCTGAACAAAAAGACAGCTGGTCCTGGCGGAGGATGGAGAGCCAAGGAGGACCAGGCCTTGAGTCCCACCAATGGAGCCGCCTTACTCCAAGGAGGTCGTGGTGGTCACTCCTGCTACGTGGAACTGGCCGACAATGGAACCTCTGTGCATCGTCATGGTCAAGGAGGGTTTGGTGGAGGCGGAGGTGGTTGCAATACGGGAGGAGGAGGTGGTGGCTACGCTGGCGGAGACGTCTATCTAACCGAATCGAATGGCGAGGGAGGCAGCTCCTACATCAGTCCGAGTCGAAGTCTCCGGGAGATCAGTGATATCCATGCGGGTGCCAGTAGTGGACCGGGTGCCATCATTATTATTCCTGCAATTGAGGGATGTGGATGCGACTACAGATGCGTCGCCTTGGACGAGTTCCGCTCGAAGGTGCGCTGTATCTGCCCCGATGGCTGGAGTCTGAAGAGGGACAACCACACCGCCTGCGAGATCCGCGAGGAGTCGGGCAAGTCCTCCTTCCAGTACCTCGTCTCCATCCTGATGATCTCCTTGGCCGTGCTCTTCATCTGCATTGCGGCGCTCATCTTTATGCTGTGTAAGTAGCCAAAAAGTCCAATATATTGGACTTTTAAGAACTAGAATATTGCTTATAAAATAAGTTTTTGATACTTGAATGTTAATTACAAATTATTATTCTTTCTTAAACCATAGACAATCGCTATCAACGAAAGAAGCAATCGAAGAAGCGCCACAAGATGCTCGTGGAGCAGGACCTACAACTGACAAGATTGCGAAACAACATCGACGACTCCAACTTGAACAACTTCAATCCGAACTACGGATGCGATGGCATCCTAAATGGTCACATTGATGTCAACAGTTTACCACAAGTGGCTCGCGATAGTCTTCAGTTGGTCAAGTGAGTCAAAAACTTAACTAATAAACCAGTTTCCTTTATTAATATTTTTAAATGTTATAAACCTTTTTAGTGCCCTTGGCAAAGGAGCTTTTGGCGAGGTGTATATGGCACTGTATCGCCATCGTGATGGTGATGCCGTTGAAATGGGCGTGGCAGTAAAAACCCTCCGCGAAGATCCCAAGCGGGAAAAGGAGGAGGACTTCCTGAAGGAGGCGGCCATCATGGCCAAGTTCAATCACCCGAATATGGTGCACTTAATAGGCGTCTGCTTCGATCGTCAGCCGTACTATATAGTGCTCGAACTTCTCGCTGGCGGAGATCTACAGAAGTTCCTGAGGGAAAACCGCAACACCCCGGAACGACCTTCTCTTTTGACCATGAAGGATCTGCTCTTCTGCGCTTTGGATGTGGCAAAAGGATGTCGCTACATGGAGAGCAAACGGTTTATCCATCGGGACATCGCCGCCAGGAACTGTCTGCTGAGCAGCAAGGGTCCTGGCCGCGTGGTGAAGATCGCCGACTTCGGAATGTCCCGGGACATCTACAGATCGGACTACTATCGCAAGGGAGGCAAGGCCATGCTGCCCATCAAATGGATGCCGCCTGAAGCCTTCCTCGATGGCATTTTCACCTCGAAGACGGACGTCTGGTCCTTCGGCATTCTGCTGTGGGAGGTCTTCAGTCTAGGCCGTTCGCCATATCCCGGCCAGCACAACACCCAGGTGATGGAGCTGGTGGTGCGGGGCGGACGTCTGGGGTCACCCACCGAGTGTCCGGTCTCCATATACAAGGTCATGGCCGACTGCTGGAACCCCACGCCCGAAGATCGGCCCACCTTCATCAGCCTGCTGGAACATCTGACCGCCTGCACGCAGGATGCGAGCATAATGAATGCCCCGCTACCCAATATCCTGGGACCCACGGCCTCCGAGCGGGACGACACGGTCATCCGGCCGCCGAATGGCGAGGAGTTCTGTCTGGCGGTGCCGGACTACCTGGTGCCCCTTCCCCCGGTGGCAGCAGTAATCCCTCGGTGGCCAGCGGTTCGGGTTACGTTCCGGAATCGCAGCGCCAGCAGATGAGCTCCTGCACCCCGCCGGCGGTGACATCCCCCGCAGCTCCGCATCCCAGGCCGGTGGAGAACCACGCCCCTACCAGCGGCGACTGCTGGGAGACGTCATTTATTTTGCCCAAGTCCAAGGTCGAACCACCGGTGGCTGGGAGTGGCCACGATGTTCCGCTGGCCGCCGGCGAGGAGGCGAAACTGATCAGCTTGGACACACCACAACCCACGCCAACAACCATCCAACCTCCTCTGTCCTTCGCCTCCCAGCTGGATGGGATTACGCTGGATCCCTCGGCGCTGACCAAGGGATTGCCCAATGGCAGTGCCAAGCAGTCGTACGCGAATGTCCAGGTGAAGAGCGATGCGGAGGGCAAGGTCACCAATGGAACGGTGGCCAATGGAACGGTGATGAACGGGGAGGTCTCTACGGGATCGGGTGGTGCCGATTCACCCTTCACCATCCAGGGATACGCGGAGCGGTACAAGGACAACAACAATCATTCCGAAATCAGTTGTTAAGAGCTCACAGATAAAGGGTGTTCTCAAGTCAGAATTATAATACCCAAGTCAAAGATTGAATTTTTATTTTTTTTATTAATATTAAAACTTCAAACATTTGTAAAGATTTATAAAATCTTTAAACAAAAAAAGGAGAAGTGTGGAATTTTTGAATTTAAATTCAAATAATCTTGACTGGAGAATTATAGTACCGATTTTAGGAAGCTCTTTTTCGCTCAGTGTAAGCGCCGCTATGCCCAAGAGTTCGTCTTGTTTTGGGGCAATCACAATTTGCTTGCGCCTCACCAGCGCATTAAATATATTAATTCTCGATCCATAATGAGAGAAAAACAAAAAATTGGGATAACAAAAACCGAGTGAGAACTTCACAAAAAAATTGTATTGTAATTTAATCTTAAATTTGTATTGCGTAAAAACCAAAAAAAAAAAGTCGGATTACAAAAAAAAGAAAACTGCAAGTAACACATAAACTTAGTTGAAATAAATAGTTTAGTTTTTTACCAGGTATTAGTTTTGCGATAAAAAGAAAAAGTCTAATTGAGTAAAACGAAATTGTGCGAGAGGTTGTATATATTAATTGTATCTAAGTTTTACAATTACCTTAACATTAATTTAAATATTTTTTTTATACCCTTAGTTACATGCCCTTAGTTAACGTTTTAAGCTGATGACTGAAATGCCAAACAATATTCCTAAAGTAAAAAATTAAAAGAGCGAAACGTTAGTTTATTTTTAATACGCAGTCCAGAACCGGGAACCAAGATGCCAACTCAAAGTAGTTCAAATTTCAACGCAAACAGCTCGATTAAATTTCGCAATAATACCACAAATGTAGTCAGACAGATATGCCAACACGTACGTATGTTTTTAACATAGGATATATGTTTTTATTTAGGATTCTCGATTCTTGTATGGTTTACTCCAAGCGAAAAACAAAAAATATAGTGTAAATAACAAGCTTCCGTCGTAGCGAATTACGTGTATTGTATGTATTTGAATAGTAATAAGGCAAACCAAACAAAAAAACAAAGTAGAATAGAAAGCGATAGAAAAAGAAAAACTACAATTTACAGGGTGATTTTTATGAAAATTCAGTTGTATGTTTGAAAAACGAAAATTAGCATTAACAAAACCAAGTTGACGCAACGACTTTCAGCTCGATTTGAGTTGCTTAAAATGTTGTAAAATATTCTTTCAGCACAACCCTGTATTTGTTCATCATCATTAACCCTCTTTTTTCAGGTGTTGATCGAAATTCGAAAGTTTTTTACATTTAGTTGGAACGTAACAAACAAGCTTTAAATTATATAATTTTTATAAAGATATATTAACGATATACAAGTGAGGCGACAAAATAATATTTAACCAAGCAGAAAATAAATTAATTATACAACAACGGGGCTCCCGAGAGCCACATTTGATTTATTATATATATTGAGGTAGGTATACATGCATATGCATATGCATTTATGTATGTATAATTAGACCTAAGCAAATTGAGTGTGTGTTTAAAACAGCAAATCGAAAAAAAGAAATATATACATATTTAGATAATGATACCGAAACATATATAGGAAGGATAACGTTATGTCTATGTTTTGCTTCGTGTAAAGTCTACTGTTATATGCGCATACATCTATATACACGCAAACATATTCTCGTATATAAACATATGTATAATCAACTTATATCCAATATGTATGTGCGACACAAGCGAACCGTAAATTAAAATGCTGAATACGCGAAAACCAAAAACCATGTAAATTACATTAAAAACTACACAATGCTAACACGCATATTCAGCCGAGCTTTCGTTTTTATTTAAACAAAAATATATTTAAACTGATTTTTACATGTCAGACAATACATTTTAGCTATGAGTTTATCGCGTTATGCTCAAAAAGGTTTATCAAAATTATTAAAATAAAGGGGCCTACATTTTTATGTTAATAATTTGGTACCATATATAAGTTAACATTTATTCATAGAAAATATTTATTAATTACTACAACAAGAAACCCCGGAAGCCCGGCTGACATACACTTTACATTACTCTTTACTTACGACATGTCACACAAAAAAAACCGGAACCCATACAAGCTAAAATGTACAAAATAAATTAAAAATAAATTGAAAGAAAATAGAAATAAATAAAAATCTACCCATGTATGCTCAAAATCGAATGCTCAATAAGTGTACGAACGTATTTGAATATATATCTCAGCATCCACACTTAGTCTTAACACTTAATCGAGTCGATAACTTGACAGAATTTTTGGTTGAATGTTCGTGAATCTTCAATGGTTGTGCCGAGGCATCTCAAGTAAGCGAAATGAACTTACTCAAATGCATTACACACATCTCCAGGAGACCCCTTCCCTATACATGCATATGTATAAATACACAGACACCTGCGAACAGGATTCCCAGACATTTTTGTACCCTGATGACATTACCTTGTGTACCTAAAGCCCACAACCTGAAAGAAAAGAGTTACATATGCATATATCCGCAGATCGTTGTTGATTGATTGTTGGCACTGGTTCAGTTTAAGCTTTTGAGGTTTTGATTTGGAAGGGAAATCTATTTCCAATTCGGATTTGTGATAGTTATGTTATGGATTTAAAGAATGGGTAATTTTCAAGATCGAAAACGGTTTGGGTGTTTATATCCGATTCAGTTGAAAAGAGAAGTTGGTGGATATTCGAAAGATATTTCAAATCTTGTAATTCCTCAGCATTGGGCTTGCTGATAGGGAATTAAGGGTATTTGAAGTTTAGAACCAGGTCAAGGCATTTACAAAGTGGCGAGATAAATCACTGTTGGCAGCATTAACGATTTTGATTGGAATATCAGTAGCTTTGCATACACTTCATTTCTCAACAATAAAAATTCGCAACGAAGTTTAGAAAAAGAAACATCAATGGTATATAAAAAAATATATATTTAAAGACAAACTTAAGTGAACTAAGTAAAGAGATCACACAATAAATGGTATTTTTATATACTACAAAAACCCCGAAAAAAAACATGAAAAACCAAATGACAAAAATGCAAGTTTAGTGCATGCGAACAGGCTTAAACTTAGCTCTAGCTATAAAGTATTATTAAAATAAAAACAAAATTAATGGTTTTCATTTAAATCGTAAATTATTTTGTTACATTTAACGAGTAAAGGAAAAACCAAAAAAAAAATAAATAATAAACAAGAAACAGAAACGCAAAGACTAGAACCACATTTTGTAAGCTGGATCGATTGAGTGATGGATTGGTGGCAAGTAATATATAATGCAGCATAAGCAAACCAGACAACAGCAAAAGTCCATTTAGAAATGCTACCACACACTCAAGAGCAAACGAACGTATTGTCATAACTTGCTGAAAAAAAACAATGTCGGGCAGAGAACGCGAACCGGAACTTAAGGATTCCACTCACATAGTATAATTTCTTCGGTCTAAGCTATAGAGAAAATACCAGCTAAGAATCTTATAACTGACACTTACCATGCTCGTACTACCCCCTCACACTCCACTTTCCCCCGCCATCCAACTTCGGATCTCCACATTTTCTATGCTTTCCCTACTTTGTGAGTCGAGAGGAAGTGTTTTGAATTATCTAAGCATAAGCACATTTCACAAGCAAAATCGAAAATCGAAAAAGTATAAATATATCTTAATGGCATATATATTTGGCGCTATGGAGTGGAGAACAATTTTAAAGTTGGTAGCGTGTAAGCGCTGGAAATGCGAAATGACAAAAACTGAGAAACCGAGAAAATAATAAAAGTGAAAATTCATGTGTACAAAAAAACCAGATTGAATGTGTTTTTATTCCGGGCACATTTCTTCCTCTGCCAGTAAAACCACTTTCCGCCTAATTTTCTTTGTAATTTTCTTTTATTGAGTTCTTTTTTAGATTGGATTATTTTCCTGTTTTTCTTCAATTTGTTTTCATTCATTTCATTACTAAAGTCAATTTCTTGCCATGGCCAATAAGAACTAAAACTTTATATAGCTTACAATTGATTTGTATAGTTTTAGTTTCTCGCCCCTGTCACGAAATACGAATCGTATTTTTATTGGATAGTTTTTTTATTTTTCTAGAAGCTAATTGAACGTTTTTATTTAGGAAAATAAAAAGAAGAACGTGTTGGTATATTTGTATTATTATTTTGGAAGTGTATTTTATTGATGCACTGCAATTTACAAATCGATTTAGAAATAAAACATAATAAATTCTAGGCATAACATAAGATATTTAATAATTGCACGAAAACGAACCCGAGAACGAACTATATCCTGGCCGTAACCCGGCCAATATTACCTGGCCCATATCGATCAAACGAGACGGGAAGCAAAAGTCCAAAGTGGAGGAAGAGTTGGTTGATGACCCGATTTCCTACTGACTGGATGGAATGTTCTTACTATATGTGTCTTGGTTTCTGTGTGTTTTTGTTTGTTTGTTTTGTTTGTATAGGTTTTAGTTTTGTTTTTTTTTTTTTTAATTTATCGCATTTAAATATAAATTTCATAATCATGTTTCTCTAATTGCGTTTCTCACAAAAAACTTCATTCATAGTTTGTTATTTTTTGGAAACTCCATTTCTGGCTACGCTTAGATTTAGTTTTTAGGCTGCAAATGCTAAGAAATTATGTTTCTGATGTTTATATATAAATATAATTTTTTGTTTTCATTAATTTATTATCATTATGATTTTTTTGTAGTTTTTTGCTTGTGTTTTCGTTTTTTGTCATATACATATACATAAATTGAATTTTGTATATCTGAATTTTTGTCTCCTGTCGTATATAATTCCGCTCCTTCTGCTTTGTTTTATATAAATTGAAAACTTAATTGTAAATGTAAAAATGTTAAAACTACATTCAATTATAAATAATGTTGGTTTTTGTTTGTCGTATTATTTATATGCAATGTTCGCTCGTTACGTAATAATATTTATAATTAATATTAATTAATTAGCATAGTTTACGTTACGTTTATGTAATTTTTAAAGCAATAACAAGCCATTTCTTATAATTTCATTTATTCTCTTTACTAATCATTGCTGAATTAATCGCTTTTGTATGTCTTCAAAGTTCTTTTTGTATAGTTGGTTTTGTATGTATTAATTCATGCAAATTGCTTCATTATCGATGAATCCCGACCATAAATTCACTCGATCCCCAATCTCTTTATGCAAAAAGGTGGAATTCACTTCTACTTTGGGCTTTCTCCTTGCGCGTTTAAATTATTTCACAAAACTTTACAATCCCGCAGAAGGAGAGAGATAAGTGGAGACAACAACCGACACCTGAACTACAATTGCATCTGAATAATGTGATGGATGCCATTTGATTACCCCATTGCGTTAATGTCAATATCTTTCCTTTTTATCTGTTAGTTAGCTAATGCTCCGCGCGTCGTGGTTGTTGGATGATGTATTGTGGCTTCTGCTGTTTACTCATTGTAACATATATAAAAAATATGAATATAACTATTTGCTAAAAACCTCTAAAATTTACGCCATGTTAAAGCATTTAGAAATCGCAAAGAAGAAGAACATCGCAGATCCTGCCAGATCCCAGCACATATACATATGTCCGCGGCTGCTGTCTCCTAGCTTCCACGCCGGTCGCCCTCCGCACTTAATTACAAAAAGGGTATCAAGCGCGCCATCCGCAGCGCGTTCTCCAGGAAGGAGCTCCACAAGTCGTTCAGGCGCTTCGAGCGCGACATCAGGAAGCGCCAGGTGAGCAGCACCGCCACCAGTTTGGTCAGCTGATGCAGATAGTAGAGCCTAAGAGTAGAAAAATAAAAATACAATATCACTCAATAATGAAAACAAAAAGAAGGATAAATCTAAAACTATTGCAAATGGAAAGAACTTGTGTCAACACAAAATTACTTTCAATTCAAGTAATCATTTTTAAATGTTGAACAGTTCTCAGTGTTAAGTTTATCAAATCAATTTTAATCCAGTATTAACTAACGTTTTCTCTACAAAAATATGTAGTTCATAAGAAACTATTATGTTTATTATAAATAATCGAATGGATATGATGCTAATTGAATTCGTATTTCTAATTGAAAATAAAGTTTACTTTATATGACGGTACTTTAAAGTTTTACTTCCATACACAGATGAAATTATTATCAGTTTACTTAAAAATTCAAAGTTTTAAAACCAGGCACAAACCTGTAGTTCAGTAAGCACAAAATATTTGTTACTTTTCTTCGTACAGGTTTGTTGTTCGGTGTGAAAATTTTGTTTGTAACGTTTGATTACTCATATTATATATCTCAAATATATCCTACCTGAGCATGCGCTTTCTGCTGGCCGGCAGCGACTCGGGCCGCTGCTTGAACAGGAACTCCCTGAAGCCGAGAACGTAGCGCTCCACGTACTTGTCCCAGTTGATGTGGCGAACGTCGAAGACGAAGATCTCGCGATCCTTGGGACTCAGTGTGTTCAGCAGGGCGTGGACGTTGTCGTCCTTGAAGCGCCATTGGCGTGTGGCAAAGTACTCCAGGCATTCCACAGCTTTGGCAATTTTGTTTTGTACGTTGACAACGCTAAAAAGGGTAAGAGTACACCACGAGCATTAATTGAGAAAGTTGTGTGGGAGCGGCTGGCACAACTCACAATGGCTTCTTGCCCATGATTCTTGCCACTCCGTCCAGAATGTAGGCCGGCAGAAAGTGCTTGGCTATACAGTTCAGCGTGTTCATGGGGCGGTTCATGCGCAGGTCGCCAGTCGGATACCACAGGCAGCCCTCTGGGAAAATACAACAATAATAATTGTGTAATTATAATGGACATTAGGAGCGCTGCTCAGGGGCTTTTTTCTCCGCTCACCCAGGGGATGCTTGCGCACACTCGTCATGGCGTGTTTGACAAACTCCGACCAAATGATGGGATTGCGCTGACCGGTGCAACAATTGTAGATGAGTAGGTTGTTGGACTTGCGGGTCGCTGTGCGCCAGGCGGCGGCAATCATCAGGTTAATCACAATATCGACAGGTACCATATCGGCCACATAGTTCTTCTCGCACATCATCGTGCGGAACATGCCCTTGGCCAACGCCGAAACCAGGCCCGTTGGCCCATTGAAGTTGTCCACCCATCCGGCAAACGGCTCATTCAGGCTGGCAGTCACTGCAAAAAAACAAAGTTATGAATGTGAGAATATGTACAACAAAGAGAATTTAAATTATTGTATTACTACTTCATAAATATTGGAATGTATATTTTACTGATTTTGTTGGCAACCATCAAATGTTTCTAACAGATATTCTTCATTAACGTAATTAAACCTTTGTGTTTTTAAGATTTAATGGCGTTTTTTATCACTCAGCAATTTATTGCTTTCTAGAATATTAGCTTGAATGTCTTATGAAAATGTTATATTATAATAAGGAAAAACATAATTTTGTTCATGGCTTCTATTTACTTTATAACCATTATTCAACAGAAATGGTCAATCTTATATCCTTAATAAATGTTTAAACTTTTTTTACTTACCAATCGATGGCCTCACAATGGCAACGGGCAGATTACCAGCCTCCTTAAGTAACATATGCTCCGCTAAGGCTTTTGTAAATGTGTACGTATTGGGACGCTTGCCAATCAGGCGCGGTGTCAGCTGAAATATTAAATGGACAATTAATTAGAGAAGCCAACTAAAATGCCACACTTATAGACTAACCTGATCGAGTATATCCTCCGGAAGCCAGTTGATTAGGGAAATGATATCGTCGGGATTGTAGGGCGGTGCATAGATAACCTCAGACACATCGGTTCTATCGCAATTGCAATAGGCAGTGGATACATGGATTAGTGCCTGTAAAATCATTTAATAATTTAGAGATTGCCTCGGGAATCTGGGTTCTGTATCCCAAACTCACGTCCAGTGACAGCATGCGATGGCAAAGCTCGACGAGGCGTTTCGTGCCCAGCATATTGATTGTGACAGACAGTTTGAGCTTCTCGTCGAATTTCACAGTGGCAGCCGAATGAAAGACAACGGAAACATTGCGACACAGTAGGTTCTAAAAACGGATAAATTCTATTAAAATCTATTCATTTAATACGTAAGTTAGATATCACACCTGATCTTTTTCTGAAATACCCAGTTCCTCGGAGGTTATGTCGCCCGAAATCGGTATGACTTTGCTAAGTTCCTTCGGCTTCTCCTGACGCAGTGATTCGAAGAGCTACAAAAATAATAGTAAATAATCTTTTTTTACGGCCTTTTTGCCCTTTGACCTACTGGTGCATTTAGTAGTTCCGTGAGACGGGCCGACACTTCTTGACCGCGTTTCGGTCGTATCAGTAGATATATATTCCTTATGTCCGGACATGAGCGCAGCAACTTCTCCACCAGCACCTGCAAATAGGAAAGGGGAGAAATCGAAATGTATCTAGTCACATAATCATCGAATATAGTCATTAAGCAAGTAAACGATTAATGTTACACCACAAGGACACACTTGACCCACTTCTGTGGTGTCTGCGGTTTGGCTTGACTTGACTTCAGTTCAGTTTTACGTAGGGGTTGGGACACGCCCCAAAAACGATGTGAGAATTGTTCCGGAATTAAGCGACAACGGGCCACAGCAGACAAAAAGGGTAGTGGGTGGGTTCTGCGGACTGTTAAGTGGGTGGTTCTGTGGGTGGTTCTGCGGGCGGTGGGTGGTGGGCGTGCCAGGAGCACAAAATCGATGAACAACACACAACACCACAGTGAGCTCAGAGTCTGGGCGGCGCCACTGCGATTACATGTCATAATGACGCAGCCAGGAGCCACCGACATGCAATATGCACAGAGATAAATTACGATATTAACAAAAAATGGATTTAACTTAGGGAACTCTACGAAAAAAAACTTTATGAGATCTTAAACCAAGTTTAACAATGATTCTAATATATTTCTGTGTTATATTTTGTTATTTTCTTAAAAATTTGGTCAATGAATATTATACCCAAATACCATTGTTAACTAACGTTTCCAAATTTATATTATAATTATCAAACTATTTTAATACAATATAAAAATAAAAAACTTGTTAGTACTAAAACTTAGTATAGATTAACTTTGTATTTTGCAACGCTCATATTGTATATAAAAACCAATTTTTTTTTTATATTATTATTGCAGGGTGCCAGAATGCTTAAAAAATAACATTTAGATCAATTTTCAAATTAATAATAGCTGAAGCTTAGGAGTTTTGTTTTCTGTGTGCATATGCTTAACAATGGCTGGCACAAAAATTGGCACAACAGCCGGAGGATGTATTTGGAGCAGGATGAGGGGCAGAAGAGTCCCCCGCTCCACTCGAGGAACAATTAAGCGGAACTCGGAGCGGAGCAGTGAATTTCAGCCAAAGCAAATGCATAGACGCAGTCACAATACTCGTATTATGAAGCTTTCGCATGGCAGGCGACGATGAGTCAACAGCGTCTAGTGCAGCCAGCTCAACGTAACTCAAGCATTTCGGCTTAAAAATAAAAATAAAAACCAAAAACAAGCAAACCAAGTCAAGCACACACGCACATCGGCCGTAAACAGCCAACACAAACTGCATCTAAAATTCAGGGTGGCCAACCAGCAATTCCACCCACTCAACACTCCGTTCCATCGAGTTTTTGTTTATCAGCGCGCGCACAAATATTTGTGCATGTTTTATGACTGAGAAACACTTGGAGTTTTCAATCGAGCCCAACCAGGCCGGCGGGTTCAATAGTTCAATTCGGTGCCAATAAACACGCGGCGTATGCGTGACGTGAATGAAAGTGGCAGGGCGATGGCCCACAAAAGTATGCAATAAGAGTTTGTGGCGGTGTTTTTTGGCTTGGAAAAGGATATGTAATAAACATACACATATATATTTGTATAGAATTGGCCATAAGTGGGATTTTGGCAAGGTTAATAAGAGGGTATATGTTATTACTGCACAAATATATAAGGGTTTCTTTTGCTTATTTCTTTAAAACAAAATTCAAATTATAGGTTATTAAGGTATGCAATTCCATGTTAACTGATATTAAAATTCCAATTACTGGATGCAATCAAAAAAATATATAATGACGCTTAACAAAAAAGTACCATTAGTAGCAGAAAGTACTTTTACTCATTGAACATCAAGTGAAATTATTCCTAATTAACCTTAAATGAGCAATAATTTCAGCGCTCAAATTAATTATTTTAAGTGCTCACTTAAGCATTATCAACTTAAGTATCAACTCACTAACAGGCCTGTAAAAATCAGTATATTTTGTAAAAGCCTAAGTAATTTTATTCTCGGGAATAATACTTCAATACTGCATTGAAAATGTTTACATGTCAAGCAAAAGAGTATTTTTTTCAAATATATTTTTTAGTGATTATTGTAAATTAATCAATTGTAAATTAATTAAAAGTAAAACACTATACTGAAAGTGTTGTATTGTTTCCATATGGTCTTGAAAGGAACCTACTGAACAGTTTATAGTGTGTAGCGGTGGAAATAATTTTTTTTTTTTTGCGCTAATTCCTGGTAGGATTATTGGATTTTCCGTTCAAATTCCTCGACTCACCTTTCCCATGAAGCCAGTGCCGCCGGTGATGAAGACGCTGCGACCCGCGTAGAACTGGGCGATGGGCACGTAGCTGGCGTCGTCCGCCCGGAACCGTTCGTAGGGCATCTGGAGGCCGTTGCTGCTGGGCGGCAAGGGGAGGGCCGTCGAGTTCGCCACCGCTGCCACGGCCGCCGCGGACGAGGATGCGGAGGCGGAGACGGATGAGGTGGCTCCGCCGGAGCCCGCACCGGAGCCGGCCGCACTCGAGATGCCGTAGCCGGAGGAGGAGGAGGTGCCCACCACCGCGCTGGCGGCGTGGTTGGTTAGTCCGTTGGTTCGGGGGGCCAAGGAGCCGTTGAGCAGCTTGGCATCGTGACTGTTTGCGGGCTGGGGGGCTGCGGACTGTTTGAGGCTGCTGTTTGGGGCTGCTTCCGTTTCCGCTTTGTTGGCTGCCGCGTGTGACATGTTCGATTGTTTGTGTTGCCTCGCTTTCCTCTTTCTTTCTTTTTTTCTTTCGGTTTTTTGTTTCTCTTCTTCTGTATGCTATTATCCTGCGGTTAAGTCCTTAAGTTAGGAAGCAAATCTTTGTCATTTGCAGTGTGCGCTCGAGTTTCCAGTGGGGTTTTCCTAGCTGGTTTCTTCTCCCTTCTGCCCTCTTTAATATTTTGGTTTGGAAGTGTTTACTCTGATGTTTCCTACTTGGAAGCTGCTGAATTGTTCATATAAATTTATGCAATTAAGTCCTTCGAAAAGCTAGTTGAATATCCTTCTGTCGCCGTTGAGCGTCTGTCCATGTTTCCATTAGTCGCTTGTCCTGGAGGTTGCTTTAGGTAGGTTGTTGTACAAAAGAAGTTCAGCAGGAGAGTGGTTAGTCGTCCTCAGGTGTATCCTGTGGGTTGGGTGGGGGTGAACTAGACCGATTTACGACAAATTCCAGGCTTGAGTGAACTGCTTAACTGCAAGAAAAAAACACCGATATATTAAAAAAGGTTCCATTAAAGCAAAAATATTGATCATATTACAGGAAACAACAATTTAATATATCACTGTTTTATTCATATTTTATTAATTTTGTTTTTTATATGAGATTCACATTCACAAACATTTATTCTCTTCTTTCGCAATTTAATCCCTTATTGAATTCTTTATAAACCAATATCCTAAAATACAACCATGTATCTCGCTTTCAATCCTTTATTTAATCATTAACCCTCTTCACTCTCTGTTACCTCCTTCGCCTAATTAGGACAACAAATTTATGTCACAGCAAAACATCCAAGCAAGCCCAAATCAAAGTCCCATCCAATATCCATCCAACCATCCAATTATCCACCTCTCCATTTTTTAACCCATCAATCTTTCTATCAAAACGTCATTTATCCTTGGGACCGGTCTAAAATTAGCCATCATTTTGAGCCGCAGCTGATTGGCAACCCAAATCCGAGCAGTGACGTCTAAGAGCTTGGCAATCGGCCATAACCGAAAAGGATATGCAAATGACGTCGAAGGATGTTATAAACGCGAACACTCCACGGCACTTGGATCTTGGGAAATAGTTTCCGACCAGCCCGCAATCGCAAACGCAATCCCAATCAAATTTAACGCACAATAGAGCTAAGTACGCTAAATCCGCTTAATGCTTTAATCGGCTTACAAGGCGAGAACTCAGAACGAAAAACTGAGAACTAAGAACTGAAAACTGAAAACTGGCAACTGGCAAATGGCAACTGGCAGCCGAGCACTGAAGACCCGTCGAAACGAACCGAACTGGGGAGACGATACTGTCGATAGCAGTGACAGTTGGCGAATGCTCACTACACGTCTGGGAACACTTTATTCTATATTAAACGATTTTTACATGAGCCGAGTGGAGCTGCGTTTAGCTGCGCTGAGCCGACAGATTCTATGGCTATTGCTAAATGACGACCCGCATGATCAAGTGTCACTTAAGAGTGTTTCACACGTCATAATATCTCCACAGGTCCAAAGTAGCCCTGCGCGATTGCATAAGGCATCCATCAGACGCAGAATAACGGGGAGCCGAATGATCTACCCAGTCAACAATGCTGTGTGTTTGTTAAATTCAGCTTTATAAGGGGGATGGCTGTCTAGGAAATATACAGCTCAATCGAAACAGAAATAGTTAACCTTCCCGTGGAGAGGGCAGCGCACTTAGGCAGTCCAAACAAACAGTTCTACCGACGTAGTTCCTGACTCTAGGGTTGTAAAGATCCCTAATGAATTTGTCAACAAGCGCTGGTAACAAGTGAAACAACGGGGCGGGCTAAAAGGAAAAATGTCAGATAAACAACAAGTCGCGAGGTTCGCTTCTCGCGCAAAGCCCTCGATATTTGGTAAATCTGGGAAGGGTTTAACCTTCGATCCCCAGAAGGTATACTCGTACATCAGAAAGTATCCCCCGACCTCATTCGCCATGTAATTCGCCGAATGCCTTGCTAATTGAATTTCAAATTTATTGCTGACCAAATATTGATCGTAACCAGGAAGTAGGGGAGTGTATGTCTATCTGGCTAGATTGATTGGTAGTTAGACAAACCTATAGGGTGTGACGTCAAGCTCGGATGAGATAGTCATGATGATGGTGTTGGTTTAAAGCGTGGCGTCTCTAAAACCAATTTTTGGGGGTACAAACTACTGCTGCCCATGGCTTTCACTTTTATTTTTCGGATCTTTTGTAGGTCTTAGGTTTGGCTTTTTTTTTCTTCTTTTTAAATATCTGAATTCCGCAATATTTTTTTCCTTCGCATGTATTTAAATTTGTTTTTCTTGTTGTTGATCTTTTTTTCTGGTCAAACTTTCGTTTTCAATTTTTAGTTTGTACAAAAATCTACCGCCTGAGATGGCTGGCACTATTTTTTGGTCATTTGCATTCGAGGGCTTTTTTCGCTGACTTGGCAAAATGTTTCGTCGCTTGTCCGCTGTTTCTCTATGCGGTCAAGAAATGTGTTAAGAAATTGGCACATTGGTTGTGTTTGCCTTTTGGCCGGGCATCATCGTGTGTGGCGATGTTATCAAATCGCAGGGCTATATCCGCTGAACTAGTTGAGTGGCGACTCCGTCGGCGCAGCTCTATAATTAAAGTTTAAACAACTTTGAGTCGCGGCAATCAGAGCGGACTCATCACGTAACTGTAAATTTATCAATGAAGCCTCGAGACGCTGCGGCCTGGCCAACTTTGTTGACTGGTTCCTCTTCATTCTAAAGTGAAATTTCTTGAAAATCAACTTTTTCTCGCCCTCTCTTTCCAGCGCCTTTCTGGCGTTTTTTCTCTCTTTCTCCCAGCTGCCCCACCAACTGCAACGAAAATTTGCGCGCCAGCGACAACAGGCAAATGAACCGACCGAACATCGAACCATCGCTTTGGCCCAGCCACGCCCCTAACCGTCCACCCCCCGCCTACCCGCCAACCGCCCACCGCCCCATAGAGCGTGTTAACCAAACATGAAGACCGAAATGTATCTGCGTGTGTGCTGTTAAACGGTAAACATTCAACATTCAACATTCAACCTGCCTTGACAAGGTAGTTACACACCAGTCTTCGTGCCCGTGTATTGTCTGACCCATTTCCTATAATCGTGCCGCATTATCATCATCAGCAACCTCGTCATCGTCATCAGCATCGACTTGCCGGACATTTGGAAGCGGCCGCCTCACAAATTTTAAAAATACCCTAAGGGCCTCCAGGGGATGTGCGACTATTTCAAAGGATTTAAGGTTTTTTGCTGTAGGTAACCAAAGTATAAATCTTAAGCCTTTTGGGTTTTCTGAGTGAGAATAGTTCAAGATTTACCGTGATTAAAAGTTGGTTAAGTACTGCCTAAAAACTAATAAAGAGTTATTTTGTCATACAAAGTTACCAATACAAACACCATAGATTTCTTTGAACAAATTTGTATATTAAGAATAAAATTTTATATCTGTTATGTACCTTCCGCGAAGAAATTACCTGAATTTATATCTTTGTATTCAAAAAGTATATTTTGGCAAGCAACAAGTTTTTAACGTTTTAGAAAAAGACAAATATCTTGACAAGTGAACTTTGATTGAATTATTCAATCGACAAATGATTCGTAAAAGCAATAGTTCTGTTTACAGATTAGCATCTTATTGAGCTTCAACTCATTTGAAAAGTGCGAAAACAAGTGCTATTTGGAGAGAAGGCCCTCAATTGATTAACCACCGCCCACTAATTACTTCTCAGAATGTTCAGAGTGCAAGATTTCAGCAAGTCTCATTGGAACTTCCCCAAGGGTATTTCTTGTTTCGACCTCATCTGCTGTCTTAATTTCCTCCCATGGCCGAAGACCCGTCTTTAACCGTGTTTCTTCTTTGCGCTTTTCTACACTGTCTCCTCTCTTTGGGCCCTGCTGTTTCCTCATTTGGAGCTTGTTGCTTTCGGATTACGAGTCTTTAGCACTCAGGGCTTCGACATGTATATAGACTTACAGCCGCATCGAATGCTTCCGCATGCAGACCATGGACTTTAGGAATTACCACACCACATAGCCGTACGAACCGTGCGATTCTGGGTTGTTGTTTCAGGGGTCTCAACCTGTTTGTTTTGGCAATTTTGTAGCGCGTTTCGTTTTCGGATCGGTGTCCCTCGTATGCGGACCGTATCGAATCGAATTGAGCTGACCACAAACGAAAGTTCAAATATGCATTTTCACTTTTCAACAATGGGAGGCCTCTCATTATGTAAACCCGTAGACCTCGGACCACGGCGGATGCTGGACAGATCTGTGTTTGTATGTTTGTGTGTATGTGTGTGTGTGTATGGTGTGGACCCGGGTCCCATGTGTGAGTGTGTGTGAGTGCGCATAATGGGTCTGTGCCCTCTATTCTATTGAACCTTTGAGTGAGGCCTGGACCTGAAATTGCTGTCCGTTGTTTGTCGGCTGTCCGGTGGCCAGTTGTTGGTGGTCAACCATGTCGTCTGCTCTTGTGGTTATCGTAAGCTATCTATGCTTTGTGTGTAATTGAATAAATCTGTAGGGGGTTGGATAGAATGGATCTCGGATCTGTCTCCCTCCCACTGCCCATAATTCGTGTGCCTTGATTAACAAACAAAAGCGATCTCGCAGTTTACAGCATAAAAGCTAAATTTAACTGTGTATAATGGGGGCGGCTTCTGAGCCCCCGCCTCTTCCCCCACCTGGCAGTGGTGCCCCCCATTCGGAGGTAGTCAGCAGATTAGCTACCCAATTTAAAAGCTCAGCTGAGACGATTCAAGCCTCCGTCCCGCTCGCACCCGCACGCGCTTGCTAGATATTAAATAATTTACAATTATAATATACAGTTTATCTTATTTTTAGGCTGGTCACATGAGCTAAGATCAAATGTCTACGGGCCCAATTAAAACATTCTTTAAGTCCGCCTGCAATTAAAACTTTTTGCACACGCTCAATTTGAATAATCAACCGCAATTTGGGTTTTGCAATTATACGATGAAGATTTATGGAGAACTAGACCTTAAGATAAGCCTCATTTAGTCGTAGCTATGAACTGCGAAACGGGATTCATTCATAAAAGTTTATAAAGGTTTTTCAGGTTCAAGTTTAGTCAAACTAAAGAGCAATTAAGAAAGGGTTATTAGGTGCTAAACTAGTCAAAGAAATGGATATTTAGAAACTGGATCAAACCAGAGAAATGCAGGTTAATGGCAACTAGAAACGAGCGAAGGTACTCTTAAACATGTTAAAAATAGTTAGTACTAATGGTGGATAATAACTAAGACACCTCAGAACTAGGTAAAGAACCGGTAAAGCTTACGAACAAGAACTGCTTAACTCATACGCAAATAAAGCAAGTAAATAAGCACAGGGTCAACAAAGTATTCCAATGAGCAGTATAGAAGGTAATTCCCAGGTTTTGTTTACATCCGTTCAGGTAAAAAAGATGACAAAATGATGGCGTTTCGAGGAAGCGCGTATTTAAAGATTTCTTATTTACTAAATAAACCTCTCGCTCAGCTTTACGTCACAGAACTGCGAAAGTGTGGGTCCAATAAACAATCGATCTGAATGCCAAGTGGCTGGCTTAATGGCTCCGTAACCCATTTTGAGTAGGACCATTAGCCCCGTGGCCAAGTAGAATGAATCTAGCCCAGAGTTGCGAAAGTGAAAAAGAAATTCGTCGGGTGCTCATGTAGGCAAGGCACGTAACCAATAGAAATATGTCGCCTTCTCGAACGCGCGGATACCGCTGGCCGATACTGAAACCGATACTATATACCACAAGTATCTGGCCAGGCCGCATTAACTGTGGCAATAATTTTGGCTGAGCTCAGCGCTTGCTTTCGATGCATTTGCGCATGCGTCCACTCATTTCATTTCACTCCATTCCACTCCCAGCCAGAAATGTGGGTCAAGTCAATGTGGGTTCGCAATTATGACACATTGTCCGAGTCCGAGAGACAGATATTTACCCCAAAAAAGCAGAAATCGATGTAATGATATTTGTAAATGTAAAAATTAAATAAACAATCGACCGCTGTCTCACTCTTTTTACTACAGCTTTTTGAGGGTTTTTCGGCTATTTGGTTTTTTTCGGCTTTTGGTTTTTCTTTTTTGCAATCTGAGATGTAGTATCTTTGTGGCGGTAAGTGTGTGTACGTGTGTGTGGCCATGATCCATGTTTATTTATTATGCTCCATCCACTTTTTGCTGTCGTTATCGTTTTCATTTTCGTTTCGTTGTCGCTAGTCGTTGTCTCGTCTGTGTGCAAATTTTATTTGTAAATATGCAATGATTAATATTACAAATATACAGCAACAAAAATTTCGAAAATATTTGTTGCCTTTTAAAACTTTCTCGCAGCAACAACCTGGATATTAATACAGTCAAACTTGTATAATATAAACTCCCACGTGACTTGAAGTTTAATACAATATGTACTTATTTAACTATTAATACATAGTAATCGAAGATCCCCAGATTTGACTAAAAGCAAACATCTATCAATGCATCTTTGAAACTTTTGTCTTCTGTTCACATATCTATACTTCAAATAAAGTTTCTGGCGCCAAACTAAATTAAGATCATATTGGATAAAATCATCAATATTATACGCTAAGTTTAATGGCAGTTTTAAAAATCGTTGAGCAATATTTAATAATCTGGAGCCCAACCCGATTTGTTTTTGTGTTATCGATGCTCTACTGTGAGCAGACGGTTTAACGTGGGTCAAATATTAGCTAAAAACGAAATTGCATAATCCTACGAAAAAAGAAACAGCTCAAATATTTGTGGGCCAAGCCTGGCTTGCACTTACTTGTCAGACAAACATATAGCCGGATGCTATTGGCATTAATCGAAGATGCTGCAGCTGCTCGTGTTTGCATTTACTTGATTTGATTTTTCCCACTTTGATTTTCTGAGAAACCCGGAAATTAGGTCATTGACATTGGGGAGTTTGCGAACTGGCTTGTTATGGTTTCGGGTTTATAATATATCGCAACTTTTGGCACTTGCAGAGGTTTTTAAAGGTCGTTCGCGAGGAAAAAAACTGAGTACGACAGAACGGAAAACTATTTTTGTAGACGATTCTTTAACTCTTTGTTGACACTACAGGCAAGGCAAGATACGATGATACCGATACCAATGCCCACTCCTGACACACTAAAAAACTCCAGACCGAAATTCTGCTTCTTCTTCTTCTTTTTCTTTGGCTGCCCCCAAGAAATTTCTCCAAATATTTTCACTTTTGCGAGAGAGCGCGAAGAGAGGAAAGGCGAAGAATGACCGTTGCGCAGGCGCAAAGAAATCGAGCGGATGAGAGAGGAGGAGCGCGTGAGAGAGATGGAGAGTGCGGCCGCGGGAGAGAGTTGACCGTTCTTTGCTCGCTTTCTTAACTTTTTTAACTGCTTTTCTTAACCATCTACCATATATATGTATAAATATATTTAGTCGTGATCTTTTAGCGACGCGTCCGCTTCGTCGGCCGTTTTTAACTGAACTAAACTTGGCCCTCGAAGAAGTGAAAGATTTATGCAGTCGGCTTCAAAGCTGCGCTGCCAAGAAAGGCGCACAAAAGAAAGCAGCGCGAGGAGAGAGCGGCGGACACGTAGATTTCGGTTGCGAGATTTGAGATTTCATGTTCGAGATCCCAGAAGAGAGAGAGAAAAAGAGAGCGCCGCCGGCAGCGACGTCAACAGAGGCAGCATGCAACAAGCTTTAATTGAAAAAGCCGCAAAAGAACGGTGTGGAAAACAAGTCGTGGAAAACGGAAAAACCGGAGGAGGATGAGATGGCAGTGGAAGAGTAGGAGGAAGAGGAGGGGCAGCGGAGAAAGAGAAGAAATTGGATATGTGGTTGTGGTCAGGCACTGACATTGACCACTCACGTCGACGCCGGCAGCGACGACGGCAGAGGCAAAAGAGGTCAAAGTACACACATAAGCTTCAACAGTATCAGGTATCTCCCGCTGCCTTTGTGTGCGTGTGCATGCATAATCGTGCACTTGCCACCAGGTAACAGTTAACAAAAAAGAAACCCCATCAAATTGACCAAAAAAAACTTTCGTGTCTAATTGAAAGGCAAGTCACACTTGCGGTTAAAAAAGGGTAAGCGAGGGGGCGGAGAGATGATTAATTCACCACAGTTATCTGAAAGAACTAATTGACTACACTGCTAGAAATATCAGCCCTTGTTTGAATTAACTAAGGCTTAGAGCATAACAATGCAATATAATAATGGACCTTGAGGATTGTTAAACATTATACCATTTTAAATAAGTACACTAATAACAAACATTTACTCAAAGGGAGTGAACCTTTTATTAAAATTATTATTAAGAAGAAGAAAAAGAAAGGGATTTTTAAACGCATTCAACACCAAATACAGATTAGGTTGACATTGAAATTTAAGAAAGCCAGCGCGAACAAACGGGCTAAAAAAAAACTTGACCGTGAATTATTTATTGAGAAAAATAAAACCAAAGTATGCCATTATTAACATACACATTTTTTTTTTAAGTTTTATGAGTATTATTCACATAATATTATCGGCTTACAAGTCCCAAAGCGCTTTTAATATATGTATGTATGTATCTACCTAAGTAAGTTCATATTTTGTTTTTCATGTAGTGAACATGACAATTCAAAGCTTTTTTGGTAGGTTGTGGGTGTGTTCCAGAAATATGTCTGCCACGTGCCTCCGAAATCCCTCTAATTTCGTTGGCCAATATTTTATTTTAATTGAATTGGCATACACCACTTCTCACATTTTGCGAGCTATGTATGTACGAACAAGTTCCCACCCAAAATAGCCCAACGGAAAGCGGAAGCTGCTGGTCAAATCGAAGAGTTTGCCATGCGTGACTAACGAAATTCAAACCATCTATCTTCTTCCCTTTTGTGCAGTGCAATAACTAAAGCAGTCACCGCAAAACTTTTCGCAAAACCATTCAATTTATTTAGTGAAGAGGGCTCCGAATCAAAGAAGCTGGGCAGGAAACGACCCATTTGCCTACTTTTGGGCTGAGCAAATAAATTCCCATCTGACCGGAAATGGGGCAGCATAAAACAAAAGTTTCGTTTCTCAATGGGAAGCACAAAATTCACATTAAAGGGGAAGGTACTTTAGTGGAATACAAATATTTGGCTTACATCTGATATATAGAGAGGATGTGTGACGTAAAAAAATCTGTGATAAATGAACACTATGAGCTAGGTTGACATATGAAAACTTTGAAAGAAGTTGAACAATAAATATTTAATTCGGAAAAGGTATACAAAATTGTAAAATATAAACTAAATGAATTTATAGCTTAAGCTTTTCTTTCAAAGCCGAAATTAATTCGTTTAATACGGCACGTTTTAATGTCGCATAAATGCTTTTCACAGTGGTTTAATTTTATTTACACAAACTTTTTTAGTGGCACGGGGAAAGTATAACAGATAGACTATTACAAAATACACTTAAAACGATTTACGTTCCCCTAAATATAAAAATCTAAAAGCAGCTTTATCAGCTGGGCAGGGTTTTTAGCATAGTCACTCAAGTGTCACACTTTGGAGGCTTAATATACACAGCCCCCACCATCACCCCCTCGTCTATGGCTTTGTTCATTTTTATTTTTTTTAATTACACAAAGTTACGGCATTAGATGGCGCCCTGTTGACAGGACCTGCTCGTTCTCGTCCTCGTCCTTCTCATTTTTCCATTTTCTCGGCTGTGAAATGGCAAACACTCACACACATGGTCGCTGGGTGAGGGGCGAGGCGGGGCGGGGGCCGTAGGGTAAATCGAGGGGGCGTGGAGGGGTGTTGGGTAGACAACAAAACGGGGGAAAATGACATAATGCACTTGAAATGTTATCGCCTCACCGTCGAGTGCAACAATACACTGGCACACTCACACTCACTCACACACACGGCTTGGAAAATTTACGATTAAAATCGAAATTATTTATGAGACCAATTAACGGCCAGGTTGTCAGCAGCTCCATTCATCTTGGGCATACTTTCGGGCTGAGCAGCCCCCACCACCAGCACCCCCTCTGAATTTTCCCAAAAGTTTTCCGGGCGCGCTGCCACTACTCACACATCGTTTTTTTATGCAATATCAGCTCAGTCCTTAGCGCCTGTCGGAGGAACTTTTTCTGCACTTTTCACGCTTTTTAGGAAACATTTTCACCGCTTTGCAAAGTATTAAAATCTTTACTGAATTTTGTTAAAATTTTCTAAGATATTTAATGAGAAGAACTTCTGGAGAAGAACTCGCGTCGGCCGCCTTGAAAATCAATTGGAAAATGCCTGTTTCATTTTTTTCTCCCAAGCTCCCCAAGATTATTTCACGCGCCTGCTCTCATTTCGAGAGAGATATATAGAGAAGTGTCAAGAGAAGGTGTCCTGGAGAGAAGAGAAAATGGCTCTTTTGGCTACCCTTTTCTGCTACTATTTTACTGGGCGTCTGCCGGCTTTTCCGAGGGGTTGCTAACTGCTTATATAATGCCCAACCAGCTGACTCAACAGTTCTATTAATTTTCAGATAAGATAGGACTTTATCTAAAGGCTTTATCAGTCTGATATTGGGCCCGCAGATACTGAATTTAATTGTTTCATTTTCTGGGAAAATTCATAATTTTATTAAGCACAATTTCAGGCTGATTTTCTTTTTTCGCGTACGTAGCCACAGCAACACTGTCTTCTACGCTCTTTGCGGACTTTCTGCTGACTTTCGCTCTTTGTCTTTTCCGCGGAAAGCTTGTCTTCTCTTTGACGGAAACGCGAAACGGAAATGTCAGATTTTCTGCTAAATTTTTTACAACCGTCGACGCCAAAAAGCAGCGACATTCTCCGGATGAGATAATAAACCCAGCGACATACATTTTTCTATGGGGAACGAGGGGGCGACCATCAGCAGGGGCTGCTGCTAAGAGGGGACTAAAAATAAATGGCGAACAAAAAAAAACAGGACAGAAAAATATGCTCAAACTAGGGCAAAATTTATGCTAAAAATATAAAAAGGAGAGGAAATAGGAAAAGAGGGAAATTCGGGGTATGGGGGCAGGACCCAAGATTTTTTTTTCAGGGCGTGTACGTACCGGCTCCAAAAGGAAAGTGAGGTTAGAAACGTGTGCGGATGCTGCGGCTATTTGAACTGAACTAAATTTTTCTGGGGAGTTGGGGGTTTTCCTATTTTCTGCCTTTAAATATTTTCTTGCTATTTGGCATCACACTCACTCACACACGTTACCATGCATTTCACGACGCGTTTGTTTCCTTTTTTATTTATTATTTTTTTTAACAGCCTTATGTTTTTTTATGTGGGGAAAATGTACCGTTGTCTTCGACGGAAAGAAGAGAGCAGTACTGCTTGAAGTGCGAAAAGTAACTGAACTGGAAGAAGAAGCTTCTGGCGAACCGGGCCGCCTACAATTCTCACCATTAATACCGCGCTCTTTCTCTGCTCTGCTTTCCTTTCTCCACCCTCTCGCTGTTGGTCGCTCTCCCTTTTTTCGGTGGTGAGTTGACAAACACATACACACACTCTTGCGCTTTCTGGGGGCTGATATTGCTATGATTTTCCCACCACCTTGGCCGTTTTTCCTATTGAATGAAATCCACTTTGGTCTAGTTCTTCTTCCTCTTCCGCTCCTCTTCTTCTTTACGTACCGTTATGCGCCTGCGTTGGCCAACGGAATCACCAGACTTTCGGGTAGCAAACACAGAACCAGATTTTTTTGCACTTTTGCACAGATAAATATCCCGGCACACAAATCAACGGTTGCTGGGATTTCGAATTAACGATGCCGTTGCCACCTCTCCGCCAAAACAGCGATGCCACTTCGGGGGAATTTCAAAATCATTTAAATGGTGGCGCAAAAGTTTTGGTATGATTTTATTTGCCTAAAGCTTGGTTTTCCCAACTAAAAAATTTTCCCTAAGCAGTTACTTATATGTTTTTATTTGAATTTACGAAAAATAACAAATAAATTAAATTGTTTATACGGTTAGCGCAAAAGCTTTGGAATGATATTATTTGCTTAAAGCTTGGTTTTCCTAACTAATAAATTTTCCCTAAGCAGTTACTTACATGTTTTTATTTGCAATATTTTTACAATAATTAAAAAACTAAATTAAAATAAATTATTTAAATTAAAAATTATTTTCAGAGATCTCAAGTTCTTAATATAATAACAATCTTCGGAAATTATTTGCTTATATTACATTCTTATGGTTTTTACTGCATTTTTATAGTAATTTAATCTATTAAATAGAAATCTTGAAGTCACAACCTTCGGAGGCTCAAATATTTGGACAATAAGCAAGGTCGCCATCCGATTGCAGTGCCCCAACATAAATGTGAAAATCAAAACATAAAGACGACAAAAACAAACCAAAAATGCATTGTCATATGGGGACGGTGGGGCCTTAGTTGTCGGATATATAGATAAGGGGTGGCGGTGTTGACTGCTCTGCCACTCTGCATATTAATCAATTTTAAAATACATTAAGACAAATGAATTGGAAGAGATTGATGCGGAATTAACCAATGCTCTTAAATGGGAAAATAATTAATATATCAGGAATAAAGTCTATATAAACGGTTATCTATATTTTGATTATTTATTTTGTTTTTAATTATTACAATAAGCAACTAGTTATGCATAAGATTTTAATGGAATAGACTTACTTTTTTTAATAAATAATATACAAAATTTAATGTATTATATACGTTTGTCATCGTTATACATAAAATTAAGTGTAGTTTACTAAATATTTGGGATCGAATTTTGAAGCGAAATTGTAATCCAATTAAATTTGTAATCTACAAGATTTGTAAGCTGTTTTTAATTTCAATATACAAGAGAAAGTTCAAAAAGATACCGCATAAATAATCTGATTAAAAGTGTGTAAGTTGTTTAGAGTTTCACGGATAAGCCAAATCCATTATTATTTTAGCGTACCCCTTGAACCGCTGCCCAAAGAGGGTATTACCGGAGACAAGCGACTTTAAAGCGATAACATATAGGTGAGACATCGACAAACAGACAAAAGCCAAACATGAAATGAAAACCAAAGCCGAGCTCATTACTCATGCGCATTGGGTGACGTCGTTTTGTGGCCCAAAGGTTTTTTTTTGACCAAGCCCAGACTCGACAGCTTCACAAGATTCCCCATCTTCACCGCCACTTTTTTGTTAACTTGCTCCAGTGCAACTGAGTCGCGATGACTTGGCACTAAAAAATGTGAGTTAGCCATGAAATTTCCCAGCCATACGCCAAGACTAGCAGCCAAGTAGCGCTGACTAAGTGGAAATGCGATTAACTAACAAGAGCCTTTTTTGCGGTTTTCCTGCTACTGAAGTTACTAGCTGTTGGGATTGTGGGCAAATTAAATGGAAGACACGTTGGCAGGCACTTCAGATTAGTATGACTGAAAATTGCATTGCTAATGAGCCTGATTGATTTGTTTGAGGTTTCGGTTGAGAAAGAGTTAGGAGAAAATGAGTAAAGGCAAATAGAGTTATCTCACATGGATAATTAAATAGACAACAATAGGTAATAGACATTTTTGAATGCACTGAAAGAAAATTATAAACAAAAAATTTAAAACAATTTATAGAAAAATTTGTACTAGACTTTAGACTTTAGCCAACCAAATTCTTGCTGTGCTTTTAAACATGTTAATTTAGTTGGTTGCAATGGTCAAGGTTCTTCCCTGATTATCAGCATTGGATTCGTTTTTTGAGATGCAAATTCTCCATTACGAACGCAGTTTCCCCTTCCTTTTAATTTACCCTATCAGGCTCTTCTTCCCTGCCACATTTTTCACGTATAGCCACTTTTCTTTGCGTGTCGTACAAATTATTTCCAATTTTGACGTTTCTTTTTCGGTTAGCCGAGGAGTCGTACCCCCTCACACCTGTAATTACTGCCCAGATCTGTATATACACACTCGAGGCGCTTTGGTTTTTGTGTTATCTGCTGCTTAGGCCTACAACTCTGGTTCCAGTATTTTCTATTTATTTTGTTTGTTTTTACCCACATCTAGGTCAACTGCAATTGAACCCGTCAGATGGAAAGAGCTTAGAAAGCTAGTCTCCATGAAGAGCGGAAATATCTTTTAACTGACAGTTTTGTAATACCCCCGCCCACTTTTTTTTTGCATTTTTGCATTGCAAATATCGAGGGGCTATCACTCAATTAACTGAACAAAGCGTTTTGCATAATTAGACGCTTAAAAACGTGATTGGCTGCACCTCATGCGATGAAGCGGTAATTTTCCTACCTCATATTGCCCTTATTGACACCGAAATCAAATTATTAAAGTCAGCAGAATATAAGTACTCGTTATAACCCAAAAAAGATTGAAGATGTCAGCAAACTTTTTCGTGTGCTTGAAAATAAGCGAACAGGAAACAATGTGGCAAAGTGTAGAGTTTGCATAATTGGCTATAATTGAAAAGGGGATTTTGTTTAAAATTAAGTATACTTTTTGTGGTTTAAATTGGCAAAGAACGTTTTCTTCATCTTTGTAATTACAGCACAAAAAATTCATATAAATCATCTTATACTTTTATGACTTAAATTGGTATATTCATTTTTTCCACTGGCATATTAACATTAATCTAACTTTTGAAACCTATTGGCCTACAAACTCAAATTGGGATATTATTTGCTTGAGAAAGCATTGCCTTAAAAAACATGAACGAATGAAACCATGCGAATTTCTAAATAATTTATACAATAATAATTTCAATAATAACAAAAATTATTTCCTCTAAAACGTCTTCTTCAGCAAAGAGGGTAATACTTGGTGGACAGAAACCTATAATAAATTATAATAAAATGATAATTGCAATTTTCTTGAACAGTATTTTTAATTTTTAATATAATATTATAAATTTTTTAATTTCGAGTAGGATACCCTCCTTAATTAATATATTTTTCATTTCAGATTTTAGTCATCATCAAATGCTGACATTTAGTTGTTATTTTAATTTGCTTGACTTCGCAAATGAATCTTTTGGCTCAAGAGGCCAACTCACTCCTAGCCAAAGACGGAACGGCTTTGTCAGAGCCACTCAGCGGATACCACGCACTCGTAATAGATCCAGCAATAGCCACAATTTTGAGAGGCGCTTTCTCAGTTACCAAAAAGTCAGAGCTCGCTGCTTCGCTGGCCACTCAAAGCTCTCTCGGCGTATTTTTTCGTATTTTTATTTTTGCCTGAATGCTGAGTTTGCGGGTTTGGTTTCTCGGCCGGGCTGGCTCTTGATTATTTTCTGTTCCGATTTTCATTACGTGCCCCGAAGTCTTGGCGAGCTGAACTCGGAAACGCTGAAACCGAGACTCAGAAAGCCAGAAACCGACGAGTGTGAGTGCTTTTCAGCATTAGCTGCGATCGCATTATTTCCCAGAGTCCGCAATCAGTCTTCAGTGAGCGTGCGTCGGCATTGGCAGCAAGTTGGCTAAAAGCGGATCCTCCTCAGTGACCACCACCCCCCAACGCCTTTCGCCCCTCGACACTTTTGGTTAGTTTGTTTGCACTTCGCCTTAACATCTGCCCCAAGTCGTGCTCCCAAAAACTTTAAAAACTTCAAGTGCAAAGTGAATCGTCCCGCTGGCTGGTGCAATCGATAAATAATAATAATTATTAGCGCGGCAATTTAATTGCAAATCGATTGCCAAACAATCCGAACGGAAGTGACGAAAGAATTCTGATTTGTTAGAAAAGTGCAACAATGAAATCGAGATTACCTTTGTTTTTTCTAGTTCGGCCTGCGGAAAATACATTGGAAAAGCTGGTGTTGACTTAGCTCTTCGATTTTCACTTAAATGTTTGTTTTCATAGCTTTTCCAGTTTTTCCTCGCTCTCTGTCAGCCGCTCTCTTTGCGTGACGTCGTGTGTGTTGTTTGAGTGTGTTTTTAGGTTGGTTCAGTTTTTCGCGACACCGATTGAGTAAGTTTCCCCCATGTGGTTTTTCCAGCGCTTGCTGGAAAATTCAATGGCAGCAAAACAAACAAACAACGTTGTTATGGTTTTGCGTTAAGGAATTCGGCTAGGCTTAAAAACCCGAATTAATATTTAAAATAATAGTCTCTGGACTGACGCGTGGCTAATTTCTGTCAGACACTTCTCCTATAATTTATTATATTTTTTTCCCGTGGTTAACATCGAACTTTAAGCCGCAAACCGGTTTGCCAAATTTTTGGAAATACAAATAAATAAAACAATTGTTGTGTAGAATGTCTTAATGGGCATAACAACTTGGACGACAAAAATTTCAACTGTCCAAGCTGAAAGCAAAGTAACAAGCCGAAATAAAGTTCGTTTCTTGAATCTTTCAACTGAGAGTGTCGTCCCAAGTTCGTTGCTTGAATCTTTCGACTCAAACTCTTTTCTCAAGTTGGTTTTTTGCATCTGGTTATTACCATTCAACGGTAACTCAACTATTGGAATTTCCCAGAATAAAAGGTTCAATCAGATGGCTTTGTGTCTGTTTATTTTGTGGCACTTTCAATGTTAAGGTCTATACATCCATTTAATGCTAATGCCCAGCACAAGTGCGATTTGTTCGTCGTTTTTTTAGCTCGGTTTTTATGGCGCATTGAATTGAATTCCCCTGTCCCCCTCCTCTGTCGCCCAAAATGTTCATGCCTAGCATAAACAACACAGAATTATTGTTACACATTTGGTTGCCAAGGCGGAAATAAAATAAAGCAAAATGACTATCAAGTCAAATGGAATCGATTTGAATGGAATAATATCATAACAGCACATGAAGAGAAATCAATGGCGCGAACCGAGATGAGAGAGATCTGCTCGTCGTAAAATAGAAAGTGACCAAAATGGATCTTTGGTCATAAACAAAGGCCAAAAATTCGTCACAGTTAGAGGATACCCTCACTTCCAAGCCAAAGTTGCCCAGCTAACTTAGTTCATTTTTCATAGCTCGACCATTAGGGCTCAGTTTTTTTTCGCCTAGGGCTCCGAATTATATATTTGCCATTTCAACGCTGCAAAAGAAATTTCCAAATATTTAATATGCAGAAACAGTTTGTATATACTCCGACGCACACAGATACTCACATATACTCGGGTAACTAAAACCCAGCTGGGTTTCAGCCATTTGTTTAAACAGAAATACGAAACAAAAGCCAACGTAGCAAAATTATGCAAATCTAAGGGCATATACAGCCACCTGTAAATACCAGTATATTCTGTTTATTTATATAATATATAGTATGTTCCATGTGCTTCTCCAGCCAAAATGCAAAATAGAAGGTGCGCAATAGGCACACCTGAGTCTCTTCTGAGCGCTTCAATGCATTCTTCTTTGCGTTTATTTTCAATTGTGATAATTAAAAATGTATAAAAAGGAACACAAGAGCTGCTGAAATTAGTAAAAAAAAAAAAAAAACTGCAAAAATTTAAGTCATGTTTTATGACACTTCAACTTAGGTAATCAAAATTGAGCATTCAATCAATAAGATAATTTTTTTGATCATCACATAACCATTCTCTTAAAAGAACTTCATCTTTATAAGATTTCGGTACCAGCCTTGGAAATGTTTCAACTTTGTCTTGAAGCTAAATGTTTTTCAAGGACTGAAAACCTATAATTAAATTAAGTTCTTCGGTAACAAAAGAAATATATCTAAAATCAAGCAAGGTCTTTGTCCCAATTTATATAACGCAACAAAAATGTCAAGTTCAACGATCTGCTAGCCCTCCCAAAAACCATCAATAACTCAAGCTGTCAATCCCAAGTCCCAAGTCCGAACTAAAAACCAGTTGGCCTATCTAGCGAAGAACTTAACGAAACCAAACAAAGGTATTACAAATAAGAGAAGAAAATATGACAAAAATGTTGCTGGGCCAGGCAAAATGGCGATGAATCTCTGAAACTCCGAGCTCGAGGAAATTAAATGCAAATCATTTGGATGGGGGCCAGGCCAAGAGCAACCGAAAACCAGTTAACTCCGATCGATTCCAATGTTGGCCAAACTGGCGGCATTTCATCTTAGATCGAAAGAACATAATTTGCATAATTCTGGATAACAGATCAGGCCACATGTCTGAGTATTTTCGAAAGCGAAATGCCTTTGATCGAGTCATTGAGCAAAATGTGTTGAGTCAGGAAAAGCCACGCGAAGGTTTTTTGGGGGCTGTTCAATCTGTCAGTTGGTCAATTACAAGCGAATCAATTAGCGCCTGGGTGTTAGCCCCCGAAAAACACAGAAATCTTGCGGCTTTAACAACTATGAACCTAAAGGGAGATCTTCTCGATAATTTCGATTCATCTGCATACGAAGACAACGCAGTACGGCGATCTCCAAAGATCAACAGCGATTTGACCGTGACCGTGCATTTCGATTGAGCTGAGACTTTTTGTTCGTCCAAACTCCGAATATTAGATGGTGTTGGTGGGCCTATAGACCTCCCCCCTTCGATACCCACTCCACTTAAGATCTCTAGCTGGGCGGCCTTGACACAAATTTGGAGTCACACGAAAATGTTCGAAATTAATCTCTCCTCCAACAAATTGTTACGCATTTCGTTAATTATGTTTTCCACCTGTACAACGAGCTTGGGCAACGTGCCGTGTGAGATCTAACTACATCGGTTATACCTTGGTTTGATTTCTTTTTTATTTCTTGACGAGGCTTTTCGGTTTCTTTTTTTTCGGATATACGCGTCATTTGCCATTAATTAGTCGAGCTATTGATGGCTTCGGACGGAGCGAACAAAAGGCGGCTTTGTGAATGGTTTTGCAGTTGGCCGGGAAAGTACAGTTAACAGTGTTGGGCAACGGCCATGGGTTTAATTGAGGAACTGCGCCAAGTCGAAAGTTTTGGGGGGTATTCATTAATGTGAGCTTAGCCACTCTAATCTGTTCGGCGATTAAAGTAAAAGGTTAATTGGGCTCAAGTGTGGGAAAGCTAACTTGAAGTTCTTTTGGTTCGGTTGCCAGAGCTCGACAACGATATTTGTTAAAAAGTTTTTCTAGAGGTACATTACAATATTAAAAAAAATTAATAATGATCACGACGACACAGTAATGCACAACATTTCCAGAAGTATGGGAACCCCAATAATTTTGACCTACCTTTTATCGCAAGTTATAAACACGTTTTATTAAGCTGCTTTATTACACGCGCCAAGTTTAATTTGCCATTACTTCACAGAAATGATTACTTGTTTGCTAATAGAGATAGGTTTACTTACTTATCTGCTCAATTTAGTTCATTTAATTGCAAATGTCGGTGTGAAAAATTCCACATGATCTCGGACATGGAAAATTTACATTCTGTCCGATTTCCAATTTACGTTTTTAAACAATGTTAATGGATTTACATTTCCCCTTCCAACCCACCAAGAAATAACTTTATAAATCAATCCGCCTCAATTAAACGAAAGGTATTATAATATCCCATAACCCGGTGAGAGGATGAGTCAAATGTATTTATATTCAAAAATAAACTGGATGAAAAGGGCAATTCACAACGTTTTTTTTTTGAAGACTTCTGCCACCTGAAAATAACTACTTCGATTTGGCGGTGGAGAAGTTTCGCCAGGCGTTCAGGGCCCCCATATAGACACTGGGTCCGGCGATCTCGGGCGGGATCTCCAGGTGACCAGAGTAACTGCAAACGGGGGTGGAGGGACGCGGGACTGGAGTGCGGGTTTTTACAACCATCCGGAATCGGGGTGGCTCCACCGAGCGACGCTCCTCCTTCCGCTCGGGCTTCTTTTGTTTCTTCTGTTTCTTGGGCACAACCTTCGGTTGAGGCAGAGGTTGGGCATTGGCGAGTGTTTCGGGAAAGTCCGGATGCCAAGGAGTCGCCTGTTTTGTGGCGAACTTGTGGAACTGCCTTTCGATGCCAGAGGGACGGCGTCTGCTGATCACCACAACAGCTTTGCCTTTTGATTGGTAAGCTGGTGGCACTATCTGGTGGTAGCCACGTCGTTGGGAATCTCGCGGGTAGGCGGGTGGGATGGGCACCACCCTCTTGCGCTTGAGGTGATGCTTCACCTCCTCCGTGGTCTCGTTATCCCGGGAACCGGGGCAGGTGTGCCAGGAGTGCCAGTATTGCGCCTCGGCTTCCTCCTCGCGTTTCTTCAGCCACTCGGCAGTGGGACGATTGGGATCGAAGACCGTTGTTTGACTATCGGTCTGACTATCGGTTTCCACTGGTCTTTCCATTTTGCGCTTCAGGTGTTGAAAGTCCTCCGCTTCGCTTTGCAAATACTCTTCGAGTTTTTTTTGTTTTTGGCGGTCTGGGCGATAGGTTATCCCCGAGGTATTGGTTTCCCGCCTCGATTCCGGACGGCTCTGCCACTTGCGGCGGTTCTGTTCGATAATTGCCGCCTGACGCTTCTGATGATCGACGGGATCTTGCGAAATGGTGCGCCTGCGCATGGCTTCCGGTTCCATTGAACTCTGCGCAAAGTGACTATCGAACCTTTCTCGGGCCTCCAGACGTCGCTCCTCCCTCTCCATTATGTATTTTTCCCGGGCGTCCCGGTGCTTGTTCTTGGCTATATACAGCCGATCGTTGCAGTGTGACTCGTAGCCCAACTCGTTCAAGCGCTCGGGAAAATCGGCACTCCACTCGCTATCGCGCCAAGGAGATTCCTGAGGAGCCTCACCAGCCTCCCTTCTTAAGCCCTCGATTTGAGCCTGGGTTTTGTCGTCGAAGGTATATCTTTCGGCATAACGACGCTTTTGACCGGAAGCCACTGGCAATCGCTTCACTCCAGAAACTTCACCCCTGGCTTTCTGGCTCACGAACCGCCAACAACGATTTAGGCCCACTCGAGCCACTTTAAAAGTGGAATTCATTTTGCCGAAATCTTAACTAAATACTTCCTTCAAACAAACTATAATTTTGGGGGAATTCCCGGCTTCTAAGTCTAAAATTTCCGAACCGAATTTTGGAATTTTCAATTTTGATGACTAAAAATCGTCTGAAAGAAAAAGACCGAAATTTAGTGAACTGAATGCTTTGCAAACTGGGAATATTATGAACACGCTGATAGCTTCTTCCCAGAAAGTAAAAGGCAATGCTTCCCCAGTTTAATAAAAAAATGGACGAGGGTATCATGACCTACTGTACGTCAAAGGGAGTATAGAAATGATATGAGCTTTGTTTTTACGACAAACGGTAAGAACTTAGAAAGTACTTTTGAATTTTGGCACTTTTACTAGATAAGATTTTAGTAAGCAAAACATTTACACATATTTTCCAACACTACATTTTTAAATATACATATGTATGTGCAATTTTTATATATACATACATATTTTCTGTCTGTATAAAATCTTCTTTATCGCTTTTTGGTGTAGTTACGATTTATCTTATCACCTTAGCTGTTAGCCTTTAAAGTAAAAGTCCATTTACTTAAACACCGATTTTGGGAAAGTGTGGAAAGTTTAAATATTCAGCATTTAACTTTGCTAGACATTCACCGATCTAGGTTGTCTGCTTTCCGCATCGTGCACTCCACTTCCATCTAATTTTGATAACAGATTTATGATGCACTTCCGCCGCAAGCCATAGTAAACTTGACACACTGAGGAGTCTTACTGGTTTTTTATTCGGCACTGCCCTCGATGGCCGGCTTTATTGCAGTTTATGTCGCACCGATCCAGTTGAGCTAATGAACTTGAACTAACCGATGTCACGGCTTCCTTGCTTCTCAATTTCCTCTCTCCTCAGCTCGCCCAACTGATTTTAAATCGCAGCAGCAAATTGGCGCCGCCGACGAATCTCGAGCCCTACACCATGGCTGTCATCACGGAACATGGCGGCACCACCTCTCCCCCGGAAAACAACAACAGCATCGGAAATGGAAAGCTGCGGGTTAATGGACACCACTTGAGCACATCGCTCACCATTCCGGAGTTCTTCGCCCACAAGAACATATTTGTGACCGGCGGAACGGGATTCCTGGGCACCGTCCTCATCGAGGCTTTGCTGGACACACATCCAGACATCGGAACCATCTACGTTTTGGTCCGGGGCAAGCGCAAGTTCGATCCCAGCGAGCGGATCCGTCGACTGCTGCAGAAGCCGGTAAGTCTGGTGGCATTCTCCTTAATTATTTTGACCGGCTCAAAAGGGGGCAGCGCCGGCCACGCCCCCTGACACGAATCTGCCCCCGACGCGCCGTCTGCGAGGTGTATCATTAAAGCCAATTACGCGTCTCTTTATGGAGCGTTAATTTGTCAAAGTCGTAACCCAGTCGACCTCTTCCGCTGCACAGAGCGATCGGTGGGGAGTTTATTTTCCTTTCTTTTTCTTGGACATTCAGAAACAAGTAATGCTCTTTTCTTTGGTTTAAATATATTTTATTCTGAATTTTATTTTAATTCAACTGTTCATCACATATATTCGTTTATCATCGATATTATCAATTCTTTATTACTTGTGTGTTACTATTCAGTTGCCTTTGGAATTCACGCACTTTTACTTTTTAATTAATTATTGTAGTCTCAAAGCGATTTATCCGATTTTATTCTCATATTTACCGAATACAATTATACTTTTAACATTGCCAAGATAGATAGTTAAAACATTTGCATACCCTCTTAAAGTGTACTCAAACCTTCGACCCACCTTTGCCGGTCTTTTCTTTACGTGGGCTCTTTCTCTTTGTTTCCTTACGAGACACTTCACATATCGTTAATTATATTTTTAAACGCATTTTTAATGGCGTAACAAAAAGCAGTTAACAGCAAATGTTGTTTGCCTTAGAAATTGCTTACTAACGAGTACCTCCAAAAATGGTAGAAATACAGAAGAAAACACTCAGTGTTAACAATCATAATTTGTTGGGCGTAAGGTGGGCGTGGATCTTTGCCAACTCGACCTCCAAACAGCAGTTAAATTATTTTTCAACATCCGTGTCTGCAGGGAGAAAAATACATTGGTCTGGTCTGGATTTTAAGAGACATAAAAGTGTAACTCGTAAATTGTCTGCTATTGGCAATAGTAAAATCAGTTATTACCTGACACTGGTTTTACTATCTGTTGAAAACTAATAATAACCGACCCACAAAATGTTTCGCCTCTCCAAAATGCTGGTTTTCGATTTCTGCTCGTAAATTTAAAGCGTTTAAAGAGATCGAGAGATCCTGAAATGCTTTCCGCCTTTCTAAAATTAGGATGCTTATTTATATTTTTTTATGCAACCTTTTGTAGATTTTCGAAAAGTATTCGGAGAAGACTTTGGCAAAGGTTGTTCCGGTGGTCGGAGAACTGAGTGAACCGAACTTTGGCTTTGGCCCCGAGCTCCTGCAGGAGCTTATTGACCGGGTCAATGTGATTTACCACAGTGCCGCCACCATCAAGTTCAGCTCCCCGCTGCGAACTGCCATTCGCACCAATCTTACGGGAACGATGCGAACCATCGAGTTGGCCAAGCAAGTGAAGCAACTGGCCGCCTACATCTACTGCTCCACGGCCTTCTGCAACAGCAATAATCGAGGTCTGATCGCCGAGGAGGTGTACAAGTCACAGTTCGATCCGTACGAGATGATGAAGATGGCCGAGGACGATTCGGCCTGGGAGGACTTCACCGATCAAAAGTGCAAGGGATACATTCGGGATCACCCCAACACGTATACGTTCACCAAGAACCTCTCGGAGAATCTGCTGATGGCCGAGATGTCCGGACTGCCAGCAGCCATAGTCAGGCCATCGATTGGTAAGTTAACTACTAAAACAATTATAGATTTAGTAACCAATATTGATTATCTACTCGCAGTTTATGGCACCCTGGAAAACCCCATGAAGGGTTGGGTGGGTAATGCAAACTCTGGTCACCTGGGCTTCTTGGCCGGCTTTGTTAAGGGAATTTTCCGGACAATGTGCGGAAATGCTAATGCTGTGATCGACATTATACCCTGTGACTACGTGATCAACTCCTCACTGGTCATGGGATGGTACGTGGGCACCCGGAAAGTGGAGCAGCCGGAAATCATACACTGCACCTCCGGAGAGGTTAATCCTCTCAATCTCGCCGAGTTCTGTACGATTATCAACGATAGTGTGGAGCGTCATCCGCCCAACAGTTTCGTTTGGAAGCCGGTGACGAAGTTGCGAAATGGTTGGCGGTACAATTTGTTCTTCTACCTGTTCCATTTGCTGCCAGCATTGGTCTTCATTATTCCAGAGAAGCTATTCGGAATTGGGATGCCGCAGCACACGTAAGTTGGTTGGAAAAAAGGATTCTTAGAGTATATACTAATTTGTTTTACTAGAATTGAATAAATTAATGTTTGAAGTATTTTTTTTTTTAAACGGAACTTCAATATTAAAAGTCAGTAAGATTTAACATCATATCAAAAACCTAAGGGATTTTTTTCCAAAAACTAGTTGGGAATTATAAGACACACAAACGTAATCACAGCACTTTAGTTTCCCACAAAAAATTAGTTGGAAATTATAACCCTATAATCGAAAAATATATTTATCCATTTTTCAGAGCCTACGAGTACATGCGCGTTTTCCAAAAGGGAACCAAGGCTTTTGACTACTTCCTGGACAAGGACTTCCGATACTCCTTAAAGAATGCGCTGCGTATATCAGCTTTAATACCAGAGAGCGATCGGAAGCGGTACAATTTCGATGCCAGCCAGTGCGATTGGTCCGAGTTCATCGATCGCTGTCTGATTGGAATCCGGCGTTTCTACTTCAAGGAGTCGGCAGTGACTACGGCATGGCATCGCAATTACTGGAAGGTGTAAGTATAAAAATCGTTAATATGTCATATTAAATAATTTACTTATTATATCATATTTAATTTCTCCTACTTCTAGCTTTAATTTCCTGTACTATGCGGGATACGTCGTCATCTTTGCCGTCCTGTACTTTGCCCTAACTTTAACTTTGGGCCCGAAGATCGGTCTGGCGTTGGCGCTCCTGATCTGGGGATTCCTCGTTTGGTTGTAGCCCGGTTTCTGGATCGATGGCCAACCGTTGGATTGTGCAATATTCCAGCTCCAATTCCGATCCTCTCCAAATGGTTGTTCGTTTCCATCCGTAGTTTGTTCTTAGTAGGGTATCATGTATTTTACTTTTAAGATCTTTCACACAAGCCAAGTACAAGTCAGAAAAGTGTATCATAATACCAACAATCAAAGCAACACGAGACACAAAATCTATTCACACAGCAATGCAAAAGTAGCCCAAAACTTAGTCACACTAGCTAAACACTTAATGTAAAAATAATGAACAATTTTAGATTGTTGTAATAATTATCAACCGGTTTATAGTCAAATAGTCGAAGAATACGAGAACTAAACTTTAAATGATTAAATATGTAACTATTATTCAAATAAATATGATTTTAATATTAAGAAAAATTAATGTGTTTTCTTCTGGATACAATTCAAGCATATGGGCTTACCAAACTGTTTTCATTTTTAATAGACATAACAAATAAATGTTTAAATAACAAATGATTTACTCTACATTATTTTCTACATTGCTTAAGGGGGAACGCTAGTGTCGAAATAGAAATATGTATATTATGTTGTCAAGAGATTAAGATTGTCTTTTGATTATTAAATTGTAAATAACCCCAAATTATATAGCTAAGGGTAGATATACTTTTAAATTGTTTATTGTTTGTTTTTGTTGAATAATGTGATCTTGATTGTTTGTTTTGTTCTTGTAAGCGGACAAGTTTCAAAAGACTTATTGAAATCATAGGTCATGTTCGTTGAGTCTATGATTCTTTGACTTAAGATTCTTATGTTACAAGCAAAATAATCAAGCTCCAGCTTTAATATTTATACTCTTACATCTTAAAAATGGGATTGCATTTACTACTTTATTCTCTACATGGCTCAACTTATTTTTGAGCAGACAGTTCCATATTTTTCCGGCAGGTGCGCTAAACTTATCTTGAAAAGTATCTATAGATATAACAACAGAGAACGCTAAAGTCGAGTGCCCGACTGTCAGATACCCGTTACTCAGATTAACATTATTAATAGACGAGGCAACTTTTTTATAGTTACTTGATCCGCATTCGTATTTATCACTATAATTTGCACATTGAATCCTATTATTTAAGCCCTTTAGTATTCAAGGTTTCATTGTTCAAATTCCCCTTACCTGTAAGATACTTTTCAGCACATACAGTATACCCTTTTACTCTACGCTTAATGGGTATGAAATTAAAATGTATCTGCAGAGAGAGTTGCTCTTTTTGTATCTCTTTCTTCAGAGAGTTCAGTGAGCAATACACACCGACTGCAGGCAATATCGTATCTCCGAGATAGCAAACCATGAAAGTCGGTGGGTTAACTGGGCAATAAATTATGTGAGAGACCCCCTTTTTGGAGCGCCGCTGGATAACTGGTTTGCCCGACGAATCGTAATAGCTATAATGACGATCCGCGGAGCGTACTTAATGATCATCCGCAATCGTTCGGCTTTGTGGCCGAGCACATTTCTGTGGCCATTGACGGAATAAAGATTCAGTTGAAGTTTTACTGTTGCCGGCTAACGTTCGAAATCGGAAGATCGGAGAATCGGAGCTATAACTCGCCCATTCACACACACTCGCACACATCGCAGCACACAAACGTGCCGTTGCACTGGTGTTGGTACTTTGTTTACAGTCGCATCGCAACAACAATAAAAACAGTGGAGTAAAAGATAGAAAGACGAAGGAAATAAGACGAGGAGGAAACCGACTAAAAGAGAAATACGTGAAAAAGAGAAATTTCGACGTTCTAAGCCGACGTTTTAGCTTAAATACATTATCGGAACGAGCAGATAGACTGCAACTGGCATTATTATTGGCAATTACCACACCTGCTGAGAAACCATGGCCAGGTAAGTCTCGCCCAATTTGGCTCCAAACAACGGCTTCTGCTGGCTTTTTGTTGGGAATTATTTTTGGTAGCACGTTTGACAACTTTCGGCCTGCTTTTTTCTTTTCCCCGCTTTCGAGCGCCTTTTGTGAGGTTAGAAAGGCAGTGCAAAGTTCGAGTTGCCTCAAAATTCTGGGGTGATGATACGAAGTTTGCAAATAATCTACCACCCATTAAAAACCCAACTGATCTTTGCATACAACCGATTTTTTTCCTGCAAAAATAAAATTTTTGCGGGTCAACAGTATATTTTGAGTCATTGCGTTTACTTATCGCAAAAAGTAAATATACAAAAACTAATCAGTAACTCAGTTAATAGCCTAAAAATATACTTTTTTAATATGAAAATTACTCCAGTTCAAACACATAGAACAATGCCAAAGCCAAGTTAACGATAACTTGTACTTCAAACTGCCATAAAGCTCACTCAACCAATAAAAATGACTTTCATAGGTTTAACCTTTAAATGGATGATCTCCTAACTCATTGCTTGTTTTGAAATATATATTTCAAGCTAAAATATTTTTACATAGATTGAAGTTGAAGCTGTTTAGGCCATACTGTACTATAATTAACACTTGCGTTGGCGACTAATTCCACTTTATTACGATCTGGCAGTCGGTCATTAAGTCGGACACTTTCTTTTTCCAATGAGAACCTATCACCTGAGAGTCGCCTGCATCAAATAACAATGGAAAATTTCGTTGACCTGTTGAATGTGTCTGTGCATAGATACAACGATAGAGAGAGATGCAAATAATGCTAGTTTTCACACTCAAACTTTGACCCGTTTAAGCGCCCTCTTGTTGATAGATAGTATTACGTTCCCTTTTCTGAAATATGACGTCAATGGACGGCAAGCAGGAAATCATGTGGAAAATTACAGGTTAACATATCAAAAGAAACCGAAGGGAAACGGGCTCGTAAAATATTATAGCCATCACATCCTGACAGGTTGCTAAACATTTTCGGGACGAACATTAATAACCATTTCGCAGAGATTTATGGGGCAGCACAAGGTTGAATGCAGTTGGTAGGGTCAGTTACTCAAAGTCGAGTAACTTAATTGCCGAGGTGGGCAGGCAGTTAAGTTTATGTGCAAGCTAATGAAATAAGAGTTCTTAACGCCAGTCATTATAGAATGCGGTAAATTGCTGCAAATGATATTGAATTATGCAAGAAGTGAGGTATATTAAGAGGAATTGTTTAAATCGACACTACTTCATTATTTCCTCAATTGTAGAAGATCTCTTAAATAATTATATATTGTTTTGTTAGTTTAAACTGACTTCTTTTCCGTTGAAGCCGTAGCCTTTGATTTTGTTGGCAATATCAGTTCCAAGGCAAACCAAAACCTAATTTCAAACAAATTTCAAGTAGCACTGCCACCATAAATCGACCCACTTAATTACACTAGATAAGCTCCCAACTGGCCAACAGAAAAATCTAATCTCAGAAGTTGATTTAAAACTGATAAGAAAGTTAATTTTCAACAGCGAAAGAGATGGCCAAAAAGAAGGTGTAAGGCGGAATGCTGGAGACAAAACTTAATAAATTAAGCAAATCCACTAAATGGGTTATTAGCCATTCGTCTTGATTGGGTCACCTATCCCTTCCGTCTTAACTTTTTTTCCCAACCCCAAAGTGAAAGCACAATGTGGCTTACCAACAAGCTGTTGAACTGTGAGCCTGGCCAAAATGATGACTTGCCTTTTCGGGTTGGTAAACATGAGCACCTGCAAAGGCTTCAACTGCACTTTATTTACTTTTGAGGTGTGTGCCATCTCGAGGGCTTAATTGCTCAAAAGAAACTTTGCATTCGGTTTTTGCATATTCAAATGTAGGAAATGTTGCATTCACATTCCCTACCATCCAAATGTAATTTGTTATGCAGAAATTATATCACGCATCGGTGGAGGGAGGCAAACAACACAGAAATCATCTTCAATGATCGTCATTATAAAATCATTTGGCATAACAAAAAGCGGAGACAGCGAACTGCGATGGAGGTCATTAAAAGAGAAATGCGCCAGACTTGGCTAATTGAATGATCGAGTTGCGTGTCCGCTGAGGTCCCAATATGTTTGGTAACTCAATCGGATCAGTTGGGAAACCAGTTGATCGCAAATTGGAAATGGGGTTTCCCGAACCTTAAAAAATTAAGTAAAAATAGGTATGTAGTGTTAAAGATTTGGCAAAACAAATCACTTAAACGATTTTTTAACGACGAAAAGCATATTAAAAGGTTTAAACTATAAACTAAGATAATTTAAAAAATGTTGATCTTGAAAGATCAGGTTAACTTCCAAGATTTTTTTTTAAAGTTTAGCTCAATATTTCTTTTAAACGTAAAAAGCATGAAGTAAAATAAGCAATTGAGATATACAATATTATTATTTCTTTTTATTATACATATTTAATTTCTAATGTTATATCAGATATTATCAGTTATAATCAAATAACATTTTTCGAATATTACAATGTAGAGTACTTTTACACCCTATATTCAAAAGTCAAGGGGCACTGAGCAAACTACAACCGTAGAAAAACCATATCAAACCCTATAATTTCGCTAATCGCACGACGAGTTTTTAGACGAGTGCTTACTCCAAAGCTCCAAGGGAGCACCCACAACATGGATTTGAATTCCAGCATTGACCCGTCAGTCAACACCTGCTAACAATCATTAGTTAGATCAATATTTGGGGGTATACAATGGGCACTTAGAACGCGAAGCCCACGACGAAAAACGGGTTTTAGCCAGACAATCAGTTTAAGATGCTCTCCCCTGAAGGTTTTATGGGTGAACGAGTGTCGTAAGCAACGTTTGCTCCATTGGGAGTCTGGCTATTTGAATGGGCGATGGGAGAAAGTTTGGTTCATCTTTTATGAGGTTGATAAATGTGGTCGTAGTTCGTTATATAAACACAAGTCGCAGCACTCAACTGATTGGAAAACTCTCAACATTTCAGCTCACCCATCACAGACTTCTATGAGGGTCGCAATGTCTTCATCACGGGAGCCACTGGCTTCGTGGGCGTCACCATTGTGGAGAAACTCCTACGGGACGTTCCCAACGTGGGCACACTGTACCTTTTGATGCGGGCCAAAAAGGGCAAGAATGTGCAAGAGCGACTCGAAGAGCTGAAGAAGAACTCGGTGTTCGACAAGTTCAAGGAGCTCCAGTTGGAGTCCCGTCTCTCCAAGATCGTTCCCATCGAAGGTGATGTGGGTCTGGAGAATCTGGGCATCTCGCCCAAGGATCGCCAAACCCTGATCGACAATGTAAATGTGGTCTTCCACTCGGCTGCCACCTTGGACTTTTTCCAATCCCTGAAGGAAACAACCAACATTAACTTGAGGGGCACAAGACGAGTGGTGGAGCTGTGCCAACAGCTGAAGAACTTGGATGCCCTGGTGCATGTTTCCAGTGCCTATGTAAATGCCTATCTGACCAAGGTCGAGGAGAAGCTGTATCCCTCGCCCGAAGATCCCGAGAAGATCATCCAGCTGTCGGAGACGCTCAACGATGAGGCTCTTAAGGAACTAGAACCAAAGTGAGTGGGATATTTAATTGTTAGAACCTTTTTAAACAAATATTAAATAATTATAAATATTTACCTATAGACTGCTTAAGGATCACCCCAATACCTACACCTTCACCAAACACCTGGCAGAACACGAAGTGGCCAATGTGGCTGGAAAATTCCCCTGCGGCATTGTGCGTCCCAGCATGAGTGAGTACTTCACAGGATTATCCTTCTTCCTTAAAAACTAAATTATATTCTTGTTATCCTGTAGTCACCGCTGCTTGGAAGGAACCCCTTCCCGGATGGACCATCTCGAAGAACGGTCCCCAAGGCTTCTTCATGGGCGCCTCGAAGGGAGTGCTGCGCCGTCTTCCCTTGGACCCCAGCATCATCATGGACTACATACCCATCGATGTGGTGGTCAATGGAATCATAACCACCGGCTACTATGTGAACTCGCTGCAGGCCAAAAACGGAGGACGTCCGGCCGAGCTGCAGATCTTCCACCTGACCTCCAGCACATACAAGCCCTTCCGGTTCGAACTGATGGCGGACAAGATCAACAGCTACCTGCACGACTACCCGCTCAATAGTGCCGTCTGGTATCCCAATCTGCGCCTGGTGAAGAGCCTCTGGGTCTTCCGGCTGAGCGCCATCCTCTTCCACTTCATTCCCGCTATTATCCTGGATCTGGTCACGAAAATCGGAGGCGGCAGGCCCATGTGAGTATCAGTTTAGCTGGATTGTGAACTACCAAGCAATCAAAAATAGGCATTACTCATAAAAAGAGTTTTAAATACAAATTTATTTCAGAAAATAATTGTACTTATATTTTTATTACTTATAGTACCACCCCAACGAAAAATTAACTGATATTACCATCGATATTTCATTCACAAAAGAGATCTTAAATATTTTCGACATTTATCGTTTAAGATTTAATTACTTACTTCATTCTGTTATTATATTAAATTTTTTATTCCTAATGACCAAAAATTGAAATTAACTAAACATTACCTATTTCAAGTATCCATAAATATTTCTTTGTACTATAGGTAATTTTGTAATATTTTTTTAAGTATTGTCTCTTTAAAAATGAAAAGGATTTCAGAAATAGTTGCTAATTAGGAAAATAATAAACTTCAGAATACCGTAGGCTTTAATATTAATTAAATTTATTAAATTAAATTTTTTTATTTTTTTGTAGTTTGGTTCGACTGCACAAGAACGTTTGGAACTCACTGAATACCCTGGAAAGGTTCATCTTCACGGAATGGCACTTCGACAGCAAACGCCTACTGGCACTTTCCAAAACATTGAGTCTGGTAGACAAAAAGAAGTTCATCATCGACATTGGAGAGCTGACGTGGGATGAATACTTCGCCAATACGATTTTGGGAGTGCGTCAGTACCTCAGCAAGGAGCCGCCCAAGAACCTGGAAAAGGCACGTCGCAAGGACAAAATGTAAGAACTTTTTATAATATAAATAAAAGCTAATATTAACCCATTTATTTATTTTAGTCTCCTGGGTCTTCATGTCGCTCTGCAGCTCGCCTTCTGGTATGGAATCTTTAAGCTGATTATTTGCGTTACCGGAATTTCGGGAGCTAAAGCAGCACTTATCCTGCCCGTTCTCTATTACCTGTTTGGACTGCTTTAAATGCGGGTCAATATTCCCCTGCAGTTCAATATTTTCTCAATGTTATTTATGCTAAATGCAATTTGTATGAGGTTTGGTTTTGAAATATAAATACAAGAAATCAAAAACTTGCTTTTATTGAGTTAACAAATGCAACGTTATCAGTTGCCGAGAGTTGGATACTGGCACATTTTTAACCTTACAAAGCGTACTTATTTCCAGTCAGAACTTTGTAAAAGTATTGAATCTTTCAGCTGCAATAATAATGAAAAAATCCAAAAAGATAATGAAGTACTTAGAAGTACTAACAATCCAAAAAAAAGTTTTGGTTACTATAAATTTTTTAAGTTCTTTCACCATCATTCAAAAATATTTTCATTTTTACGCCAACTGCAACCACCCCGATAAAACCTGGGTACACTATCATCTGGCGCTTAGAGTGACCACATAGCGAGATGCCGTAAAATACCTAAGTGCACTTAAGCCCGAAGCAACAGTTTCCAGCAACAACAACAACCAACGACCAAGTGTTCCAGTGCATGCAAAACAACGACGATTTCCCGAAGTTTGCAGGGAAGTCGTGGGAATTTCTCCATACCTTGACCCATTATCGGATACATCAGACACCCCGGATTTTGCAGAAGACATGTCACTATAATGCGGAGCCCAGAAACGGACAGTGAGCACTCGGAAACGGATTCCTGTGGATCCTCCACAAATAGTAGCAGTAGTGGACTAGGAGGAGTTCGCCATCGGAGGAGGAGCACCCAATGTCAGGGCGTATTTAGCCTGAAGGCCATGGCGCCAAGGTTAGTAATAGTTTCAACTAAGAGGCAGTCCAAAGTTCCTCCTTATCAGTACAAACCGGATTCTTATCTGACCCTTTTGTAGACCCAACGCGGGACCCGGTGGCTGGTTGTGTCTGCTCCTTCCATTGGCCTTGGCCGTCCGCCTGTTGAATTCCCCGCCGGGATGCAAGGATGCGGAAAGGATGCAGTGGATCCTCACTGTTTCAGCTGCCGGAATGGCTCTGGAAACCCTATGTTTCTTCGTCTACGCCTTTGTTAAAACCGGTATTTTGGTCAAGTGTTTGGTTAGTCTCTTACCTGGAGTGGCCACCAGTTTGAGCTTCTACATGCTGGCAGACACGTCGCTTTCCTTCGCTATAATCGTGGGGTTCCTAATGACCGCCTCGTATCAGCAAATCTATATTTACACTCTGAAGGGTTTTGAAAAATCCTTTACCTATGGAGAGGCCTCGGTTTTGATTCAGGGATTGGTGCTCTTCGCCATGAGTGCTACCCACAAACTCAGCGGATTTCTTTGTGGCGGTTCCTGGCCAACTGATGAATTTGAGACACTCAACATGATTATGGTGGTGCGTATAGCTGGGATTTATACATTTGTCCATAGATTAGATTTTTATTTAAAGTTCGTTAATAACTTTTAAAGTTTTGATGAGTTAACATCCAATTTTTAAAGCTAGAAAGCATTCAACTTTGTGTACATTTTTTAAACCTAAATTCAAATATTTTTTCCTGTAAGATGGATACAATTTAATTCACAACTGACATATAAATTACATTAATTGTGAACATTATTTTCAGAACGCTCTATTTTGGCTGCTGGTGTTCTGCTTGGCTCTCGTCGCTTTTCCATCGTTGAGGAAGCCCTACTGCTTTTACCTGTGGATGTTCCAACTCATCGTGGCTGTCACCTGTATGCCGGTGACGAAACCCCTTCCCCTGCTAACCCTCATTCAGTTCATAATCCAGGATCGCGACCGACTAGCCATATTGGTATTCTATCTCCTGCTGGTTGTACTAACCTGCATCACAGTAGCCTGGCAAATTGGTAGTTCCTCAAAGGCAAACACGCGGGTGCGAAAGATCTTTCACCTGCTTATTGTGATGGTTTATATTCCTGGGTTGATCTTCGAATGCGCCTTGCTGTATTTGGCAACTGGAGTTGCATTGGCTGCCTTTGTGGTCCTGGAACTGGTGCGACTCCTCAAGATTCCTCCGTTCGCAGACAGATTAGCAGAAGCCTTTCGCTCCTTCAAGGACGAAAAGGATGCCGGGGAGTTGGCTTTGACTCCGTTCTGTCTGCTCATCGGCTGTTCCATGCCCATTTGGATGAGCCCGTGTCCATGCTCTGGAGGCAATACCTTGGCCTTGCTATCGGGAATTCTGGCAGTGGGTGTGGGAGACACGGCAGCCAGTGTTGTGGGCTCCAAATTGGGCCGCAACAAGTGGGGAAGTGAGTTTGACTACATTAACGTACTATTAAATTTACTGAAAGACTGTCGTAACTCAAAAAAGGTTTGGAATAGGTAGCAAAAAAATATGTCCTTATATTAAAAAACTACCTTATTATTTCCTAGTTTTCCAAACCCAGAAAAGTTTTTGTGTATATTTTGAGACTTTTTTTGAGTTATGGTAATCTTCCCCTATATATGTAAAAGCAAAGTACTATATTGATGAACAATCGTTGCAGAATCCTCCCGTTCCCTGGAGGGCACTATTGCCTTCGTGGTGTCCATCCTTCTTGCCGTTTGGTTACTTGAGATTTCCGGCTTGGTGGCCATGACCCAAGCCAAATGGTTCGCCACTATCTTCGCTGCTTTGAATTCTGCTTTGGTGGAGGCCTTTACCGACCAGGTGGACAACTTGGTGCTGCCTCTGATATTCTATACGATTGTGGGCCTAGCCTAAAATACTTATTTATAGTTGTAAATAAGTTTAAAAGTTGCATTCCTTAGTGTCTACCTTTGTGAACAAATTTCTGGGTGTAATTAAGTGTATTAAAATAAGTCCGTTGGTTTAATTTCAACCAAATAAAATACTAATTTATTAAAGAGTTTTAAAAACTCAAACTACACAAAGTCCTTGTTACTTTTTTGTGGTCTTCAAAACAACTAATAGTTCTAAAAATGAAAAGTTTTTCAACAAAATCATAAGTATTCGAGGAGGATGTCTTTGTCTACAAAAATTAACATCGATTAACATTATATTTATGTAAGTATATTTTATATGTAACCTTCTGATTTTGAGCGCTGTCATTCCCGTTTACAGGGATGTAATCCTTAATTCAATTCTTTATTAAACTCCAATAAGTTATCGCTTCCATTTCCAGTTACCTATATTGTAAACAAAAAGAATTTCGAATTGGACTTATCTAAAATCCAGTTTGTAGTGCAGCCCTGGCGACTGTTAAGTTAACATAGTTGATACCAAGAACTGTTCATCTAACATAGGTGCATTCAACAGAATGTTAGCCAACACGTGGGCTCAATGTTATGTGGTTTAGGCCACCGAAACCAACAAAATATTCAATTTCACCGCACAAATAACACAAATTCACTCGGTTTATATAAAGTGCAAACACTGCAGATTTTTATTAGGTAGAAATGGTCATCGGATGGCTACAAAATTGCGTTTGGCGGCCATGTGGATATGACCGGTACTCCAAAACGATGCTCTATCTTCTCCGCCTTGCGAGTGTTTTGCACTGAATAATCGCCTGCTCAGCCACTTATTCGAAGAGAGCGAAGCCCATGTCGTCGTCCTCGGACTCGGACTCCTCCTTCTTCTCCTCCTTTTTGGCCTCCTTCTTGTCGCCACCGGCGGCGGCAGCGGGGGCGGCATCAGCGGCAGCGACGGCGCCACCACCACCCACGGGCATGGAGGAAAGCTTCTCGCGACCCTCCTTGATCAGCTCCTCGATGCTCTTGCCAGCCAGCTCCTTGATGACCTTGGTCAGACGCTCAGTGTCGACCTCAATGCCCACGGAGGACAGGATCTTCTCGAGGTCGGCGTTGGCGGGCGAGTCCTTGCCACCGAGGACGGCCAGAAGGTAAGCAGCCACGTAACGCATGTTTAAGTCTTGGGTTCTTGACACGAAACGTGGATTGTGCAAAAAGTACGAAAAACACAACTTTTCTTTGCAAGTTGTCGTCGGAAAAGAGGCGGAAGTTAGCGATGAGCGGTAGAGCTGCAAAAATATCGATGGCAGTATCGATGGTTGGGCCTCAGTCACTGTCATCGATTGATAATCTATACGATGATTGGTTTGGTTTTAAACTGTAAATAATTACGCACATTATAGATAAATTTGAATGTTTTCGTTATTTTGTAAAATCATTGCTTAGTTCTTCTTCTTTTGGGGTTTTGATTCATTATTTGCAGGAATGCCCCTGATATTTAGTTATAAATGATTCTATAGCGATAGTATTATTGTTTCCCAATACTCTGGTCAATTGCAGTTCCAAAAGAACTTAGCAATGATTTTCAAAGTTAAAAGCTACTATTAAGCTACCATTCCCCGTTTTTCGCTTTGCCGACTTAAAAGCAAACTTACTGTGACCAAAGGCTAAACATTTGATCTTTGCGGACGCAGCCCAAATATTTCGACACCGGTTAACATTTAGCAAAGACTCACACCAAGTGTTAGCGGTTCTGTAAAAAGTCGACTATCAGAATGTAAAGTGCATAAGAGAGCGGATGGAAAGAGAAAAACGTGAGAAAGTGACAAATGCTAGAGCTGTGTAAAAAGTAACAAACAAAAGTTATCGATGTTTAAAATTTGATGATGTAGATTTCATTTTAAAATAAATAAAGTTAAGCAACAGAAATAGAATAAACTCATCCATTTAAGCACTTAGCGTTTGAATTTTGTTTATAGTTAAGCTAAATACTGAAGAAATTTAAGAAGATAATATCTTATCATGTATATAAAAATATCATATGTTACCCCACTTTATGGAATTGAAATTTTCAAATCCCACTTCAAAATTGAAAAACCACAATATATAAGTTTATGCTGTATGTATAATTGCATATATAAATTGTTGTTGTTGTACAAAATTTTGAAATTGTATAATGCATTCCTGAACTTTGTGTATCACATTTCGACTTGGAGGACTTTCAAACGTCCTCGAGAATCGTTTCAAATTAAGCGGTTATCAGTTAATCGGCAGTAATATTTATACGACGCGACAATGTTTTCTTTACACTTAGCTTACGACTACAAACATATTAAGGTATTCTTCATTCCGGATCCGGATCCGGACACAATAACTGGACTGACACGAAAAAATAAACAAAATGCTTCACTACACTTAAAGGAACATTGTAACAAGAACGAAGCGAAACCGTTACGATCAGTCGCCTCCATTATCTTTTCTGGGACATGTGATTAGGGCATCAGCGGCTCCTGCTGGAAGTACTCGTGCTCCAGACAAGCCAAGGCGGAAGGACGCAGTCGGAGGTCGTAGGATAACATTTGCTGGGGGAAAAAATTAGTTAGTTATTCAGCAAAATAGTTTCGGCAACGTGTACTCACATTCAATAGATCATCAGCATACTTGGACAAATGGGGGCAAAAGTCTCTCGGTCTCTTTGGATGCCGCTGGGGAAAGTGTTCCAGGGCCACCGAAATAGTCTGGGGCCATTGCTGTTCAGTGGGTCGACCAGTGAGCCTAAAAAATTGATAAACAATTGTTTAAATAAACAATAAAACAAATATATATACTGGGTAGGTAGACCCACTCGAAGATGCGGTCCAGCTGATTCTTCTCCGAGGTTCCGGGAAACAGGGCCCTGCGGTTGAACATCTCAAAGATAATGCAGGCGGCACTCCAGATATCCACGGTGCTATTATAAGGCTGGGCGAGCAGAACTTCGGGAGCCCGATACCACAAAGTGACCACCACTGAAGTGAGCTTCATCTCGGATCCGTAGGTTTTGGCCAGGCCAAAGTCAGCAATTTTCAGGTGGCCCTGCGATGACACCAGCAGGTTCTGGGGCTTCAGATCCCTGTGGATAATACGATGTGAGTGCAGAAAGTCCACGCCAGTTAGAAGTTCTCTCGAGAGGCGCTAAAAAATATATTACAATATATATATTAGCTGAAAATTTTAGTATAAATTCTTCTTCCTAGACCCACCTGAATTGTAGGTGGAGACATTCCCGTTTTCGGCAGTCTATCTATAAGATCCGATAAATCCTGTTCCAAGTGCTCGAAAACCAGGAGAATCAACAGTTGTCCATCGCGCTCCAGAAACTGGCATACTTCGAACAGTCTGCAAAAGTAGGGGAAGTAAATATATGTTTACATTTTGTGCGATCCCCAGGTGAGAAAGGGACAGTTATAGATTAAATGTTGAGAGATATAGAAAAAACTGGCATAAAATGCTGCTGGCTTTGCTGGCGCCATCGGCCATACTGTGTTCACTTCGAGAACTAAGCAAAGCACTCGCAACAAACACAAGCACACGTTTACGATATACCGATCGAAGCCGAAAAGAGAAAAGCCAAGAGAGATACAATCAGATCGTTTGCAAGAGTGAAAAGCGTAAGTGTTAAAACAATAACATAGTGTTAGCAAGCATTGCCGGCAGTTAGTTTAACAGCATTTTTGACTTGAAAAAATCATGGTTCTATTTATTAAAAGTACTTAACATTTTCTAAGTTTATTTTAATTTAAGTTTTATTCTTATATAAAAAAAAAGGCAAAAAACCTCTTATTAACTGCAGGTTTGGAGATTTAACAAAGGTTTACCCCTCCAACCAGAAAATACTTTTAGCTTCAAACAACTTAACAGTCGCAACTTTAGCTCCTACTGCAGATACATTCTGTTGTGTGAGCTCGCTCTTTTCAGTATACGGTATAAAGATCACTCTCCCTCTAACGATGTTAAAAAGCCATATCGTAGCTGAGCGAGAGAGAGTGAGGCACAAAGAGCGCAACATTGGCTGTTTATCGGCTGCCAGCAACATTTTGTAATCGAACCAATTAACAGAGCGCTCTGTTAATTCAAATTCCCAACGGTCGCCGCATATTACTTAATGCCAATACAAAATCGGCCGATCTGCGCCTGCAGTGACAGCGGCGTTATCAGCGAGAGCAGAGTGGCGCCGCTCCAGAGTTATTTGACTGGCATATGCCAAAAGCGTGGACGAAGAAGGGGCGGTGAACTGCGGCCGCAAGCTATATATTATATACCCCCTCCACTTCACCTGCAAATCGGCGAAATACTGTCGCTATAGCGTGCAAAGATAAACAGAAGCGCTATTTTTCAAATTACCCCGGCAAATAGTTGGGGCGCCACTTGGCCTTAATTGCGGGTGATAACACACCAGAAACACCCCTCATATTCTCGCTATATATACACGATCTGTGTGCCTGCTACATGCAATTACATCGCCCGGTGCCTAAGCCTTCATTTCCAAATGTAACAGTCATGTACTTACTTAACAATATTTGCATGATTGCTGGCATTCAGTTGCTTTAGTAGGGAAATCTCCCGCAGTGTGGACATTGGCACTCCATTTTCGTTCAGCGAGATCCTCACCTTCTTCAGGGCCACAATGTTTCCGGTGATCAAATCTCTGGCTCTATAAACAGTTCCATAAGCTCCTGAAAAAAGCCAAGCAAAATTGGATCAAATTCGCGAATGACCGAATCAAATGGTAATGCTAATCAGAAGCAAAAACAGAGACACAAAAAATACAAAAAAAAAAAAAACCCGAAAGCAAGGCCAGATAAGAACACGTAAAACTGCCGAAAATTCGCGTAGGGTAAGAAATAAATAAAATAAAAATAAAAGCCAGCCAAAGTCAGCTGTGCTGATAAGTTGGACGAGAAATGCCGGCTGATTGGCGATAACCGGCAACTATTTCCAGATTGCAGAAATGGGAGAGTCACGGAGAAAAAAATTCCCCAGAATCGATTATTTAATTTAGCACTGCTTCTTAATAAAAGCAACTTGTCTGTGGTGAATTATTACGGGTTTTTATACATTTCATGTTCATAATGTTATTTTTAGCAAACCGATAAAAGTTACTTTTTTTTTATTGTTGTGACGTTTGCCTTAAATATGAATAATTTATTCCCACAGCGAATTTATCTCTCGTGTGTGGGCCACATTGAAACAAAATAATTGTATTAAATGCTCAAATGATAAGTGCTTGATTATGAAAATTATGAATATGTTTTGAGAAATTTACAAAATTTGAGTTAAACCATTCGAAATTTTAATGTGTACTTAATCATTATTATGACGTGTTATTTAAACTGTCTCATTTTGTTACAAACAAATTTTTCCTCTGCTGCTAAATTTTTGTTATAAACAACACACAGTATCGCTTCTAAGAACACGAAAAGCTGAAATAAGAAATTCAATATTGATGTCACAGCGAGATACAAAAGTATCTTTCTTTTTTCGTATCGCCGGCGGAGAAAGGCCAAAAGAGAGTGGCGAGAGGGCGAAAGAATCCCAATCAGAATCGAATGCTAGAGACAAAATGTTGTCACCGGAAATTTATCACCCGAACGAGCGGATGGGAGGAGGCAGGAGGAAGGAGGAAGGACGCAGACGTGTGTAGACATGCGTGGGGCTCGACGGACGGCCAGAAGACACCGGCTATTTCGGTTGACATTGACAGACACCGTATACTACACACCACATACTACATACACTGCGAGCAAATGGGAATAATTGGGGGGGGCTCTAGACCACCTGGCTCCGTTGAACTGTGCCGCTATTTCGACAGTCGATCCACAAGGCCGAGAGCACGACTTCGACTTCGACTCGTTTTGGACGTCGGCTACCGGGCTCTCAATTTGATATTGTCAAACAAAAAAAATAAGAAATATAAAGAAATAAACTCGAAAAATTGCGCACAGACCAAGCCAAAAAATAAATAAAAGCAACAATGAAAGGTTGGAGCGAAAGCGAATGGCAAGGGGCAACAATAATGCGAACAGAAACCGAAAAACAGACGGACGAAAATGTAATTGTGTGCCGTATAACAGATGAAATTCGGAAGGGGTTGCGCGGAGGGGAAAAGGGCCCCATGAATGGGCTGTCTTTCGGCGTTAAGCCCCCACCCCCTCCCCTCTAAGCACCTGACTCCAAAGAGCCAGTAACAATATCCATCATTAACATTTTGCCTCTTCACAGCTCGGTGACGTAATTGATTTGGACTTTATTTACAGAAAACGATTCGTAATTGCTGCCCCAAAAAAAGGCCATGAGCCACTTGTCAGATCATCGATCTGGGATCGAATATATCTTCGGATAATGGTACAAAAACACGTGGCCCACTGGAACGAACCGAAAAGTATGCAGGGAAAATGGTCAGTCCCCAAAACGGGGAAGTTTTGATCGTGGGGTACTTCTTAATCAACATTTCCCCACTTTCCTGATTTTCCACGCTTAATTAGTTGTGGTTATGAAAATGTTCCGCCTACATCACTCAGCGAGTGCTCTACAAATAGTTTATTATGTTTATAAATAAAGCAAATAAGCCTACGGATATAAGTTTTCAAAAGATTTATAGTTTTAGAAGGTCAGTTATCTAAAATGACAAATAATTAATAAACCCGCTTTTGAAGCAATAAATAGGGCTACTAAATATCAAATCAAACAAACAAGCTGTAAAACGAAATGGCGAAAAGTTTGTAAACAAATTTAAGTAAATCGTTAATAATCCGCACAGTTTCGTTGAGCAACCATAAATAAACAGAAACCACTTTGTAGCGCCGACCTATCCCAACAACAAAATCCGCTTACCTGTGCCGATGATGTTCAGCTCCTGGTAATTAAATGGATCTCCGTCGCCGAACTTTTTTCCCTGGGACATTTTCTGTCGCTTCAGTTGAGGTGATAGTGACATGTAGCTGGATTTCTTTATAATTAAGGGGTGCCGACTTGCTGATATTTTTGGTGATTAGGCACTTTTTGGGGATTTTGATTTACTGGCACCAACTGCAAGTAAAGCGATTATGTTTTCATCGATCTGTGTTTTTGTATCGATATGTCCTTTCCTCCTCTACGATAGTTCACAGGAAGAAAGAGAGAGAGAGAGAGGGAAAGAGTGAGAGAGAGCCGCTACCTGATTTTACCTGTTGCTTTTTCAGATAACCCGAAAACCAACTCGCGATAAAGACTGGTGTGACAGGTGCTAATGGGCCCGAAAAAAGAAGTGGAGGTCTGGCTATATGCTCTGCTATGCTTTTTCTATCTCTGAGAACGCGCACACATCGAGAAGTCGGCGGTCATTGAACCCGGTTAATGTTTTCGTTTATTTGTACTTTAATTTTATGTCTAACCGATCGCAGAAGGCGAGAGGCGATCGCACTAACTATAGTTATGATTTATTCATGTTCTTTCTCCGCCGTCTCCCTTTTGTGGCTTCTTCGTGCATCCTGTTACTTTTTATACCGATCACGAGACGATAGTTATTCAGGGATGACACTTAAGAGTTGGTTACAATGGCACTTCAAAGAATAAAGCAATTTATCAAATGATCTCTTATCTTATCAAATTGTTTTTTCCTAAAAGTTCCAGGAAAATGTGATATGTATGTAAAATACAAATCCTATATTTTAAGGATAACTAATATCATTTACTTTGGAAAGCACTATTATCGTTTAAATTCCAGCATCTACGACTTTTCTCGCAGTGCAAATTTTTGCCCGTAAGTATTAACACCGAAAAAAGAACCTGAATAATTTGTTGTTGGCATTTGTCAATTAATTCTAATCGCGAGACAACCGAAACAACAATAACAAATAACGCAACAAAAAAAGCACAAAAGTTATAACAAAGAGAGTGGGTAGATTTTTTCGAGGAAAAGAAATATGAGGTGTATAAATCTGAAATAGTTATTGTTGCACTAGTTGTTGCCCTCTCTCTCACTTCCCGTTCCACTGATAAGACAATTTTTTTGCACTGCATACTTTTTTTCCGTGTATTTCAATGCCAATGTTGCCGTTTTTTTGTCGGCATTTGTGCAAAATATTAGTTAAATATTAAAAAATGTGTTTTTTATTTGCCCAGAGACTCACACAAACGCACACACACACTGAGTGATCTTCACACATACACGCCGGCACACACACATGCACAGAGATATATGTGTGTATATGTAAAATTTTTATTCGCCTTGACGAAATTTTGGCATTTGTTGATAATCAGCAAGAACCGCACGATCAGAGCAAAGCGACACGAATTTCGATGCGAACACGGACAGGTGGTCGGAGCAGCACTTAAATTAAGTTTTTAAAACAGCGATTTACACATTTTACCAATATTCGTAAGAAAAGAACCGAGTGATTTGGTTGCTTGCAATGCTCTGAAACAGTTTTTAAGCGATTACGATATTCGTTGTTGGCTAACAGCGGTTTCTCTTTGCCTGTTAGCGTGTACTGCTAGCTAACAGCCTGGTGGCTAACAGTCTGTTGTTGCCAGCAAATCGGTTAACCGTTAATTTCGAAATTGTTATCAGCGATGTAAGCTTCATCAAGCAGTTTAACTGTAATGTACAATTACATTGTTTTTCTTGAGTGTACTGTTAATTTTGGTGGAACTGTTGTTTAATAAATACAAAATGATTTAATCAAATCATATATAACTTTATGTTGTGATTTCATAAATATAAAATTTACTTTATTTTCAAAAAAACTTTAAATTTGTTTTGTGAAGATGTGATATTTTACTTTTTTTATATTTTAAAACAAGTACAACATCTAAAAAAACAAGTTAACCAATGTGTTTGTTTCTTGAAAATTCCAATTGCTCAAACAACTAGCCACTTTACCAAAATCAAACAATTTGAAGTGACCTAATTTTGGAACTGATAAGACAAATCGAATTGCTGGAGGAAATACACTTCGCTAAGTGTTAAAAATATATGAAACTACCAATTAACCTTGACCTAGTCAAGCTATATGATCTCCTCTTTACATTACAGCATTTATTACGTGTACTTCAAAAACCCATAAACAAGCATCTAATATTTTGACTCAGGTTGAAAGTGTTTAAATTATCTACCAAAGCAAAGTGGCTAAATAAATCAAAAGTGACACTCAACTTAAAATCCACTCATTGGATGTAAACTTTATCGACATGAGTTAAATTCATGTCAAAAACTTTCGGATACGAGTCACTCAAATCTTCTTTTGAGTTAAAGCTTTATTTAAATTTTTTTAACGATCTGGCTACTTTGAGTGGAGAGTCTCCAAGTTCACTAAAGCTCGATCAGTTTGGCGCTGAAATTCAAATCCAGTTTAATGTTGCAAAAACCCAAAAAGCCAAAGATCCGCATTTAACACCTTTTCTTAATCATGTTACTAATTAGATTGGCTAAAATTTCCGTTAAAACAAAACAAGTCGTGTCCAATTCGAATTGGAGCTGGTGGAAAGCCTTTGACGAAAATGTCGAGATGATAATTAATTATCACCAGGGGGTATCTGACACCGAAAAATCCACGGATGACGTACGACCCGCAGGTTCAAAGTGGAATCGCAAACAGATTCCGGGGAATCTGGATGAGTGGCGGGAAGTGGAGGAGATAGTTTCTACTCGATCAACCGGAACGTGCCCCTTTCTCACCTTTTTCGCGCAGCCAGTCGCCTTTGAATGAATGAATCCATCCGACCAAATCCGATCCCGCCGGAAAGCGCATCCCCCGTCGGCCAATTAGCACCTCGGTGAGTCGCACTCCTCCGCGGAAGTCAACGCCCAGCAACGAAACACATCTCCTCCAATTAGAACACCTGCATTTCCGACTAAAAATCAGAGCTCCAGTAATAAAAGCCAAGTGATTCAGCAGCTCATCTGTGGTGATAGTTCTTGGTGAGTAAACGGCGTTAATTAATTCATGATTTCTGGGAAATTCCTCATCACTATCATTGTCACCCAAAAGAGAAGGCACACGCACTAATCAGAAGCAATAATTCGTATGAATTTATTAAGAACAAAGGTAAAAACAACACAAGGCGATTAAAAAGTGCCGTTTCTGAATAATCCCACAGGGGATTCGATCCGGTCGGATCTGAATAGAGAATATAGACGCAAGTGCCTGCCTGATAAGCATTTTTATTTTGTTTTTCACTCTCTGACATTTCGCTTGGCCCGTGACGACGACGACGACTCCGCTTATCGCCGGGCCATTAGTCTTATTGCGTTTCAAACCGGCTTCGAGCCAAAAACTAATTAAATCGAATTTATTGAGCAAATATTATGGGCGAAATATCGGTTCTCCTCTGGCTAAAAATACGCAAGAAGAGGCCAAAAAGACCAAAAAGACCAAAAAGACCACAGGAGTTGGCAAACACAAAGACGCAAGTGCGAGTCGAGGCAAAGTAAGGTTCTAAGCCAGTTTTTCGTTTTCGTTTCGTTTCGTTTTCATTTCGGGGGTGTTGACGGGCAATTTGGCTAAATGTTAGCCGATTGAATAAATCAGTTTGCAGTGCCCGCGAGGCAACCGGTTGGCCATTGACACGGCCAAGACGGGTCTTGCCAACCGAACCGAACCGAAACCACTTGGGGGGGACCAACGTCACTGGCTCTTCAGCTCGAAGAAACCAATGCCGAGATTCCAAGCCCAAACCCAAACCCAAACCCAAACCCTGAGTAGCTCCAAGCCCATTCTCGATCCGATCTGCTACCGTTCACGTGCGGCATAAAGGCGGGCAGGCGTCAGAAGACAGAGGGGAGGGAGCTTATCTAGCCATCCATCTGGGCGATCCAGTCGAGCGTGGCTCATTACCATCACCATTGACATTAACAAGAAAACACCCGACCTTCGGATTCCCCTGAAGCATGAAAGCCAAGCTCAAGTGCCGCACACGGTTGACAGTTTTCCAAGAGGCCGAGACACCGAGATGCCGAACCCCAGACATGCGTCACCAAACAGCGATCAGCGATCAGCGATCTGCGATTTGCATAACTTAGGCCCGCATAATGGTCTCGAAACTGAAATCCGATGCTAGATCGGATCCGATCGGATCTCCGATTTACTTTACGACTCCCTCATCTTTTGGCTTCCGTGTTCCGTGTTTCCTCATCCTGGCGAGAGATTTCCGATCCGCTGATCCGCCGATCCGATCACCGGGAATTAGTGTCTCATTAGCTGCGAAAAGCGAGTGCGTCATGGAAAAAGTTTAATTAGTTCCCGCCGAAGATCGGTTAATGCCAAGCGCAAACAAACACGGGATTGTGTGACGCATATAATGCGATGCCTAGAGGAGATCGACACCGATCGATATCGCCATCGACATCGAGATGATCCCCCTGCGAAGCGTTAATTACGCGACCAGCTGGGTCGGCCGACTGCATTTGGCAATTTGGCCCAAACACTGGACCCTCTCGGCACTCCGGAGGGGTAAACATATGGAGGGTATATGGCATATTGGCAGCGCAGAGACCGCAAACCCGTTTCGCCGCCCGAAAGCGTCGCTCTGGCCGTATAAAAGTGAATTGTGACAAAAATTCTGAACAGTTGAAGCGCACGCTCAGCGGCGATAGCATCGAGAATCGAATCGAATCAGTTACACAAACAGCAATCAGCAATCACCAATCAGCAATCAGCCCCGGGGGCCAACAAGGTGTTAAGCGATCATAAAGATAATAAAGACATCGTCCCGCAATCCACGATCAATCAGAACGACTTCGAAAGTCCGCGAGTGCGCACGCCCATAAAAAGCTGATCTTAATCGAAATCGGAACAAGTGACAAGTGACCCAACCAGACGGCAAACAGGATACTACCGTAATCCCAATCAAAATCGGACGGCCATTAAACGGTACCCAACGACCAACTCAACAGCCCCACAAAGATGTTTGCGCACACTTGGCAAGTGAGTATTTCGGCGAGATCGAATTTACGAGCCAAAACACACAGGCCAACAAAGAAACGTAAACGTGTTTCGGCGATTAACATTTTCGACCAACAAATTCACAAATTAAGGCTGCAAAACACTGCCAACGGACAGCGTACTCTGATTTTTTCGCCGCCGACGGACAAGGCCAAAGGCATTATCGTCGAATCAAGTTATTCTATTTCTATTTCTATTTCGATTTCTCGATCTTGTGATCATCATGAGGAAGTGTCATAAAATCGGTTTATGGTGCGGCTTTGCACTTGATCTTCGTCGGATCTTCGGCTCATCCGCAGATCCATCCTGCTGGGGAGCCTTGGTGTCGCTTACACACTCGAGCTCTTAACCCTGAACCACTAAAGCCAACCGGTTACAGTCTCGAAAATCTCCGTCTCGATCTCGATCTCAATCTTCTCCTTCTGCCCGCTCTTGATTTTAAATTAATTTGTTTTGTCTGCGGTTAAAGGTTTTACATAACTCGAAAACCGCAAAAAAAAAGAAACGTACAATCAGTGCAATGTAGCGAATGAATCATACGAAATAGTTTAGGACATTTTTTTTTTTTTTTTTGGGAATCTATAGATGGTTAGCATATATTAGAGAGTGGTGCATCCGGTTGGATGGGTACCCGAGTGCGAACCGGCGCCTAGGAATCAGCTGGGTTCTCGGATCATGCTCGATGACGCCTACCAAATTCGAGACGTGCTCATGAATATTTTACGTGCGACTATAAATTAGATTTGATTGCGGTTATATCATTGCCTGGCCCGTTGGTTGATTTAAATTAATTATTGTATGCTAATTCGCAGCATAGGACAGGTTCTGGTTCTCTGGCACCGAATGGTTCTGCCACTGGCCTCCACTCGCGATTCACACCTTTCAATGACTCCGACTCACTGCTTGCTTTCCTTTCCTTTTTTTCCTACACCAAAGGTTTCCTCTTTGATCCTGGTGATCCTGGCAGCTACGACGATGGCAGCTCCCCAACTGCAGGATGTTCCCCACGCTCTTCTGGACATTGAGACGCCCAACCAGTTCAGCTATAACTCCCCTTTGAAACAACCGGGTAGTCTGGAATCCAGGCCCTACTTTGACTTCCTGAGCACTCTGTACGCTCACGATACGGCCAAGTCGAATCTGTTTAGGCCTTACGCGGGTCGCCAGCGCCGGGATGTGGAGGCCAAGCTGCTGGACCGTCCTCGCAGGGCCATCGTTTTCCGACCCCTGTTCGTCTACAAGCAGCAGGAGATCCGCCGGCAGGAGATCAAGGACAGGAACGCCGAGAGACGCCACGACCTGAACCGCATCTACCGGCTGTAGTTGCCCTCCTCCTCCAGTGTCCATCCGGCCAACGCGGATTGTTGGCCTTCTACAGGGTCCTCTAGCACTTAGCCACCTCCACTGTGTCCTAGCCTTAAGTACTTGCACTGCAGCACGACGAGAGAGAGCACTCATCGCTGAATATTGTATGTTTTTTATCGTTTATCGATTATCGTATATTGTATATTGTATATCGTGTATTGTATATCCATTCGCACCGCCACCACAAAGCCACATCCTCGTAGATTAAGCCCAGTTGATTGTTATGCCCCGCCTGTTATCGCGATCCGACGTTTGATTAAAGCTGACAAAACTGATTTTGACATGAACGGAGGAGTATTTTTGGGAGGCAGTGTTTCTAGGGGGGTTTGTTTGAGCTGTTATCAGAGCCACTGAATTCTTGGAGTCATCTGACCCGCTGGGAATCTACTCTAATAAGATTACTAACCGGATTTCAAGTTACTTCTTTATCACTTTACACGTTTTGGGTTGATGTTATTTCATTTATGTACTGAGAAATATTTGTGTTATAAAAAACAGGAATGTAGAATTCTCATGGATGGAATGTTCGTCTCTATATAATTTTGCTTGCTTTCTGCCTTTTACCTTTCTCCATTTCCATTTAATTTGGAAACTAATTTACTTAGAGTATATTAGTTTTTCTTTTCAAAGATTAATTTGGTGATTAAATACTTCTATCCTTAAAATGTGAAACAAGTTAAGAATTGTAGTGCTAGTATATAAATCTTTAGTACTGATAGAGAAAGTATTCCGATGATCAAACTATTGAGAAGACTCAACACCTGGAATTGCTACAAATCAACATAAGCCATTATAAATATTTATGAGCCAATTATGAATACATTTCTTAGCAGCAAATAGCCAAGTAACTTTTGATCGACGACAGCAATACAATAGAATTAAGAAGACATAATGCATGTTTGTATCAATTTCTCATTTAAAAGATATCTCCATTTATTAAACATGCCAAAAAGTTGGCACCTTTTCGCCGGAGTTGCAAATGAGTTGGGCAAATATTTTGATGCCTACTCGCCCCACACGATATTCTCGATCCAGTCGGTGTACAGATGAACCTTGGTGTAAACACTGGGCAATCCCCTCACTCCGCACACAAGTCCATAGGAGGTGATGCCGATCACTTCCTTCAAGCAGGAGTATCTAGGATGCTGGACGAAGACAGGACCTCCTGAGTCGCCGTAACAAGTATCCGCACTGCTGTTCCGGGATCCTGCACAGAGTTGGGTTCGCACGTCGATCTTCTGCTCCAATCGCTCACTGCACTGCTGCTCTTCGAATCTTTCCAGGGAGACCTTAAGGAGGTGCGAGGAGGAGAGTCCTCCCTCCGAAGTGGCTCCCCATCCTGCGGCTCTCAAATGGGAGTGCTCGTTTCCACTTTCCGCAGGCAGGCAGGCAGGTGCCACATACTCATTGAGCACGGCTTCCCTTTCCAGTTCCACTATCGCAATGTCGTTCTTGCGAGTGCCTGTGTCGTCATCCTCACCGTAGGAAGGATGCACCACGTAGTTCACCACCCGGAAATCCTGCGGCTGGGCATCATCCGTGTTGCTTTTGTAGTCCAGCTCACCCAGTCTGACCATGTATTTTGGACAGTCGAAGTTGGGATCCAGTCGCTGCTCCTTGGTCCTTCAAATAAATCAAGAAAAGAGATTTCAGATCTTCAAATTTCGTCACTTTTTGTCTTCTAAGAAAATATAATTGAGTTATGCTAATCACACACAATTAAATGGATTATTAAATTGGTGTGCTTAATCATTATTTAATTGGCAACTTAATTGGATGAAGGGGAAGTTCCGCCTTCTAAATTCCAGCTAAATTCCAATCTAAGACATTGTTTTTCTCATCGATTTCTTTCAATAAACCGTCGTTTGTTATACGATTAAGACAAATAAATTGTATTGTGAAAACACAAAGGCGCTGACGAATGGTTTTATGTTGGCTAATAACATGCCAATTTATTCCGCTATATTGTTAGTTTTGAACTGAATTCCGAATAACAAATAAATTGGCAACTCTTAATAAATTATATTAATGTATGTCGTCCACTTGGCTTTTTCGTCGGATTCGTTTAGTATTCAACGCTGTGAAATGTGCAATAAATCATGTAATGCTTACAAATAAGATGTTTTCTGGCCTTATTTCTATCACTTACTTATTTATTTATTTTATTGGATCTATCGTATTTCAAAAAAATTTTAATGTATTGTTGTTAAATTACATTTTGTAAAAAAATAGTTTTTAATTTATCTTTAAATAATTCAAACGTTTTTAGTACATTATAAATTTTTTAAAAATAAGACCTATTACATTCCCGGTAAGTAACTAATATTCAGATAATATCATCAAGTTTCAGATAGCAATTTGGAATGCGAAGAGCTAAGCTTATAATAAGATGATGTCGTCATTAATTTCGTATTTTTGGTAACTGTTATTTTGATAATGTTTTTATGTTAAATTAACTTGAGCATGCTAAATGACATATTAATTAATGTTTGCGTGGGATTTGATGGGTGTTCTTCGGACGACTTGGGGTTATACTGACTCGCTGGTCTCCAGGCAATGAGCAGCTGTAAGAACGAACTTGGGATGGATGAGAGTGCCTCCACAGTCCCAATCGATTTGAGAGGAGTTCTTCCCACGCTGACCCAGTAGCGCCATGAAGGGGAATTCCCTTCCAACTGCCTTGGCGCCACCCACAATCAGCGGAGTGGAACGGCAGGAAGTCCTTATCTCGTTATAGCGACGACACTCTGTACAGTCAAAGATTTATATACATAGTTATACTAAATCAAATGTTTTTTAATTCCTGTTAAACTTACCCTTTTCGAATCTCCTTAACCCAGTATTGGCCGAAATCTTCTGCGTTTGGCGTTGCATATTGAGTGGCAGAGGACAGCAGACAATGTCGTTGAACTCATCGCAATATTTCACAAAACGTCCAATTAAAGCCAGGTTAAAAAACACAGCTGGACAATCCGTGGCACTCAAATCTTTGCACTCGCCAGTTCCATTATCGCAGAACTCCGATAAAATACTGGGCATTATTCCCAAGATCAACAAGATCCCACATTTCACTTGCATTTCGCTTGCTCGCTAATTTTAAACTAAATCCCCCAAACAAGATACTCAAAATTAACTGATAAGAGAAATAGTGAGAATACAATTTTTACCGACGCTTCAAGAATTTGGATATTGTGCATACTTTGGTTTAATTGTCATACAGTGTTGGCAATACTTTGCTTTTTTCAATTGTTATTTTCTAAATCTTTGAGTATTTTTATTTTTAAATTCAAATTTTTTTTGAACAAGCTTTAAGTATGACTGCTCTTCACTTTTCCTTAAATGCCATATTTCACTCAGTTGCCAACTACAATTGATGCATGTTGCCAACATACATTTTTTAGAAATGTAAGATGTAAAATGTATAAATTCCAAAAAGTCATGTCAACAAACTTTGTAAAGATATAGAACTTCTTCAAAGTTTGTATTTTATTTCCGAATTGATAAGATTACCTTTCGCAAAATGTGCGATAATGTACGCATTCTCTAGTACCGCATTCTAAAATATTGGGCAAATAAGGTAAGTAATTTAACAGTCCGTTCTACATGTTTCAACTAAATGAATCCACTAGTGAATTCAATAAAAGAAGAAGAATAATAATATAAGTATTGTCATGTCAAATACATAGAAAATGGTCTTAAAAGGGTGAAATTACTAAAAGATTGATACTGTATATTTTTTTAATGTTTTTACTTTCAATATAAATTTAATTTAAAATACATATTTAAGCTTACTTTTTTTGTAGTATTTTTATGTTTTTAAATATAAATAATGCAAAGTATGTCAGTCTGATTAAGCTTGTAAATTATACTAACGATAACTGAAAGTTTTTAAAAATAATAACTTTTTTATTCGATAGTTGTTATTTTTGTAGTATATTCAAGAGTTAGTATTTAAATCTCGTGCTTTTGGTATTTTAAACGATAGATCCGCGGTCACATCGCTCTCAAAATCTCTTTCCGTTTTTGTGCGCAATCAAAAAAGATGGCCGATGTAAATAATTTCTCGAAAATCCAATAAATAACTCGGCATCCGTGCGGGAATTGGCCGAAATGCAATGCCAAATTAAAACGATAGAGTGAACCGCTCGGCTGCCGATGTTATTTTGGACCTTTCCATTGCAGTTTACCGGCAAAATGGAAACTAACTGCGGTGTTTTTTTCTTTCATTCAGCAAGTCGATGAGAATCTGAAGAAGAAGCGTACCTTCAAGAAGTTCACCTACCGCGGTGTGGACTTGGACCAGCTTCTGGACATGCCCAAGTGAGTTCGAATATCGGACTGTCGAGGACTAAGTGTTTTAAATGTGATTTTGCCCCTTCTAGCAACCAGCTGGTGGAGCTGATGCACAGCCGTGCCCGCAGGCGTTTCTCCCGCGGACTGAAGCGCAAGCCAATGGCTCTGATCAAGAAGCTGCGCAAGGCCAAGAAGGAGGCTCCCCCAAATGAGAAGCCCGAGATTGTCAAGACCCACCTGAGGAACATGATCATCGTCCCCGAGATGACCGGCTCCATCATTGGCGTCTACAACGGCAAGGACTTCGGACAGGTAAGATATGAAGGGTTATTTCCAGGACTTGCTATGGTGTGTCAATCTCATATTAGTTCGTTAGTTGAAGGATTCACTTTGAGTATAGAATTTTGTACGTTCATCTGCAATATTCCAATAAGTGGATTATTGATGTAACCAAAGAACAGTTTCCCTCAGCGAATTTTTTGATGTTATCCCACATCTGCTATTTCGTGTGATTCCAGTGCCATTCAGAACCAATTATTTTAAGGCTCTTAAAGGCTATATTGTCTCGGCGACTATTTTTCTTTTGTCAGTTTAGAATATTTAAAACTATTGGGAATTTCGGAATTAGTTCAATAAAAAACTGAATTATCGACATAAATGTTAAATACCGAAACATGGGAAAGAAATACCAAAGAAAGTCTTGGAAATTACCCTATTTAAAAAATAAAACCTTTATCCAGAAATCTAATTCAACTTTTTATCCAACAGGTGGAGGTTAAGCCCGAGATGATCGGTCACTACCTGGGCGAGTTCGCTCTGACCTACAAGCCCGTCAAGCACGGTCGTCCCGGTATTGGTGCCACCCACAGCTCCCGTTTCATTCCTCTGAAGTGAGCGGTGCTCGTTTTCTGGGCTGTTGAGATGATGCGTAATAAATGAAACGTACTTTTATAAGAACCCCTTCGATTGCGTTTCCCTATGCGGCCCAAAAAGTAAAGGAGTGGTTGTCACTTAAGAAATGTACGTTATCTATTTATTGGAACTTGTAAATCAGTGGCTGCCAGTGTCCCTCTGGGGAGCTATCTTCGCTGTCGCCGGGCGATGTTGCTGCTACTAGTGGTGGTGCGATCGTAGGCCGTGTCCTTCATCAGCGGGGGACTCCGACCGGTGGCCGCCATGTCACCAACATCGGCTGATCCGTAGGCGCTGTCTTTAACTTGAGAAGCATATGGGAGATTAGCGTAGCTCGAGTGCCGGGCATCGCAAAGCTCTGAAAGTGCGCGCAAGGATTAGTGGACTAGTAGTGGACGGCAGGAGGATGGTCATCGCCGGAAGAAGGAGCTCTTGCTGGGCGTTGGTGAAGTGGTGAAGCCCGTGGATTTTTGGAGGTGTTGGTTGAGCTGTTGCAGGCTGTGGCTCTGGCCATGGTTAAAAGCGCCCAAAGCGGGAAAAGCGGCGGTGGCGATGGAGGACTTGAGGATGCTTCGGCTGGAGCCGCGGGTGCCCACTCCAATCGAGTTCTTGGCGGCGGGAGAGGTGTTCACATCGAAGGTGGTTAGCAGGGGATTGTTGCTCTGCGAGCGCTGGTTCAGCCGAGGATCTTCAGCCTCACCTAGACGGTTCAGTTCGGTTTCCATGGAGTTATACATGGTCAGGTTGCTGGCCAGCAGATCCTGGCGGGAGCCCAGGGTCAGCATGCTGTCCGCATTGTTCAGGGTGGAGGCCGTGGTGCTGTAGTTGGAGGCGGGACTGGCCGACTTGGAATACGACATGGCCACCTGGCCCATCTCGCTGGGTCCCTGCTGCAGAGCCCCCGTCCGCGGATCGAAGTGCTTCTGGGTGGCGTCCTTCAGGGTGCTCTTCACCTCCTTGGCGCTCTCCGCCGGACTTGTGGGCTTGCGCAGCGAGGATATGTGGCCGGGCAGGGGCTCCCGGGAAACCGAAGACGATGGCGACGCCGAGTTGGTCTCCTCGTTCTCCTCCTGAAATGTAGATTTATTATATTGTTGGGTCGAAGTACACGGAAAACATCGAATATACTTCATATAGGCATCGTAGGATCTATTCCCTCTCTGGTAATACAAAGCTCTTATATACACATCAGAGACATGTTTGATTAAATGAGACCAACTAAATTTCAAAGACAATTAAATTTAACTTGGCAGATTGCCAATAAATTTATATTAAGGCATTTCTGTCAAGTCTTCAAGATCAGTTCTCTAGTGCATTTAGGAGAGTCAAGAGCAATGCACTCGCATAAGAGAAATTCTTTTTGTTTTAAAACAAATACTTTAAACAAGGGAAATATTTTCTTTGATTCAAAACCTAGAGAGTAAAAAAATTTCTATTGAACTCAATTCATAAAAGAATTAGAGGCTGGCTAGTGTTAATATATGTAGATGTTGCGTTTTTTTATATTAAATTATCAAATACTGCACAAAGGTTTAACACCTTATATTGGTAATTGAATAACATTCCCCCTATTCCTCTTAGAAAGCTAACTCTCACCTCATCCTCCTCGGTGATGATGGACGACTCGATCCAGTCTTTGATGCGGTTCTTCTTCTGCTGTCGGTCCACGTTGGTCTCGATGCCGCAGTCGGCCAAGGTGTAGAGGAGCTTGTTCTTCTCATCGGGGCTGCTGTGGAAGGAGTACATGGAGGGACACAGTTCGTCGGTCTCGTACTCGGCCATCTCCTTCTGGGCGGTCTTGGCCAGCCAGCGGTCGTCTAGGAACTTGGTCACATCCGCCAGGCTCTTCGGCCGGTTGGAGATCCTGGCAAAGAATCGCTTGAACATTCTCTGGGCATTCGAAGTGAGGAGCTTGAAGAGGCGCGGAGTGCGGCGAAGGGGCATCATCATTAAGCCTCCTTGCCAGGCCAAATATCGCACGTATCGCGGATCATCCGAGGCAGCCTTTTGCCACGGCAAACATCCAGTTAAACAAACAAAAATCACAATGCCAAACTGCCACACATCGTGGCTGGGATCTGCTCTAAAAATTATTCCATCAATTAATCTTTGTTAGATTTTTGTAATTAAATTTACTTACTTGTAACTACCTTCGGGTTTGATTTCTAATACTTCAGGCGGACTGTAGGGCAGCCACTCGTTGCGTCGCTCCACAGTGGATCCTGTGGGAAAGGACTCGCCGAAATCGCAGAGCTTTATGCGCTGGAAGTCCGAGCGATAGATGAGCACGTTGTCTAGCTTTATATCCCGATGCACAATGTCTCTGTAAAATGAGAACATAAGCAACATTTAAAGATAATAAGGCATAACTACATACTTCGCAAAAAGTTGTATCTTAATTAAGCTCTTTAGAACCATTTAACCAAAACCTTTTTTTCAAATTTAAAATTTTAAAATCACATGTTGATTTTTCCATAAAATGGCAATTGTATTTATTCTCATAACGAATCTTGAGCTAGTTTGGTATTAGTTTTAATTTATTTGAATTTTTAAAATACCGCAAAACTTGAGTGCGTTTTCATACAAGCAACATTGATCATATATTTACATTTTCTTCACTGGTTAGTTAAATAAAAAATGCGTGGTTCTTAGACAAATGTATTACCTACAATTAAATGTATCCCAAAAGTTATTTATATTTTACTAGGTTTTACTAAACAAATTGTTGTAATATCTTTAAGAATGTATAACATAGTTAAATGGTTTTATATTTTGTTTGTTATGCCTTTATGCATTTTCTTTTCCTTTTTCTTTTTCTTTTGATCTTTTAAAATGTATTATATTTTTGAACGGATTGCATTTTCCACAGAGCATAGTAAAACTTACTTTGAATGCATGTAGTCTATGGCAGAGGCCAATTGCTTTGCCACACGCTTGCTGTAAACTTCGCCCACACCCGAATCGGTCACGTTCGAAGTGAGATCCCCTGCATTTGGGAAAAGAGGAAATTAAATTTAATATTCTTGAACAATATTTTTGGAACCCACCAAGTGGAGCGTATTCCTGGGTGAAAACATAAAAGCCCGCTGTTTCAAAGGCCACATCGTAAGTGGTAACAATGTGGCGGTGGACTCCCAAATGGAGTCCGTAGTGGAATTCGCGGTAAAAATCTCGAAGGGTTACATACGGCTTCGGTACTGCCTTGAGGACCATCTCCGTTTGGGATCCCCGATGCTCCACCAGAAGAATCTTCCCAAACCATCCTTCGCCAACGATCTGTATGATATCGAACTCGTCCACAAGCTGGATCTATATATAGATGACATATTAAAATAGCTGTGCTCGGAAAACTACACATTCTTTTTGGTTTCGAAACATAGTTTTGTTTGAAAAACCATTTTATGATACCTGTCGTTATTAATTAGTTATTAAACAATGATAATATGTTTTGAAAGGTTTATAATTCTGATATAACTGGTCTTGAATTTATTTTAGGGATGATGCTAATATAAATAGGATCTTCTTTTTGTTGAAGTATTTTATTATTAATATTAATATTAAATTTGGTTAATTAATATTTTAATATATAAGTCAAGTAAAGTTCCTAATTTTTTAAGCATTATGCACCTTCAGGAACAGTTGTTAAATTTGTTCTAATGATTCAATATTTCAATATTTTTGAATTACACAAAACAGCGATAATTTCCAACTGATAAATTATTGTAGTTACGAATTGAACTTTTCTACAAAACGTGTTCTTAAAACGCCTTCCACTAATAACAAATTAGTTGACTCATTTATAATATTCTATATGTGCGGAAATATCAAAGAGAGCTTTATGTAAATGCAACGCCTCGTTAAAGACCCACCTCAACTATATCTGAACAATCGATGTGCAAGTGCACAGAGAGACATGTGGCTATAGTATGCGTTTACCTAGACCTATTAAACATTACTGTATTCGAGACCGAGTCGCTGATTGTTGCTGTTTGTGTTTAATGATCAGAAATCTAATCGTTAACATGGCATTTTCCCCGTTGTATTGTAGACGATTTCCCGGGGAAGAGATTATTGGCAGATTGCCATCACACCGATCAAGACGCGACTGGGCCAAGTCGAACGCTTAATACCTTTCTATATCTGTTTGTTTATAGCGGGATAAGCCATAACATAATAACGGGTCAAAAGATGTGCGGAAATAAATGCGAATTCTATTTACTTGAGCAGATATTGTTTCGGATAAATCCATATGTTCACTCACCTTCTCCAATTCAAACTCTCGAATCTTGTGAATGTGTCCACGTGGCTTCTTCGACATTTTGGCTGTTTACATAGGAGCTTTTCGTTTGAAAATGTTTTTCCAGCTAAAGTTCTGTTTACTGGTCAGTTCATATCACTTGATTCACTTTCAATTCTGCGTAGCTTTGTCCATGAGCAGGCCAATAAAACAATTGAGAAACAGTTTATGTACGCGAAATGTATCCACCAGAATGTATCTACATATTTACACTTTGTATACAAGGCGGGCGTTGTAAATATTTATAGCGACAGCAGGCAGAAGCAGCAACAGAAGCACCAAAGGAATACATTTCTATATCTGTTGGATTCCTTTATACGCGCTAGTATCTCAATTTATGTGCCTTTTGTTGCTGTTCCTGCACGCAGCCAAAGTAAATTAAGAGATGAATTGGTCGGCTGAATTGGGATTTGTGTTTCGCTTCCTGGTAAACGGACATGGGTCCACTGCACTGCGGCTAGTGGAAATTCACGAAACAAATAATCCGCCAGGCGTGTGCACATAAAAATATTTTGACACGTATGTACACACACGAGCGGAATTCGAAATAAAAAAAAGATTTCAGAACCAGGCCGTAGAATTCTTCTCGGCACTCTCCCGGCTTCGGTGATTCTATTCTGTTTTGATGTTTGTTTTCTCTTTTCGCTTTATGCATAATATCAACAGCTAAATTAAAAATAATGCCCGTTTGCCTCTTATATAAAAACCTTTGCGATAGTGTCGGAATTTTCGCGAGCGCGATTTCGCGATTTGAAGTTATCCAGCGGAACGGACTGGATTTGCACGCACTGCTGCCAAAAAATCCTTAAGTGCCCTGACTTTCCACACACATATGCGATTGTATGTACTTCTGCCGCTGCACTTTAGGCTAAAATATACGGATTGGCCTTTCACGCATCCGAATAACACGACCGCTCGTTGCCAACTGCTCTCGGTTGGGATTTAAAAAAAGATATTGTGAGCACTGCACGCGAGCGTTTTCGAAAACGTTTTCGAAATATGTTTCTGAGGCAGATGTGGGAATATTGGGAAAGAGTGTGAAATAGAGAACAATTTTTGGGAGCGTTCATATTCTTGCACGAGAAGAAAGACAAATAGAGTCGGACCACCAGCAGTTGGTTTAGCAGAACTTAACCTTCTATTCAACAAAAGTACAAGTAAACTTTAATTTTCGAAAATCAAAAAATACAATTATTCATTGCATACACAGGATTATGAATTTATTTCTATTGTTTGCCTTTTTTGGAAAAAAAAATTTTTATAAACAAAAATTAAGAATGCTTTTAATTTAAATTTAAAGTGACAAATTTAGTTTACCTTATTTTATATTATTTCATTTTGCTTATATGCAAATGTAAAAGTTAGTAATAAGTCATAATAATTCGTCTGCTGCATGAATATAACTTTATACAGGTGTTAATATACTTATTTAATTATTTTATTGCATACTGTTCAACGGGTTAAAATGGCCCTGTTAAAAGCCTCTCTACTTAACAGCAGCATCCTCAGTTAACAGTGCACACGTATAGCAGTTGCTCTCGCACACAGAAAGCCCATGCACCAACACACCACCAGGGGCATGTACACACGTACATCACGTATACGCCGCGTTGTCGCTGTATATGTAAGGCAACTCTAATTGGTCACTTCCGTTCCGGTTCCGTCGACGTTTCCTTGGCGCATGCGACTTTTGGCTTTCAGATTTCGGATTTCAGCTCTAGAGGTTCAACTTCACCGCTGCGCTTGACACACACACACACACACAGAGAAACCCATCCGCACATAAGTGGCTCTGGAGTGTGTATGTGTGAGTGTGATAAGAGATGCAGCCGACGTAACGGTAACCACTTGTCGCGGACTATAAAAGGCACCGTTGGCCAGCAGCCATTTGCAAACGCTCGCATGTCACCGAAGGCGCAACAGCTCCGATTTTGAACTTCCCATCGGCCCTAAAGTTGAAAATTCTTCCAAAAATTAAACACTTATCCGCCAATGTATGTGAAGTGAATTTCGGTTTTTAACATTCGGCATTGGTTGTGTGGCTCTTTTTTCTAAGTTTTCTGAATATTTTTCGAAAGTCTCAAGGATTAATTTATAATGGATTGGTTCGATTACATGATTTGAGCTTGGTATTTGTTAGGTAAGTAAAAAAAACATTTTCTAGGTACATACTTTTTGCAACATCTTGAGATTAAGTATTAATGTACCAAATAAGTGGAATTAAGAAATGGAAAGAAAGTGAAATAAAAAGTTAAAGAGTGTTCCAAAATGTATTTCAGCTGATTTAAATAATAATATAAAAAAAAATTTAAACGCATTTTAACCAATTCAAATAATAATTTAATCATTGTTAAATAAAATAAAAATATTATTATATTCAAGAAAATCATAACATCAGAAAATAAATCATTATAAATTACACAATTTACACAAGTTAAAATATGCAAACATGTATGGAGCCACTTAATAAATGTACTACAATGAAACTGATTCGGAATCTATATATTGTATACGTCAAAAACTAGTAGTATTGCTTTGCAGGTGTAAAAAAAAACATTTCTAGCTTAGGCAAGATTAGCTAAATAAAAAACCCTTACATCTATAAATAATCCATTAATTTATGAATGAAGTGGTCTAGTCTGACCAGCTATCTCTGGCACGAATTGTAAAATCGGAAGCTTGATGAACTCTAGTCGCTCATAAATAAACCGAGAGCTGCTCCGAGCACTTTAAACACTCAATCTGCATTCCGCTTAATTGATCGCAGCTCTGGGCAATTAAAGTCAGCAGGGAGGAATTAAGTAGATCATATTAATTGTTTGACATGTTTGTGGTTTCATTGCACGCAAAGATTTCCGAGAGTTGGGCATATATGCCCTGATAAATGTGGCGGGGTTGGTCAAGTGTTTGCTGGCCAGTGTGTTTGAACATGCCACCTGTCGTATGCGTAATGTGCCAACGAGCTCTTCAAGGGCTGGGTGAGCACATGTCGTTTGCCAAACAGGTTTCAAGTGCCCTGAACACACTCATTGAAGTCGTGGATTGCTGAAGGGCCTGGGGTTCGGCTTTGGGTTTGGGGCTTGGGGATGACTCGAGCGGGGTGATATTCCAGGCATATCTGCAAAGAGTTTACCCATTGAAGTGCTCTGATTTTCACAGATTTCTAAGTGCGGCGGCGGGAACTGCACGTTTTGGGTCAAGGACACGTCGGGTTATTTAGTCGCAGATGTCACCAACCGGACATATATCCAAATCAAAGACGCCCACGCCACACGATAACGATAACAATAGCATCAGCGACGAGCGCGAAACATGGAGCGGCAAAGTGGATTTTTTATTATCGGTTATTGGATTCGCCGTCGATTTAGCAAACGTCTGGAGATTTCCCTATTTGTGCTACAAAAATGGCGGTGGTAAGTTCTTTTTCATGTGCCTTCACTTTATGGGGAACCTCAATTGGTTAGGTTACTGAAAAACTTTTGTGTCTCTAAAAATTCACGTGAATTTAAGAGTATATACATAAATATATAATGCTACATATAACTGAGTATATGTAGATTTGGAATTGAAAAAAAATTAACAATTTATCATATATTAAAAACTTATCGTTTAATTCGTATTTATTAAGAATCCCGATTCCCTTTTTCTCCGTGTGAATTGACCAATTATAAATAAAATTTAAATTACTGAAACATTAAAAGTTGACTTCTTCCTATAAACCATTATAATTATAAAACATCTATAAAGTACAAAATAAAAAAACATATTTTAAATTTTAAATCAACCGTAATAAATTCCCAATATATTTCATCAGTGTTGACCTATAAAAAAACTCTCTGCTCCCAATAAAATATATTATGAAATACATTAAAATTTTCACAAATCTAGTTGACCAATATCGTTGCCTTTCTCTTAGTGTGAGCTGGCCAATTAGGGATAAAGACATTTCGTGAAACGCTCCGGCTGAGTGAAAATAATTTATATGGCTTTACACATCATTGGGCTCGCCACGGAACCCGTCGCTTTCCGCTTTCCGCCTTCTGCATTTCCCTTTCGGCCTTGTTAACACTTTGTCAAAGTGGTGCGAAGTGGTGCTGTCGGTGGGGGCGGAGAAGGGGCGAGGGCGGGGTCTTTGTTTCCTTTGTCAAATTGCAGGGCGAACCCCCGATGGAAAAGCGGCAAAGGACATACACTCGAACACTTACCACGCTTCCTGATCCTCATCTTCAACGCCATCATTCAAAACAATTCCAAAAGTTAAGTGCTTCTGTATGACAACTAAATCTGGCAGTCATAATCTCATTTGGCCTGCTTACCCCCGTTCACTCTTTTTTCACCCCATTTCTGGGCAATATGTCAGCCTGCTTATGTGGAGTTCTCTAGGCTTTTGTTGCTGGAGCACTTTCCACCATCAGCCATCGCATTGTGGGAAATTCATGTGCGAAACATGTCTCCATCTCCGCCCCTCAATTTTCCGCAGATTGCGGCACTTTCCCACTGATGCGTTGTGAATGGATGTGGCTCGCTTTTCGCTTTCCCTTCAATATAGTTATTACTATTTTATGAGATTTTTTCGCTCTCTCTTCCGGCATTCTGCTGCCTTTAAAATCATAATAATAAATTGTTATATTTATACGCTTCATTGCGTTCAATCAGTGGCTCCGGCTCCAGCTTAAGTTCCACTTTATGTCCGTTGCCAGGGCGGCAACTCGCTCAGGTTGCGATTATTACCACAGCTTAGTCGGTATTATTTATTCTGTTTCCCATTTTCCCGCTGCCTGCAACTCGCAAGTGGAAGCTTTGCTGGCAGCAACAGGCTGTGCCAGCCACATTGCCCTGGATTATTGCTAAAACCCGAGCAGCAGCCTCTTGTTTCAGGCTTAGATCGCGCGACTGCTCGCTCATTCGTTAAATATGCGCTTCGGTTTTACATTCAGGCTTTCTAGTTTTGAAGAAATTTTTAATAAATAAATAACATAGGTGCTAACACTAAATATGTTGGAGTTCATATTACTTCCTAACAAAGGGCTAGAAATAGAAAATTTTAAGTCAATCAGAAAACTTTATTAACCAAAAAATTTTTGGTAATTAGGTGCAAAAGGGTAAATTAGGTAAAACTCCTTTTTCTTCTGTGCAAAATTAATAATAGTAAAGTTAAAAAATACTTTGCAGGTAAAAAACCTTAAAATAATTAAGCGATATCAACAAGTAAATGTGTTAATTCTTTACCAAAACTAATTATTTACCATATTTTGTTTGTTTGTCTGACAAATAGATATTTTATATTTTATCATGAAAGTTAACAGCAAATTCAAAACAAAAATGGTTTATTATTAAAGTTTATTCTGAACTATCTGCAACCTAAATGAGTTAACAACTATAAAAATAACTTTCCGTTTAAGTAGATATAACTAATTTAGCTAAAAAGAGAGTCTATTTTGTAGTATGTACATAACCATAACCAGCACATCATGTTCGTCTAAAATTGGCCAAGTTTTGACCGAATTACGACCAGGGAATCGAATTAGAGGCACATATCTGCACAGTGTCCGTGACGAGCTGCTGGAAAATGGGGAAATGCACTTCAAGCAGCGGAAATTATGGCTTCAACAACAGTGACGGGCGTCATAGATGCCTCGACTTTATTTTAGACGTTTTTGTTTTACGTTTTCAACATAATTGACACGACAGAAGGAAGCGTCGTAGCTGGCAGATCCTTTGTAGCCTCTGTACTACATATAGAACGCCCTGCATATAGAATTTAGTGTACGTATGTAGTGGGTCCGGAGACAGATGTATGTATGTATGAATGTATGTAACGGCCCTAGACGACTTTGTCGGCCACTTTGCCTGCTAATAGACATAATCAAATCATAAAAACATCATCCCCTGCCACTCGACAAAGTATCGATGGCACTCTACCAATTGTCAGGCCCAAAAGAGGGTGTGACTTTGGGCCGGGTTTTCCGGAGGTGACGGAGATGACTGCAGGAGACAGCCGAGCTCGCTTTTCCCCAACCCCCACCCCGCTCTTCCTCACCCGCCTTTTCCGCTTTCGCCTTTCACCCGCCAGGCTGCCGTTAATGTTTTTAAAATGTCCTTAGAGTGGCACTTGTAGAACAATTTGATTTTGTGTACCAGCGAACATACATAAAAGTCGGGTGTCTATGTAGAAAATATGTGTGCAATTATGTTTGTCGACAGGAGCAGGACGAATAATGCCGAGGTTGTGACACGGGCCAGTCTCAATATGCGGCGGTTATGCAATCATTATCTTGAAAAATTTATTGATTATGCCTGCTAAAAAAGGTGGAATAAAGATCAGGAAAATAATGAAGGGGGTACACAAATTGTACCTTGTTATTTCTGTGTTTGGAACAACATTATTAGACGATTTCCTGATTGAAACATACTAGTAAATATAACAATTTAAAAAAGTTGGCATCTAAAGTTATAACAGAATCTCTAAACCTTTTAAAGATGTCTAAATTAATATCTTGTTATGGTAAAAGTCAACTATAATAAGATACAAATTTAAGTTTATATATGGATAGTTTCGAATTGAGTAACAAGTTGATAAATTTGCATGAATAACAAATTGATTGTAAAGTGAAGTGGAAGACTGTAAATAAGTACATCCGATAGAGTGCTGTGTGTCAGTCTATTTTGAATTAGTGTAAGTATTATTATGGGAGGTATAATTTTGGAATTTTGAGGTATAGAATCACGTTCATGTCAAAATTAAGTGCAAAAACAACCAAACTAAAAATATGCTCTGTTTGGTAAGGAATGGAAAATATCTTCAGCTGTAATAAGTTTATAATAATATATTAATATACATTTAAATTTCAGGCGCTTTTCTTGTTCCCTACGGCATTATGTTGGTGGTCGGTGGTATTCCTCTGTTCTACATGGAGTTGGCCCTGGGTCAGCACAATCGTAAGGGGGCCATCACCTGCTGGGGTCGCTTAGTGCCACTCTTCAAAGGTAATTATCCAAATCAACCTAAAGAAAATCAAGATTTTGAACAAAACTCTCTTAGGAATTGGCTATGCCGTAGTGCTGATTGCCTTCTATGTGGACTTTTACTACAATGTGATTATTGCCTGGTCGTTGCGTTTCTTTTTTGCATCATTCACCAGCACATTGCCTTGGACGTCTTGTAATAATGTTTGGAATACCCCGAATTGCAGACCGGTAAACGTATATATCATGAAGTTTAATAACTTGCTTATTTTATATTATTTTTTTTAGTTCGAGAGCCAAAATGCTTCTCGTGTTCCTCTAATAGGTAATTACAGTGACTATTATGTCCTGGGAAATCAAAGCCTGCTCTATAATGAGTCTTATGTAAATGGTTCGTTGACGAGTTTGGAGGCGCCTTCGGGTGTTCATATAGAGGGTTTTCAGTCCGCTGCCTCAGAGTATTTTAAGTGAGTAGGGTATACGTTTTATAATAAATTTATAATATATTTACTAACCATATGCAGTCGCTACATTTTGGAGCTGAACCACAGCGAGGGAATCCACGATTTGGGCGCTATAAAATGGGATATGGCGCTGTGCCTTCTGATTGTCTATTTAATCTGTTATTTCTCTCTGTGGAAGGGTATAAGTACTTCCGGAAAGGTTGTGTGGTTCACGGCTCTGTTTCCCTATGCCGTGCTATTAATTCTACTCATCAGGGGTCTCACTTTACCCGGATCTTTTCTGGGAATTCAGTACTATCTCACGCCAAACTTTGATGCCATCTATAAGGCGGAGGTTTGGGTGGATGCTGCCACCCAGGTGTTTTTCTCTTTGGGTCCTGGATTCGGAGTGCTACTTGCCTATGCATCCTATAATAAATATCACAATAATGTGTACAAGTAAGTTTGAAAACTTAATGGTTAGATAAACATATGCAATTAAATAACTTTATTATTATTTATTATATTTTATAATAGGGATGCTTTATTGACCAGCTTTATCAATTCGGCCACCAGTTTTGTAGCTGGCTTTGTGATATTTTCCGTGCTGGGTTACATGGCCCATACTTTGGGTGTTAGAATCGAAGATGTGGCCACTGAAGGACCTGGTTTGGTTTTTGTGGTCTATCCAGCTGCCATTGCCACCATGCCAGCCAGCACTTTTTGGGCTTTGATATTCTTTATGATGCTGCTGACTTTGGGTTTGGATAGTTCGGTAAGTTTTCTGTTTATGTTAATGGATATAACTTAAAAATGAATATTACTTTTCTTTTAGTTTGGTGGCTCTGAGGCTATAATCACCGCTTTGAGCGACGAGTTTCCCAAGATCAAGAAGAACCGGGAGCTGTTCGTTGCTGGTCTGTTTTCACTGTACTTTGTGGTTGGCCTGGCCAGTTGCACCCAAGGTGGCTTCTACTTCTTCCACCTCCTGGATCGCTATGCCGCTGGCTACTCCATTCTGGTGGCCGTCTTCTTCGAGGCGATTGCAGTTTCTTGGATCTATGGAACCAACAGATTCAGCGAGGACATCAGGGACATGATTGGTTTTCCTCCAGGAATATATTGGCAGGTGTGCTGGCGCTTTGTGGCCCCGATTTTCCTGCTCTTCATCACTGTTTATGGCTTAATCGGGTATGAACCTTTGACCTACGGGGATTACGTGTATCCCAGTTGGGCAAATGCTTTGGGATGGTGCATAGCTGGTTCATCGGTGGTGATGATTCCGGCGATAGCGATTTTCAAACTGCTTTCCACGCCGGGAAGTCTGCGGCAGAGGCTCACCATTTTGACCACACCCTGGCGGGATCAGCAATCGATGGCCATGGTGCTGAACGGGGTCACCACCGAGGTCACCGTGGTGCGATTAACCGACACGGAGACCGCCAAGGAACCCGTCGATGTCTGAGTTCGACCAGTGGCTCGTTTTCAAATTTACTACGTTTAGATTTGGAAATTTACCAACAACTCACGTTCACGTACTTGCCGCATTGCTGAGAAGTTTGTGTTTTTGTTTGACATTAGGAGCAGCGGGTCCTGAAGGATCCGCGAATTTCGCAAACAACGTACTTAGGTTTCGGCACCGAAGGATAAAGAAATACCAACAAGCAAATGCAGCTTCAAAACATAAGTCCTAAGTTAAGATTAGCCTGTAGTTTGTATGGTTAATGCCAGTTATAGCATACACGTATATACAATGCTGTGTAGATAATACCGAATCCGAAAGTACGAATTACTCGTACTCGTCAGTTAGTCCACCAAAATCGTTGAAAGACAGTTTGCATGTGCCAATGGAATTAACGACACGATCGTGGCTCAAATCGGGCATTGAATCTGTACATACACAAATCGATGATGTAAAAGCTTTAAACACGTTGTAGGCTATCTTATGGAACTGAAGCAAAAGCTGCCACAGTTGTAGCACAAAATCCCCTCAAACAGCCATGAGGGGATTTTGTCGTATCCAAAGGTTTGTTCTAGGCTAATTTCCCCCGTCCAAAAAACTACGATTGTTTGCCTAAAGCAGCCATTTTAGGCAACCAATTGGGAGTTATGAAAGCATTCCCAATTCTAAGATAGTTTATGTATATAGATTTATGATGTGTTAAATGGTTTTTAGATTTCTTTCACGCTGAAGCAGAACTAACAGCCATGAGTTCTGTTTCAATTTGTTGAAATAAATTATTATACTTTTAGTTACTGATAAAAGAGTGTTTTTTTTTTAAGTGGGTGGGTGGAAGAATACATAAAAATATTACATATAAAATTTAAATACCCCCAGTCAAATGAACCCTTTCCTCAAAATATTTAAAAAAATACATCATAGGATTCTTGATTAGATATTGGGGGTTTTTATTCCAATTTGCCTTGTTTTCTTGTACAATAATTTCAATTAGTAACATATAAAAGTAAGGAGAGAACGAACGGTAACGGAACCAACTGAAATGGTTTCTATATCGATGACTCGTATCAAGTAGCGCAGTTCCAGATAAATATTGAACTCTTTCACAGAATCGCAGCTTTTGAGTAGTATTTTAGTTTGGGGTACATATGGCATATATATTTTTGTATGTATGTATGTCGCGCACTTCATACAGCACTATGTAAGCTTTGCATTAAAAATATATATGTTATGTATCATTAGTTCGGATGGGGGAGCTCTAACTCCCTGGTAATTGATACTCGTATAACATGTTGCGGTGTATGCAGATTACGTATGTTGGTCGGGTTTTGGGGTGCATTTTGTGTCTTGTTGCCTCGTGTTAATATGCAAATATTATTTCTGCGGTTATGGTATACTTTCCGGTGCTATAGATCGGATTCTAACCCAATAGAGCTATGCATATGTACAGTAAATATTTTGATTCTGATCCTTCTGCTTTGGTATGCGGATTACATATATGTATGTACTTTCATATTTGTAGAGATATCCTGTTTATGCGGTTGGAGAATGCGCCAACTTGATATTTGTGTGTGTTTACATACGAGAATATGTATATGGCTTTTGTGCTCGTCGATGATTCGCTAACTAACTATTAATTATATGTTAATATGTAGATGTGTGTTGTGCAATAACGCCTAAAATCAATACGTACAATGCAATATGCATAAGCAACAAATACGATCTTGCCACTGAAAGACACTTCCTGAATTGACAAATGACCTAAGTGAGTGTCGTCTGATGGAATCACTTAACTGGCTCCGATTAGATGTATAACAGTTATAAAATCTAGTTCATATTACGTCTGTGCATTGAGATTTGTTCGGTGGATGTTATATATATATTATATATTTAATAAGGTATATTATCTATTATGACGTCAGCTATTACCTCAGTAGAAAATAACCGTTAATCCGACCTTAAAGCATTCGTTTTTTTTTTTCGAAAATTAAATTTTCATTAGAGCGCACACAAAACATGTTTTTATACTTCGATTAATTTGTTCGTTAAACATTCGGAGAAATATTTCTAGAGGATACAGCACGAAACAAAGCCTTTGAGGCTAGCAAAAGCGACAATCTTCTGACATTCAGAATCGGCAGACCTATGTGGTTTTATCAATCCGTAAGTAAGTTAGGTAATTCAACTATAAAGGCTACATTGGGAAACAATCTCGATTATAAACAATATAAATTTGTTGTCAGTTTTTAAGTACCAAGTCTACGTAATAGGAAAAATGCCTAAAGTAATTGCCTTATGTATGCTTAAAATTTACTGTAATGCACCAAGAGATTTCACTTTCAGTTTTTATCCGCGCTATAAATATATCCATATCAATATCCAATTACAATCATTCTGATCAACATACATATATACGCGCACTTGTTTATAATAATAAGTACAAGCAGACACATAGTGTGCATGAGATACCTAGTCCAACATTCATATTCGAGTTATTTGCTATGCACTTTACGAATATCCTATATATCATTTGGGTGTGAGTCCCGCAATCCTTGTTACTCCTCTTTTGATTTATGTCTGTTGGATTGAGCTCAAAAACGCTGGATCCACCGAGGCCACCTTGGCCGTGAGGAATGCGTGCATGCAGAAAAGCAGACTTTGCAGGACTTGACATTCCAGTTCCTAAAACAAAAATTTTAAAGAAATAGATGTATATTACAAAATTGAACAGTACACTTTTTGTTCTTTAAATAATTATTAAAGTTTTACTCTGCTTTATAATATTTTATTTATATAAACAATTTTTATAAAAAAAGCTCCAAATTGTAGACAAACCTACCTTAGTTTCGATTGCCCGACTATCGTGATCCTGAAAATGCAGTTTCAGCTTGGACTTTCCGTCATCACTGGATCCCCTCAATTGCGAGAATTTATATTGCCAAACTATAGCGGAATCCGCTCCTTCAGTTAGTGAAAATCCAGCTTGCCAGTCCAATGTGAGTCCACCACTTTTGCCATGATGCGAAACGGCAAAGGTTTTACGCTGTGAAAGAAAAACATTTGTTAATATAGGAATCGTATTTAGAACCCTTTCAACTTACGCCCAGTTTAATAACACTAGTCACAATGGCCGCATTCCAGCTGTTCTCGATCCTTAAAAGCTCTTGACGGGTTTCCACACTCAAATAGCGGGGTTCATGGCCCGAACTTTGCAGCAGGAAACAATGTTGGCGACTATCCACAGTCTCAGATTCCTTGACAATTCGGAACATGGTCTGATAGACCTTGTAGACCACTAAAGCCTTGCTGATGCCAGCCACATTTAACTAGAGTTTAAGGAAGAATATTATTATTATTTATATTTGGGTTATAAATATTTTCCCCGACTTACTGGTGGCGTTTCAAAAAGCATTACTTCGGTGCCTTTGAGCAGTAGAAATCTGGGTTTATAACTCTGCCACGATATATTGTTGTTGATAACCCCTTCATTGACCCAGCCCATGTATTCGATACGTTCACCCACAGCAAAGTTTCTATTATATAGCTTCATCTGTTGGGGAAATATATGATAAGATAATCATCATTTTATATACGAGTCACCTAACTCACCTGTAAATGCGTTAGTCCCACCACATTATCAGTAATCAGTTTAAGCCATTGGCTAAGTATGGCCAATTCATCGCAGTGTATTACACCAGTGGTAATGCCATTTAGGCCACGAACTTCGAAGGCGTTTTGGCGCAGCTTGTCGGTGCCATAAATATACCTCGTCACATAGGCCATCATCAGGGGTACTAAAAAGTACAAAACATGAATTAATAGGAGGTTACATTTTTTTAATAAGTTGTATAAAAAACTAATAAATAAGAAAATAAAATCGAATAACCTTTTTTTGTTCTGGGATTTTTATTTATTACACAGTGTTAAATATGTGTTTTTAATTTCAATAAAAATGGATATTCAAACTGCTTGGTTATATGCCTGACTTTTGGTAAAATATCTAAAATTGTTATATCCATATTTAGGAAGAGCAACTCACCTGCCACCACGTCTGTCCATCGTTTTTCTGGCTCCGAGCAAATTGACATGGGGCGACTGCAACTGCGACTGATGGTTCCACTGTTCACGGATGACTTGTAGCCCTCGTCTGCCTTCAGTTCGGCGCAAGTGGCGTCGTTGTCCGAATCGGGCGTGTCCTTGGTTACTTAAATGTTCAGATGGGATATAATAATAACTGCCTATGATTTTAAGTCAAGCTACTCACATTGCTTCTGAAGAAAAGGCGTGGCAGCGCGATAATGCTTCACCGTGAGAACCACGATATCTCCGGCGTTTCTTAAGATATTAACTGCATCGTCGTGGGGACATGCCGTTATATATTCCCCATTCACCTTGATAATGGCATCGCCCACAAATAGTTGACCCGTTATGTCCGCCGCCTGATCCTTATAGATACGCGATATCAAAATGGGAAGTTTGTGCTCGGCGCCTCCTTTTATGCTCAGTCCTAGGCCGCCTTGTTTTTGCCGCGTAATTTGAACCATTCGTTCCTAAAATTTAATTTTATTACTATTTGGGAAAGCCCAAAACGGATTTAAGAAAACCCAACCTTTGATTCCATGGGCGGTCCATTGGGATGACAACTACTTGGGGTGACTACTTCCAGCTTTTGGAGCGAAAGTAACTCCATCGTAAGATTAAGTCGCAGGGGTTCTGGTCGGCTTTTGCCATCGCTCACATGGACCATGCCAGTTCGCACCTGTTAAAAACAAGGAAACATAATACAATATATGCCATTATGTGGGGCTTAGGTATTTTTGGAGGTACCTTCAGGTTTTGATCAAGTTTTTCTTCTATTGGAGTGGCCATGGTGTCAGAGAGCTTCATAATTCCTGGAATCATTTTAAAGAAGAGGGATTTGGAGTTTGATTTATGTGCCATAACAGAAACAAAATAGTCTTAAAAGTTTTGGTATTTAATAATGATTTATGACTTTAAACAAACAAATAAGTTTGTTGCTCAAGTGAAACATACATCCATCTTAAAATATAACATGGGTTGTGAAGATTAAAACTCAATAATTTATGTTATACCCTTGCAGTGTGAAATTTCTATATTTAGCGCGCGTTAATAAGTTGACTGATTGACTTTCAGTAATGAATAATTCACCGCAAAAGGTCTTGAAAAGGTTGAGCTGCGAAAGGTCTTGAAAAGGTTGAACTTTTGCCTGACTTGTGGCAATAACAGGACGTCTACCCTTGTTAACCGATCCGCTGGCCGCCAATCATATTGGCCTGGTAAGCAGGCGAATTCCGAGAACTTACCGCTGGTTGTGTTAACATAATTGTGGCCATGGCAATGGACTGTGAAACAACTGCAATCAAAACGGGAAGCCGGCTCCGATGGCCTTTATCGATTGCCATTTCCCACGTAACAGACACCAGCCAGTAAGGCAAAGCAAAGCAATCGCAATTGCAATCATCGCATATTGAATTACGTTTACACAGTGGGCCACTGATGAGCCGATAGTTCAAGGTGAACTGTGCAATTGCCTTAATTAAATTACACATGCAATTAGAAGCAATTAAGCGCAATCAGTCGGCGGCGAAATGTAATAGAACCCATCTAGATCGAAGCGATCCGTGGCAAGATGTGTGTACCTTTGCCATGTGCGTGGCTTCTGCGGAAGGCATGCGGCCGCATGTGTTTTCCATTAAAGTGGAAAATAAATATGCTACCGGAAAACTAGATATGAGTGAAAACACATTGAAGTGTGCCCCATCTGCAGACGTTCTTGTTATTCTGCTGAGTGCCGAAGTGTGGCCGCAACTGTTCGCCAGGAGTGGGAAAGCAGAACAAGTATTTTGGATCACCACTTGTGCTCCATAAATAGGTGTTTTGCTTTTGGGGTTGAGGTTTTTCCCCTCGGGGGAAAGCGTCCATTTGAGCGCCAAATATGTGCACATGGTGCCAGACGCAATGCCATCTGAGATTCTGGGGTTTTCGCTTTCACTTTGTTTGATACCAGGAAACTGCTTCATGGTCAATGTAATCGTATGTCTTATGGATTTTCATAGATTGGATTTCACTTGGTATATTCTTTAGTCCTAACTGTAGCTTGACTAAATTGTTACGTCAGCTAAACTAAATGGAAGCGGTAGATTTTTATACCCTTGCAGAGCAAAAGGGTATTATAATTTCAGTCAGAAGTTTGCAACGCAGTGAAGGAGACACCTTAGACCCCATAAAGTATATATATTCTTGATCAGCATCACCATCTGAATCGAAAAATGTATGCACGTCTGTCCGTCTGTCCGTCGGTCCGTCGGTCCGTCTGTCCGTCTGTCCGTCTGTCCGTCTGTCTGTTTCTATGTAAACTAGTCTCTCAGTTTTAAAGCTATCTTGCTGAAACTTTCTCAAAAGGTGTGTAGTTATTGCACGCAGTATATAAGTCAGAACGAGCCGGATCGGCCGACTATATCGGATAGCTCCAATACGAGAGAATGAAATAAAAAATTCTCACTCCGTTGTTTTTGATCAGATCGACTTGATTTCTTCCAGATGGCGTTTTCTAACTACTATTGAATTCCGGTTTAAATTTTATCAAAATCGGATAACTCTATCATATAGCTGCCATAGGAGAGATCGAAAAATATATATAGAATTAATGGAAATAAATTGATAGCATCGTTGTTTTTTATCCCACGAGCATGATTTTTTGAGTATCAAGTTTTTTAACTAGCCTTGATTTATAAAAAAAATTTCATAAAAATCGGACAACTATATCATATAGTTGCCATAGGAAAGATCGAAAAATCTATATAGAATTAACAGAAATAAAATGATAACATCGTTATTTCTTATAAGAAAATCATGATTTTTTTGAATATAGAGTTTTCTAACGACTCTTGAATAGGAAATAAAATTTCATCAAAATCGGACAACTATATCATATAGCGGCCATATGAACAATAGTCAGAAATATGGAAAACTAATAGAAAAGTCGTCGTAGCTTCGATGTTCTATTTGATGTTCTATTTGATGTTCTATTTGATGAGTGCAAGGGTATATAAGCTTCGGCTTGCCGAAGCTAGCTTCCTTTCTTGTTTGAAATGTTATATTGCATAAAATGTGCACATGGGAAATATAAAATATTGATAGAAGTGTTTAAAGTCAAAATGTTATTATTTATCACGCTCAGTGATATTTATGCATATCTAATGTTTTTCTTTAATAATAAACATTTTTAATGTTTTATATTAGGATAAAAGAAAAATATTACTTATTTAAAATAAAAAATGATTTTAACATAGTCAATTTAAAACAGTAATACAAAACAATTAATATTTAAATCAAATGACGAGCTTGCAATTCTTAACTGAAATTGATGTGAAATTAAAATCTAGTTCATTCAAAAATATAAAAAATATTATATTTCAACTTAAAAACTGTTTTTGTTAGATCTTTTTTGATGTTTTTAAATAAATAAGTGAAAGAGATGGAAACTATAGAATAAAAATCATAAATTGATTACTCAGAGTGTAAATAACTGCAATCCTGTTTCTCGAAGTGCACAAATTGTCAAATAGTCGCTTCATCAATCCCTGAATCCTTAGAGCTCCGCGTGCTGTAGCGCCGAGCTGGTGGTCAGGCCACCGACCTGGGCAACACGCATACGCTCCGTTGTCCCGGGTTACCTTTGATTATGGCTTTATTATTACGTGTGCAGACTGCGCTGCCCTTTGCATGCGTGTTCCAGAACCGTAAACCGTTAAGTTAGGCCCAGAGAACAGTATTTTCGGCCTGGCAAATGGAGCGATGGAGGGAGGGAAGGAGGGGAAAGGAGGATGTCCTGAGCTTCAAACCAAACAAGCCAACATGTTCGCTTTGAGCGCTTTGGCAATCAGCTGTGCCTCGAAAAAGAGCAGCAGCAGTAGGCGAAACCTTTTGGGCTGTTTGACTGAAGTTTCAGCGATTGAACTTTTTTGCAGCTCTGACAGAAAAGTAAAACAAACACACGCACACCCTCTCGGATAACCGATACTTTTTGCCCGAGGGCCAGGAGCGTTGATTATTAATTTATGTGTGTTTGCTAAACAACTCCACCGCGCCCACAGTATTGGCTTGGGGATTACCTCCTTGTATTGACAGATGTACTTATGCTCGTTCAAACATATAAGTATATTTTCTCGTGTTACTGCGACCCGTTTCCCCGTTTTCAATTAGGTCACATTTTCAGATCTTCGATTTGTCAGCGCCGAGGGACATGAACCCGCGATTTTGGCCAAATTCGTCACTCGCAAAAGTATGCTAACTTTCCGTTCTGTTTGTCACACTTTTGCCCACTTCAGGCCAAATGTATATATATATCCACTGGATGGCTGTACTCCCAGCGCGGAGCTGCTCCTTCGGCGGTCCACGGCACAACGTTCCCACAGCCTGAGCGCGAGCGAACTGAGAGTTCCGTTATAAACACAAGCACTTCGCCAATCCAACTTTTCACTGTGTGCGTGAGTCGCGAGGCACGAGAAAGCACTTCGGCTTTGGGTTCGGAACCCTGCTACTCTCTGCGGTAAATATAAATTAAAAAATATTTGTATAATATTATAATATTATTTGTTCGGTCCTTTAGAAAAAAGCTTAAAAAAAGTTTTGAAAATAAACACGCATGCTTATATTTTTTTTATTTATGTTGAAAAAAAACATTGTAGGGTGGTAGTGTTGCCCCGATTTGTCGCTTTAAAGGCTTTCGAACTTTCTAATTTTCTCCCCACAGCTTTCGAGAACTTTCCAGTGGAGAAAGTTATACATATTGTTGAAAACGAAGATCTAGATGGCGCCACCTGAGTTGGGCAATATATTTTGTAGTTCCCACAACGGACGAATAGTTAACTTTCGGCGTTCGGTTTTCCTAGAATTATTGTAAAATTTTTACAACACTTAAACAATTTTAAACTTCTTTTAGAAAATATTTTTTAACAGTATGTTTTAAAGACAAACCTTACCTGTACATTTGTTTCTTTTGAGTAAACGTTTATTAAAATAAAAACTTTAGTTATTAGAACTTCTGGAAAAAACTTTCCTCACTTGAAAATCCTGTGAGTCTGATCTTTTCTTGTCTTGCTTGTACAATACAAAGTAAAGTAGAGTAAATTGAAATATTTTATTACTTAAGGATTCATAGACTTTTACTGTGTGCGCTTAAAGGAGTAATATTTATAAAACAAAGAAAATAGATCTTAATAAAATGGACACAAAATAAATAATTTTGCCAAGAATGATCTCATAAATTTAAGCAAATGGATGTCGAAATTGAATAATTCCCAGGAGGTCCACATTCAGTTTAGGAATCTGTTGCTCCACCTGTAAATAATATGCCGAGGAGAAGCCATATTGAGTCCTATTCCTGTGTAAGTTTTTCGATGTGCTCGTTAAATGTTAATTAGAACGCTGAATCAGCGGCGTTAGCTCATTAAAAGTTTTGCGCTCCCATTTTTGTTGTGATTGTTAACCAAAACCGGGTCAGAGTAGCATTTGTGTATTTGTTTTGGGGCCCGACCCTTCGTTTGGCTCAATGATAAGCCCACGAATAAGTGGCATTCGAATACAATGGACGGAGGCAAAGTTAATTAATGTATTAGCCAAGGTGAAGCCCCATGGCTCACACTTTGGCAGGTCATCAGGAAAGCAGGATAATTCTTGAGGGGGCACCTTGGTGCCTATCCCTTCATTTGCATTCGTCCTTCAGGTTGACTGAGTTGGTTGTGCTTAACTTAATCCACAACTAAGTCATTACAATGCAAATTATAGGCCTAGGTTTGCTTCTCATTATCGTAAGGATATGTTTGCAATAATAAAAAGTTTATTCTTGTAATTTTTCGTTGCTTTTTTAAAGGATAAAGCGGGTACCAATTAAAACTCAAAATATATATTGTATTTTATTTTTTCCATTGATGTATTAATATAATATTTCTATAAATTGTTTTTTGTAATCGAAGTAAATTTTAATTGCCAATGGACACTTTTATAAATATTGTTTATGTTTTCTAACATTATTTCATAATTATAACTATTATTTACCAACCGATTTTAATGCGGTTAGTTGTGTGTGATAGAGCACCTCGCAAGGAAGGTTTATAGATCATAAAATTTTCACATATGCATTTACACACATATGAAAATCACATATTGAGTGAGGTACTGCAATTTTAAAAGGAAAGTTCAAGGGTAAACATGTTCTCATTCCCTAAATACCAATCTGATATGCCATTTCAATTAAACTTTTTGCGATTTCCGATTCGATATGCATTTGCAATGACAATTAACAAGTCCCAAGGTCAGTCTTTACAAGTATGCGGTATTCATTTAGAGAACCCAGTACTTTTCCATGCGCAACTCTATGTAGCCTGCTCTCGATGACAATTTTGTATATTATAATGCTTTGCAATAAAAATTGTTTGTTAAATAAAAAATTTTGCAAAATAATAGTTGTTGCTGTTAAATTGTGTTGACCAGCAAAGCGGTCACGGGCCGCTAGTAAAATATAAAATGTTATAAGTATAATTTTGTTTTACATTTAGGACTTAAAAGCTTTTAGAAACCATTGAGTGACCTTTTCCATAGCTGGACTAACTTTTTGAATATTTCTTGGCCGTGTTTACCGTCTGAGAAGTTGATTGCGGTACTGGTTTCGGCGCAGAAAGGTGGGGCAGGTGCATCGGATCACTCGCATTTACCGAGGAACAGTCTTAACCCTCGACCGCCAAAACCCCCGATTGTCACTGCCACTCAGCGCAATCAGTTGGGATTTAAGACATTGGCGGCAATGGAAACTACAATAAGAAAAGCAGCCGGGATATCAGCAGCAGCAACAACAACACCAACAATAGAAGCCACAACAACGTCGTCGGCATTATTGACAAAAGTTTTCCGTTTGTTTTCGGCGTTCGACGCTTTTCCTCACTCTCCTTCTCACTCGCACTGCGGTTGCGGGAAAAGGGCAGCAAGCACATTTTTGTTAGCTGATTGAAATTAGTTGATGCATAAAAAAGTTTGTTTGCTAACAATTTCGTTCGAAAATATTTCGGCTCTAAAGTAAAATTATGACTGCTTTGCATATTTTTCGGTTACCAATGTAAAACTTTAGACCCCGGCCCCAACTTATTGGCATTGGCGAATGTTGGGAATTTATGGCCTGTGCAAATGTTGGTCTACCATTCACAATTTCGCCAAGAGTTTGCCCCTTTCCGCTCCGCAAATATCCGCCTGGCATCCTGTAATTGCATTAGCCATCCGCTTGTTGATTTTGGTCGGAGCGATTACGGTCTAAGACGTTGTAGGGGATTTTTTAAACTCGGGCCAAATCAACAAGCAACATCGTGTAATTGAATAATTATGTTATTGTGTGGCTGAATGAACTTGCGAGATTTCCGTCTGACAGCTGCCACGACCGGCTAGATTTAGCTTCGCATCTGCAAGATGCTCGTACAAGATACAGATACAAAGTGTGCGCGTTTGCCGGTGCCTCCAGCATACACACAAAGACACAGAGATACACGCACACATACAGCCACAAAAGCTGCTCACCCGGCAGCAACACAAAAACTTAATTAAGCCTGATTCTGGTCTTAGCACCTCCGGAACATTAGCAAATCAATTGAGTTAGAAGCAACGGCAAAGACTCATCATATGCGCACGGTGAAAAATATTACTCAAGTTTTTGATTAATAAATAACAACAATATATTTAATAATTAATTAGATCGATTCTGAAGTCGCACTTCAAATTTAATATTTAAGAACACAGAAATTACTTTTAAATCTGAAGGGAATCATATGGATTTGCAAATATGTGTATGCAACAAATCAATTCTTTTTATTATCTATAATGATCTTATATAAATTTCTTTCTACTAATATAAATTTTTTTAATAAATCAAATGAAAATTTTCCGATTTGTGTAAATTATTTTCTTGATTAAGTTGTTTGCTTGGCTTAGCCAAAAATTATTTGAGTATTTTTATATAGTTTTGTTTGGTGTAAGCATAAATGGCATGCATATTCCGATTGATTGGATGGCTGTCACCTACAGGATAACCAATTTTAATGCAGTTTCACACTCTGCGCAGCGATGAGATGAGCTGAGCATGCAAACAAATCGCACAGCCTGTTGGCGAGGATTAAGGATAAGGAGGCTGAGGATCCAGGCGGTACGGGGGGCGTGGCAGTGGCATTGCTAGTGGCAATGCCAGTGGCACTGGGGGATGCAGACCACGCATGCAATACGCCAGCGACAACTTCCGTTCTTTCTCCGGTTTCTGCGAATATGTACTTTTTATTTTTTCTGCTGGCAACCGAGATTCACGGCACGGAAAATGCATTCAATTTAGCAACGAGCACGATTCGGTCGAATGCATGGCAATCAAAATGCGGTTAGTTGCGTGTGGCAGCGGCAACATCGCGGGGTTGGGCAAAGCCGGCGAAAAATACGACAGTGGGCGGTTTGTGCCACAACAACCGCGGTAACAACGCTGACAACACAATGACAACAACAGCAATGCGAACAAAAAATGACAATTGTCAACAATTTTAATTTTCATATGCACGCAAACGCAACAAGGACCACTACAACTACAACAACAACAACAATAACAATAACAACAACAGCAACAAGGATTAAAATACAGTGGACCCCACCGGAAATGCATTCACACACGCGCACACGAATTGAGTGGCGTGTGTGTCGGTGTTTGTGCAGTTTGTTTGCATTTGTATTGCTAATAAAGAGTGGACGGCCTATGCCACGCCCACCGCACAGTGGCGGTCGAAATATTGTCAAGACCGGTTTAGGCAAGGAATTAGAATTTATTTACATTTATCAACCATTAATGAAGCCTTTCCACTTCGTTGCTGTTTGATTGTTTGCCTTTGAATGTAGGAAATGCATTTTTATTGATTATCTGATGATTTATTTTAAGTCTTTACATTCAAAATATAACGAATATTTTAGTTAATATATTTTAGAAAGACATATTGGTTTACGATAACCTTCCGGTTTCTTTTTTATAACGGACTAGGATTAGGTTTAACTATTCTCTGATACTTTAATCAATTTATCAGCATTTAACAGCCTGGTAATACAAAAGAGTGATAATTCAATTACTAGTCAAGCTCAATGCATTTATCTCGGCAAGTATTAATTGAATATGCCCACTTGAACTTGCCACTTACACTGATTTACGATCTATAGAAATAGTTGCTGTAATAAGCAGTGAAAAAGGTTATTATTACAGCAGGCATCCATCGCCAATTGATTTACGCACTTTGCCATTAAATAGCATTTTGGGCTTCCTGCCACTCCAGAGCAAAGCTTATAAATTAATTAAAAAATCAGTATAAATACATAAATCAATTACCCGCCTCAATGAGAAGCGCTGCACTC